CCAGCCTTACCTTGAGTAGTATGATTACTACATTGAGTTTCATCATCTGAAGTAGAACTGAGGGTTAATCCCAAGTCTTCTATCTTCTTCTGCTTCTTTTGGGGGCTGCTAAATTCAGGTTCTGTCCTTCTCTTCATTTTTGCTGAAAGAAGATAAACACACTTGCTAAACATTAAGCAAATTAACTTTCTCCTGCATGCTGAAGGGTAATGCACAGCAGCATGGCAGCATAGACAGTTTCATGGACTTTTCAGCATCATGCTTCTCAACTGTAGTTTGCTTTATATGAAAGTATTGGGTCCTTTTGAACTTACCTTTTTTAATTGCTAGCCTAAACTAAACAAACAAGAAATCTATGCAGAAGTTTCTCTATTACTGATGACTTGAATTTCAAATAATTCCTACCACCTACTTACCATGAAATGCTAGCAGATGAAGATAACTCAGATGTCAGCACTTTGATAACTTGAATATGTGATAGTTGGTTTCCAGCAATAAATCAAAAATAATTTTATCCAACCACACACATGCAAAGAGGAAATAAGGTCAATCTAATGGAGAATGTGCAAAGTGGAACCAGTTTCTCAGAAGAGACTCAGAACACCTCTGAGCCCACCTCTGCAAACATTAATTAATAAAAGAACTTGCAGTGTGCCCAGAATGCCAACCATATGCTGGGCTGCATCAAAAGGAGCATGTCCAGCAGGTTGAAGGAAGTTTCTGCCCCTCTACTCTGCTCGCTTGAGATCCCACCTTCAGTCCTGTGTTCAGCTCTGAAGCCCCAACAGAAGAGGGACATGGATCTGCTCAAGCAAGTCCACGGGAGGGCTGCAAGGATGATCTGGGGCTGGAGCACCTCAGCTATGGAGACAGGCTGAGAGTTGGGCTTGACCTCCTAACAGTCTTTCATATCTAAAGGGGATATATTAGGAAGACATTCTATCCATAAGGGTGGTGAGGCACTGTTACAAGTTGCCCAGAGAAACCTTATCCCTGGCAGTGTTCAAGGCCAGGCTGGACGGAGGTTGGAGCTATCTGCTCTAGTGAAAGGTGTCCCAACCTCTACAGGCAGGCTGGAACCGGATGAGCTTCAAGGTCCCTTCCAACTCAAACCATTCTGTGAACCTTCCTACAGTGACTTCTAACAGACTTCTATTAATTACATATTTAATACAAGGTGAGGGGTGTTTGTATTCTGACCAGGAATCACTGGCAAGATATCAAGCTTCTGGCTGCAGCTGATAAACTGCATAAACTCATGGAAAGGATTAGGGCTCAAGACAGAGTTAACAGAAGTTAGCTGGGAAGGCCTGCAGAGGACAAGAAACAGGAAAGCAAGTGAAAATTAAAAGGTGCACATGCTTAGAACACTGGCTAAACCTCCCTGGTATCAATAAAAAGCAGTAACATCCTACTGATGTTTATTTTTCTACACAGAAATGCTGGGCTAGAAGAGACATCCCAGGTCACTGATTTTTTTTATACCTCTGTTATCAAATTTTTTTCCAAAAACACAGACATGGCAGCTTAAAAACAAGCTCCTCTATTCACCCCCAGAACTCCAACTGCGAAATCGTCCCACTGTGGCCAAGAAACATTTTCCCTTCCACCTGCAGATCTTTTACATCAATTCACATTTCCTTGCTCTTACGTCAATTTAGAGGCTTGGGTTTGTTTGTTTTTTTCAAATGCCCCTTATTTATCTGTAACAAACTGGGAGCTACTTCTTGTTTCTCCCGAGAACCTCTCTGACCAGGCGACCGCACTGGGGGCTCACGCCGCTCCTAGCCTCCTCTAAGCCTATCTACCTCCTCGCCTCACCAAGGGTCCCTTAGGGCACGATTTCCCGCTACGTTTCAAACCATGCGAAACCACCTGCCCGGTGACCGACACCCGCTCCCTCCGCACACACGCAGCCACCCCTCAGCCAGCCCCCACTCGCGCCGCACTAGCCGCCCCACGGGTCCGCGGCAGGGGGGTCCCGCAGCCCTCCAGTACTGGAGCCGAGCCGCGGTCACCTGGGCCGAGGGCAGGCGGCGCGCTGCTGGTGCGGGGCGCTCACGGAGGCAGAAGAGGCGGCGGCCCCGTCTCCCGGCGGCGCGGCCCGTCCCTTCCCCACCACCGCCGGTTTCTATTCCCCGTCTGCAGACGCCGCTGAGCGCCGCCCCCTTCCCCGCCGGGTCCTCCCCAGATCGGCGGCGCGCGAGAGTGACGCACCGTCCGCGCCATCACCGAGGGGGTGGGCCCGCCCCCGCAGGCGCACAGCGGGCAGCCTCAAACTCTCTGCAAGGACCCCTGGGGTCGCTAGGCGACTCCGCGGGCGCCGCGGCATGGCGGCCTGCACGGCACACCCGTCCGCCGCGGCGCCTGGGCCACCCGGGCCACTCGGGCCACCCGCTCTGCCCTGTCCGTAGGCAGGGCTCTGCCGTCTGGGAAAGCAGGTAGCCGGAGGCTTCGGTCATTCCCGATGGAGGCGAGGTAGGGGTGAAAAATATTGGAGTTCTATGTGAAATGATACACGGTTATGAAATCTACATATTAAAATGTATTAAAAGTGTGTCAAGGCCCATGTAATTCAGCTACTGACTGAAAAGGAACTCTTTCTACGAAAAACAGGGGTTTGTTTCTAGGCTTCTGAAGGATACTTGCCTAACCAGCACCATAGCAGTGACTTCAGGCAGCACGCCCCGATCCCAGCCAGGGCCGCTGCCCTTCCCTGCCCGCTGGAAACAGCATTAGTCCCACACGCAGCGCAGCTTTCCTAAGAAACTGCCTGCATAGAGCCTGCTCGGCACCAGGTGCTTCATTAACTAACCACATCTCCGTTACTTGAGCAGAGCCAGAACAAGTTTTGTAAGCAAGTGACAGCAAAGCTTTTCATGCAGTAAAAGCTTAAATACAGGACTATAGATCGTTTGCCATGAGAATTCCAAGCACTGATTGAGCCGTCTTGTACTTCTCATTAAGCTTGAAACCCAGGGGCATACAGCTCAGTACACAAGCATGAATGCTTAAGCTTAAAGCACAAAACAAACGCAGCAGCACATAGGGATAGGATTATACTATTTAGGAAGTGTAGTTTATGATTATCTTGTTCGCTCTAAGATATATGCCTAAATATGTGACACTGTGGCAAAAAAAAACAAACACAACAAAACAGCAAGAGGGAAGAAAGACTATGTGCAGGAGGCAAAACACTGACTGAGGAAAACTCAAGATGTGATAATGACTCCTTCACAAAAGAAACCTTCCACTACGATTTTCAGGAAGCTGCCTGGTCCACAGATCAGACCTACCTCCTATTTAAGTTCTACTAATCCAATCTGTCAGAATGCATTACTTCCTTGGGACAGCATCAACATCATCATACACCTTTTTAATGAGATCTTTCTTTACTGGAAGAAGAAAAGAGGTATGATTGTATCTGCTAAATTACCATTAGGGTAGCCACAAGCTTGAAGAACTGGATTATCTTTCATCAAATCTTGGATACGCAAGTCTTTCAAATAACTTTAAAAAAGGCACACTACTTACAGCAGTCAAAACATGAAGCATAGTCATTAAAATGAGATTTTTCTTCCCCCCCCTTTTTTTTTTTTTTTTGAGAAAGCATAGACTAAAACTACTGAGAGAAAGACATTCACTTCAGTAGCTGCACCGAGAAAGACTAATGCAGAAATGAATTTGTATTTTCCTACTTAATGTTAAATAAACACAGAAAGTACATACAAATAGCCAAAGAAATATTAAAGATGAAAAAGGTTTCCCCCATCCTCTTTTCACAGTGTAAAACAGTCCTTTCTATGTAACAGCTAAATCTAAAGCATATGCCACTGAAAACGGAATTTCATAGACGAATTCATGATAGGATGAGCCAAGACTTGCTCAGTTTCTGAGTGATTTGCTGTGAGGGTAGTAAAACACACAGCTCAACAGCAATGTTTTGTAAACAATATAACTAAATACTTCCTCTGTGCCATGTGGTTACCTACAGAAGCTGCTTTCCTACCCTGCCAATAGGACACTGCACTAATTCAGACAGCAGCACTTGTGAAGAGACAAAGATTCCTCTCTGCTGCCGACAAGAACTGTGTTTCTGAAGTCACTGTTAACTTCTGGAGGCACTGCCTCTCAATTCTAAAACCCTTTATGCAAAAAGCCTGAAGGGGGAACAAACCAAAGATACTATATGGGAAGAGCACTAGCTAAGGAATTCTGGAAGATTTAGCCTTCTCCATCCTATCTTAACAGGAAATGGGTAATGCCAATAGAGCAAACTGATGGCCAGCAGCTCAGCTTACAGTGCATGTAAGCACTTAAGGCTGACAGGGTCTACAAGCCATCCTTGATTACTGGCAGAGGCCTGGGATGACTCTAGCTGTCAGATGAAATGCAAGAGGAAAACCCACATTGGCACTTTTTCCTGATACACCTCTCCTGCCTGCTGGTGGAGACTGTCAAGTTCTCAAACAGAGCCATTCCCTCTGCTACCTGAAATAAGGGAAGCTGATGTACACATTTAAACATGTCATTCACTAAGGAAAGGGCAGGGATGCATATACAAACTATTACGTTACACGGAGCAGGTCACAATCAATCATGGAACCCTAAGTTTTGTATGTCAATCATCTAGCGTAATGGCAGTTTGATCTCTCGCAATCCCAATTTTGTTCTAGAGACCAAGCTCCTGTACATTCATTTAAAAAATAAGGTCCTTCTTCCAAATGCTGCTAGTTCTCAGCTCCAGCATCTTCACAGTCTCCTTCCAGGTGTACAGTCCACTCAACCAATAGTCAGTCAAACATCACTAGGTTGGTTCTGGGTAGCACACACACAAATGAGTCTGCAGTAAGAGTGTTTAAATAATGTAGTAGCTTTCATTATAGTAATAATCCTCTTCAGAGTCCTCATGGTCACAGCTGCTCATCGACAAGATGGAGTAGATGGGAGAAGTGACACTGCTGTCATTGTCTGTGGCTGTCTTCACCAACGCATTCTGTTTCTCTGCATTCAAAACACGCAGACACAAAAGTTAGCAGTAACCACTGTACTCTCTAAAATTACTAGTTCTCTTTGAAACTTACAGCCTCTCACTCTCGGTCTGCAGCAGATCTTTCAAGCTGCAGAGCACAGGCCTTTTCAGTTTTCAGCATTAAAAGAACAAAGGGTTATGGAGGTTTTTTGTTTGTTTTCTTAAGCTTCCTGTATGCCTTTTCCACAGTACAGATGAGGACACATTCTCCAACCCTTCACTAGCACACAGTTGTCAACAGAAGTAGCTAACAGTGCCTTGCCAGGTAACGAAGAGAGAAATGTAGTAAGTAGCTCTCAAACCAGCAATGGTTGTTCAGGACACTTACAGCCCCATCAAAACCTCCATAAATTTAAGAGCTGTCCTATTGGTGCCTCTTCTACTAAGGCTCTTGGAAAGGCTTCTTAGCTTCTGAAGCACCACCTGCATGACTATTCCTCTTTCAGCTGGTTTCTCCTTAGGAAATCCTGTTTCTTAGCCATACAGTTATCCACATCGCAATCACTGAATAAAAAGATTAATGGAAACAATTCATCCTTCCTCCTGAAGCGCATTGGTGAAACTAAATTATTTCCTATTAACAGTCATTTAAATAATTAGAGTATCGCATATGAAGGTAGGCTATCAGCTTATTTCTTTTTAGTTCAAACAAGCATGAAGACCACTGGTTCATCAGACAGAAGTGAAGCAGGATCCTATGAATGTACTGCTTCGCCTATCACCATTAGCTACTGGATGATGCATGTCATTAGCGCTATGACACACTGCAGATGTGCAGTGTGCAAAATGAAGGATCATGCAGTCGCCTCTATGAAAGAGAAACAAAACAATTACTTAAGGGAATAAAGCAAAAGAAATGTTTTCAGGGGTAGCAGAAAGACATTTCTACATTTCCCAGCACCTAAATACCAGCGTCAAGTGCTCTAGAAACAAATCTGGAATAGAAAAGCAGAATAGGAATACCCCATACTGAAGTTTTACTTAAAGCCACTGCTACCATACAGTCTTTTAGCTACAACTAGGCAAGAGGTTATGCATTTAAGCCACAATGGCTTTCATTTCACAAAAGTAACATGACAGAAGAACTGCCAGTTCAGCCTTATGCTTATGTGACACACCAATATTCCCTTCAGATTCCCTACACAAACCTAGCACACAGAGGAGAATTCAGTTTCTCATCACTGCTTTGCTGATGTTTTTGCAATCATATAGTCAGCAGTTTAATCAAAAGGTGCCTGGCTCCATATAGTTTTGTATTTATTTAGTGATCTCTTTGAAACAGCATAAGCTTTAACATGGTTAAGCTGTCCTGCTCAACGGTGGAATTCATACTGAAGTCTTTCTCCTAATTTAATTTTATTTTGCTGTGTAGTAAAGCTAGTTATGCAACAAATCTTAAAATTAATTTTCTAGTGTTTCTGCTGCATTTCCTAAGCATCCCCTTGGTATATAGGTGCCAAAGAAAGTTGTACAAAATAGATGGAATGAGAGATTGTACTCATCATGCCACATCCACCCACCTCTCACCTTTCCGCTCTCTGATAAGGGACAGGCGGTGCTCTTTCATTTCCACATCCAGTTTTTCTACCATCCTGTCAATGCAATTATCCAGCACCAGAGAGCGTGTCTTTGACTTGATCTCCTGCCTGCAGATAGGGCACTCCACTTTACGTTTTGTCCACTCATTGATACAGTAGGAGCAGAAGCTGTGTGCACAGTTCAGAGTGACTGCCTATGGAATTCAACAGAAGGATACTTATCAGAGCATGATCACACAAGCATTGTCAAGAAAAAAAAATAATGAAGTCAGAAAAACATTAGATGAACACTTCCTGTAAGGAAAACAGGGGGAGAAGCCTGAAGCCCCTTTTCTTCAGCCTTCACAGGGATTACACACAAAAACTCTCCAATGCCGGAGTGCAGACAAGTTCTACGAGCTGGTTAATGACTTCACCGTAGACCACAGCAAGTCAGACACACAGAGAAAAAGCATTAATTCCAGTATAAATTTCCCCAACGTGAAAAGGATAAATTACGGAAAAATACAGATACTGCAGAATAGCATCTTATGTTACTGAGAAATGAGAAATTAGAATTTCAGCTAACTCTTCAGTAATTATTAGACGACTAACACATCAGGGTGCCTGTAGGAGAAATTAATTATAAAACTGAAGATCTTGGAAAACAAACAGAAATAACACTCTATGTTTCAGACACAGCCTATCACTTCTACAATCATACTAAAATAAGACAGTTTCTCAAAGAACTAGTTTATCTGAACAATCTAGAAGATTCAGGACTTGACTGAACACTGCACCTCCCTTCCTTTACTAACCTCCTCCTACATCTAGACCTGAAGCTGTCCAACCCCAGTCAACTTAAAGCAAGGTCTACTACAAAATTATTCTTCCTCAAGTAGGCTGCCAACAGCAGGTTAAAGCCACCCAAATCTGCTGGAAGCCTATATGCATCCCAGGATTAAGCACTCGTCTCTGTGCAGGTAGCAACATTAAAGCTGACATTGCTGCTCAGAGTTAGAGCAGACAGACTGAATTTCTGGTCCCACCCTTACCCAGAACTCACTGTGTGTCTGCTGAGACTGTTAAAATAGCCAAGTAAAGAAATAAGCTTGACTGTTGCTTTAATAAAGCTAGGGAAAGCTTCCCAAGTCTCTACTTGCAAACCTGTACCAGTTTCAACATACCTCGATAAAGTGCTCAGAACAGATTGTGCACTGCAACTCATTCTCCAAAACATCATTCATCTGATTCAACACCTCTTCTTTTTGGGCTCTCACCTTTTCCTTCTCCTCCTAGTGGAAAAGTACATATGGTCACATACCAACAAAGAAAAAGGTTTTACTCAACGTAATACTGTCAGGAAGCGTGCATGCAGGGGAAGGTAGTACAAGCAGAAAAATCCAAGTCTCCACATGTCAAGTCTATTATATACCCAGATCTGTAACCTCTTTCTTCTTTGTAGTCATGGCAATAATGAGAACATTCCCATCCTCTGTAGAGAACTTACAAGCAAGAACAGCAGCTGTTTCCAAAATTCCCCTCAGTCTAAAGAAACTACTGGCAGGATCGATCTTTTCAGAATCTATTTCAGCCTCTTCCTGGCATGTGTTTTAAGTCAACAGAACAGTTATTTTATGTCTGATGTAAAGAGCAAACACCCAACTAACAAAATGCCTCAAATATTAAAATGAGGAAGCATAAGAATTTAAAACATTTACTTGCATTTAACTATCCAATAATTTTGTTGTTGTTTGGAGTTAAATTAGGCTCCCAGGCACCTGCTCTAAAAATAACAGAGAAATTCTTCCAATTGAAGCTATACTTGAAACAGGAAGAGTTACAAAAAAACTAAAGCAAAAAGCCAGAGGTGTTTCCATTTTGATCATTTCCATTGGTGATCATTTCCAAGGGTAAGACACGGGAAAGGATCTCCTCATTATTTTCCACTCATCATCTTGTGTCAAGGACAGAGAGAAATGTGGCTTATCTCATTCATTATTCAAATTACATGTTGTTTCAGCTGGAACACTACAGTTTTACTTGAACACACTAACTGAAAATGAAGCACCTCACTTTTCAAGCACGCCTTCATTTTTTTTTTATTATTTTTTTTTTTAAGAACGGGTGGAATGAGCTCACTTACACACAACACACAGTTCAGGTGCTCTGGGCTTTCTTTACAATTGCAAAAGATGGAGTAATGACTGTTCAACACTAATTTAGGAACAGGGCAAGGTGTATCCTCCTCAACCCTGGAAACTAGAGTTAGCTGCCACCTCAAAGTACAGGAGGTTTTCACCTTACAAGGCAAAGTACAGTCAAGACCAATGGTGAATAAACCATTTCCTCTGCTGCAGCATACCATGTTTCACTTATGAACAGAACTAAGAATATGGTTATTCCTTACCTTGGTTTCCTCCAGTTCTTTATTTTTGGCTTGGATTATCTCCTCAAAATCTTTTTTGCTACGGCTCAGTTCTTCCATCAAAGCATGATGCTGTAACAATACAATTCCAAAAATTACAAAAGGGCCATTATAAGCTATCCTATTAAATATACATGGCCATAATCATGATGCTCAGCACACTCATTTCTCCTAATCTCCTCCTAATAGAGCAACACGTCTGTTACGCATTGACATGTTAGGCAGTTTGGACTTAACTTAAAATTCGAATGTAGTGCCCATTATTTGTGTCCTTCCCAGTGTCATGGCACTGCTCATTCCCTCTCCCAGGTTACTCTTTCACTTCATTTAGACTTTACAATCACCACTTTGAATGTACAGTATTCAGGGGTATTTGACATATAAAGTTTACAAAAACCCTGTCCCTGTATGAAGCTGCTTTCAGATTAGTTTTCAAAAAGGAAAGACCTTTTGGAAAAAGCCTAGAAAGCCAAAGTTGTGGTAATCTCTTTCAAAAACATTCCTGACCACAAGTGATTTTTTTTTAATTCCATCTGGTTAAAATTCCATAAACTCCCCTAAACAGATTTCTACCAAGAGGCCACAGCAGTAAGATTTAAGTATCAGTTATACAGTTAGACCAAACCTAGATGCATAACTACTTGCCTCTTGCAGGACCTGGGCTAGCTGTTCCTTCAGCTTTTCTTCTCCATGTTGCCCCTTTACCCCCTGTGTAGGGAAGGAGAAGAGGAAATTAAAAAAAAAAAGTACTTGAAGAAAGCAAGGGACAGGAAACGACTATTTTGCACACTCTCTCTAGAGGTTACATTGAAAGAAACAACCCTGGTTTTCAGCAAACCCTGAGATGTCCCGCTCTAGTGTGTCACACATGTGTACAACAAATTAGAGAAATCGTTTACTGTGAAGGGTTAAAGTGGATGCATCGTTTACAGTTACATACTTGGAACACCTCCACGTTGCTCCAGCTCTAAAGGCAATAACATATTCATAGAAGCAAAGAGGTCAGCAACAGCTTAAACATGAGAAAAAGCTGCAATTCTACCTTTGATCAGACATACCTACAGCTCCAGTGGAACTTCCCCTTGTGCCCAAGCACCCAACTCCCGGCTTTCTGTATCTTTTCTGATACAGGTATCTTTCTTTTTGCAGCAGACTTTAAAGGAAGTAACTGGTAAATTATGAAATTCACTCCAAGATGAATCCTTACTTCCTTTAAATCAGATTTTGGGCAAACAAGGACAGAAAAAACTTCAGCATGCTATCTAAAAAAGCTACCTATCAACAAACTCATACTGCTTGAAGACGCAGATTTCAAGAAAGGGTTTTTTGAAAATAAATTTTCCCTCCCTCCAGGGATTTAAAAATAAGTAATTCACTTGCTTGGAAAGGCAATGGATTTGCCATGCAAACTGAGCATTAATACAGCCATGTACCAAAAGAAATTCACAGTTAGGGCGAATTCTTTTCAACTTGTCCTCTCTAACCACAGGAGATCAGGCCAAGGCTTTTGATTTATTTAAAAACACATTTTTTTACCAACTGAAAAGCTTTATTATCTTGCTGTGATTTACTTGTTTGTAAACAAATTTTAAAAATACCATTTTGCACCTTTTTCCTAATTCCCCATGCAGCCCAATCTTTTCTGTCTCTGCACTTCCTTTTGGCACACGTGCCTGGAAGTTAAACACTTCCACGACAATTTTAACAGAGTAATTCATGCAATGTTATTTGTTACTGTATGGGTCAAGATGTTATTTTGGATCAATGTCTTATATTAGAAATTAATATAAATTAAAAGACACAGGCCAAAAAGATTACCATCATTATACCTCTAGATTCTGCTGCTCTTTACAGAATGTCCTTTTCAGCTCTTCCACTTGTTGCTGGTGATGCTCTTGCTCCATGCACAGCTGGTTCTGCAACTCCCGCAGCTCTTGCTCCATTGCCAGGATATCCTTCTGAGCACACTTCCTGCGCTTCTGCTTCACATTCAGAACTGCTGCCTGCTTCTCCTGCACTTTGACCTTTAACTCCGTTATATCTACTAAAGTTTTTCTCAGCTTTTCCAAGCCAGTCCATGACTCTGCAAGACCAGAGCCCTTCTGGTCCTTATGCAGGACAGACACGGCTTTCTCCGCATGCACAGGGCTACTACACACTGGACCCCTATCCTCACTTGGTCCAGGAGAAGGCAGCTTGACATCCATCTTCTCTGTGAAGTGTTTGACCTCTTCTACCCTTCCCCATGATTTACCCAAAAGTTCACTGTCAAAGGACACTCTGTCTCTCTTGGATCTGGAATTTGAGGGGCCTTCTGATCCAGATGTCTCCAATTCCTCCAGACAAAATTTACGTTTAGTTCTTGAACTCTTAGCTTTCCCCAGGTCATTTCTCTGGGCTAAAAAGGGTCTGATTTTCTCCAATTCATCTTTAATTACTTCATACTCGTATTCAGCACTTTCTTTGTTTTCCAAAGGCACTCCCAATTGGATACGGTCTCCTTCAGCAATAGGATAGGCTTTTGAAGGATCCAGACGCTGTTTGTTAAGCCAGACTCCATTTAGACTCTGCCATTGAAAAGAGAATCAGCAAAATTTAATATGCAGCTACACAGTCCGCTACAGGTTATTTCTGGCAGCCGTAAACATATCCAGTCTCTTCAGCAGTGCAGTCAGAACAAAACACCTCTTTAAATAAACTTTGCAATATCCAATTTATTGGCTTAGTGTTCTATTTATTAGTTATTGCATTATATTACTTACCATGCATTATTCCTGCATTGCAGATTTTCTGTACAAGCACTAAGAACAACATTAATACATGCACTTGTGCAGAAGGAAAAGAATAAACTCCAAGGGGAAAAAGCTGCCCAAAACCTTCAGAAATAAAAATTAACCAATAAAAAGACTCCAGAACAGATCATTGTCAAGAACAGAATACTACAGCGATTATTCTTGACAGCTAATGTCACCTGAAATCCAAGAAGAAACTAGAAAAGAAAAAGGAGCATAGTTTACACTGCTTAAAGGAAAAAAAACAGTTCTCCATAAATACAGAGAGAATACAAACAAGAAGGAAAATGTAAGAGATAAGGTTCAAAACAGAAAAGGGGTTTTAAATGAGAGACAAGACTAGGTCAAGAAATAGTTTTGAAAAACAATAAACTGATCTGCACTTAAGATGGATGAACTGCAGAATCATTAACAACTGACACACTTCAAAGACTTAAACTGGTAGCAGTGAGAACACAGAGGAAGTTAATTGTTAATCTACCACAGTTGTTTCCAATCATGCAATTAGTGTAAGTTTATATAAGTACTCCAATAGAGTTTTCTTTAAGAGCTGTGTAACTTTCATAGTAGCTACTATTAGTGGCTACTAATAGTAGCTCCTTTCTGACAAACTTGGTGTTGACCTAAACAACCTTCAAGTCCCCATAACATGTCGAACAATTTCATTCTATCAGTGCTGTTTTAAGGCAAGTTACTCATTTTACAGCTTTTAGCCTGAATGAGAAAAGGGAGATCATGATATAAAAAACAGGCTAATGAAATTACAGTGAAACCTAGCTGAGGACTTCAATGTCCACACTTATTTCTACTCAGCTAAGGAGGACATTCAGAAAAAAATTGCTGGGACATAACATAAAGCATAGTCTTTCTAAAAATAAAGTCTTGTAGTCGATTATAACTAAAGCGACTGCGTCACTACAATAAGGAGTAACAATAATGAGTATCAGTTTATCCTTTTGTTAGCAGTACAAGAACATTATCCTTTTGAATACTACCAGAAATTCATGGGATTTTTTTTTTTTTAACAAAACAGGTTCACAGGCTGCAAAGTGTCCTTGGCAAGACTACAATTGTCTGAAAAATGCTAACCTGAGACAGGAATCTACATTCAGAAAGCAATACAGTTTGCATCACAATTGCAGCAGACTGAAAGTTTCCTGTTGGAAGTGCACAACAGGCAGGGCACATTCCCATAGACCTTCTATCACACTTATACCATATTATATCATAATTAATGCATTGCTTGAGCCCAAACAAGGCATTTTCTCCAGCAAATCTCAAAGTATAAGGTCTTTAATCAGTCTCTATACCTTGTTATCCTTGACAGTCCACTGCCCTTCTGCATTTTGCTGGAAAACACAGTGCTTACGAGAGATCATCAAGGGGCAGGTTTTTGACACCAGCTGATACGTAAGATCTAATCCTCGGCCTATAGTTACCTAAAAATAAAGTAGTTTAGTAAGTGCAATTAGCAACAACATAGTAGATTAAGTTTATGTCATTTCAATTTAAATTTAAATTTAAGCTGCAGCAATCAATATAAATCAGCATCTTACAGCTATTTCTGAAGAGCATTTAAATTCAAGAGTAGGAAGAAAATGGAAACCTACAAAGTTTGAAGTATTCTCTTTTTCTCCCACTTAGGAAAATTTGATTGCCCTAAGGCAGATTACAGCCTTGATTTTATGGAAATTTTCCCTGGGAGCAGAACTGCTCTAAGCCCCTCTCAATCCAGCTGTGTCCCACCTTAGTCATCACCTAACTTCTTCAAACCAGTGCAATTATTTGCGGGTCTCAAGATTACTTCTTACCCTCTTCTTTTGCTACTTGCATCTGTTCAACTGTCTGTGAACAGGAAAAATTCAGAAAAAATAACCCAGAAAATTGCTATCCAAAAAGTGCACATACAACCATACCCTAAACACACAATACTGTTGTAAATCACACCATCAACCACACGGCTCAGAGTCTAAGCTACATGCAGTTCATAACCAGTAATGAAAGTGATCTGAATAATCAGATTAGACTCTAATACCGTCTTCTGGGAAAAGGGACATAATTTAATTGTACCATTTCACAGTATCTTATTAAATCTGACTTAACTTCAGGCTGCCATTTAAAGCACAGCTTTGCTCTCCTTCCCTTCACTGCCTCTTTTGCCAAGATCTGATAATCATACACACTCTTCTTATTCGCCTGTCCACTGCACAAGTTCTCAGCTTATCATGTCATTAGACAACTGCATGGATCCAACACAACACAGCAGGAACACGCAGCCAGAAGAAGCAGCACAAACACCTTTTAGCAGAAGCCCACAGTTAAATCTGAGGAAGACTATTCCAAAAGTGCTCTCTGCTTTTTATACTTCAGACAAAAGCTGCCCTCCTTTTCTGCCACATACCTCCCAATTCCTACAAGATCCTACAGTCAAGAAAAGTTCATTCACTACACATTACCTGAACAGGTCTCACCTTGAATTCAAAGCAAGAACATGGACTCCCATGTTGTAATTATGTAAGGAAACAAAGAAAGCAAGCCAGGTTGAATGGGGCTTTGAGCAACCTGGTCTAGTGGAAGGTGTCCCTACCCACGGTAGGGGTGTTGGAACTGGATGATCTTTAAGGTCCATTCGACCCAAGCCATTCTATCATTCTATGATCATGCAAGCAAACTTAACCATGTTGGTCCCTGCTTCTTTAATGCTTCATACCTATTGGTGTTCTGTCAACATGGACTGCATATGTAAAAAGCACAGAGACTCAGATGGGTAAAGACTGCACACTTCAGGTGGATTCAGTTACGAACTCTGCACTTGTCCCTGCAGTTGCAGCAGAAATGCTTAATCTATGTGAGCAATCCTTAGCACCCAGCCACACAGACATCACGGCCTCCTTAGCACCAATACAAGCAAGACCAAATAAGGCGGGTCACAAAACTTCCCGCTGATCAAGTTCATCATGCAAAGCGTAGCAAGGGTCTCAGGCATTACTGCTTGCCCACTGGAGTTGGCTGCTGCTACCCACAGCAGTCCTGGCAGGTCACTGCCTTGGCAAGGCAGTTTGGCACTGGCACTTAAATCCCAAAGAGGCTTCAGCTGAAACACCAGCCTGTGGTGTTGCCTGCCTGCAGTACCAGGATGCCAGCAGTGCTGCTGTTGCCTGTGGCAGGGACTGTAGCACTGTGCAGAAAATCAGAGTAATAACATCTTGTGAAGAGAATCTGCACAACTGTCAGAGCCCAGGCTGCAAGTTTTGCAGACATATTAACTCAAGTTGTTCACTGAGCACACTTGCACACCTCATGGCTTCAAACCCATGACGGCAGAGTAAGAAAACTATACATTTGCTTAAAGAGCTGTGAAGAGGGGTACCTTTTGTAATGCATAAAAGGAATTAGGAGCAGCACTAACTCAGGACACCCAACTACCTGAATTCCATACCACTTCCACCACTAGAGCAGGAACCCTCTTACAGCCCACAGGATAGGGCTTGGCCTGCTGGGTGTAAGGGAAACAGGATAAAGGCCCATGCAGGCTTTTCAATTAACAAACAGATCACTAAAAAGGGGTCATTCCTGGACCATACTGAAAAGTAACTGAAACAGACTTAAAATATACACCTCAATACCTTAAGTCACAAAACTCAAATATGTTATGTACTGTTAACCTTTTCAAAGCAAATCCACAGAAGGGCCACAAGGATGATAAGGGCACTGGAGCACCTCCCACACGAAGACAAAATTAGGGCTGTGCAGCCTGAAGAGAAGCTACACAGAGGACTCATAGCAGCTTCCAGTATCTGATGGGGACTACAAGGATGCCGGAAAGGGACACTTCATCAGGGACTGTAGCAACAGGGCAAGTGGCAATGGGTTTAAATTTAAACAGGGGAATTTCAGGTTAGACATTAGGAAGAAATTCTTTGCTATAAGAAGGTGAGGCCCTGGCACAGGTTGCCCAGAGAAGCTGTGGCTGCCCTATCCCTGGCAGTGTTCAAGGCCAGGCTGGGATGGGGCTTGGAGCAACCTGGTCAAGTGGAAGGTGTCCCTGCCCGTGGCAAGGCAGTTGGAACTGTACGATCTTAAGGGACAATTCAGCCCAAGCAGTTCTATGATCAACTTGTTAATTAGGCTAAGCACCCCCCACCCCTTACTGTCACACACTCGGCTCCCAATCAAATACGAGACGGCGTTCAAAGGCTCTAACAGTCCCTAGCTTTGCAAGCCAGACCCGAACACCCGCCCTCCGCTCCCTCGCACATTACCTGCGCTGAAACGCGCCTATTCTGGCCGCTGCCTCCCGCCACCCCGGGGGGCACTCCCCTGGCCGCAGCAGGACTCAGGACAAGCGGCGCCGGTAACGGACCCGGACCCGGACCCGGACCCCGCCCCCGTGTCGCGGCCCGGCTCACCTGCGTGCCAGCCTCCAACAGCAGCCAGTCACCGCTGGCCCCGACCCGGCGCAGGCACCATGCCAAGCGAGAGGGCCCCCGCATCGCCATGGCCGCCCGCCGGAACAGGCGGGATCAATCGCTGCTGCGGCGGCGCTCTCGCTAGCTAATTGAACCCCAACAGCCAGCAACGGCTGCGCACGCACCCTGCGAGGCGGTGACTCCCGTGCTGCGCCCGTGGTGCTCCTCTGCTATCCCGGCGGCCCCTCCGCCACCGCCCTTTCCGGACCTCGCAGCGCCGCCTTCCGCTACCATGGCGGCGGCTGCCCGGCTGCGGCGGAGGGTGCTGCTGGCGGTGCCGTGGTGCTGGTGCTGCAGCCCCCGCCGCGGGGCAGCCGATGGCCCGCCGGCCGGGCACGTCCGCGCCGCCTTCCTCCGCTTCTTCCAGGACCGCCACGGCCACCGCCGCCTGCCCTCAGCTCCCGTGCGGCCCCGCGGCGACCCGGGCCTCCTGTTCGTCAACGCGGGCATGAACCAGGTGCTACCCCCCGTTCCCTCCGTCCGCCCCGGGGCTCCGGCCCCACGCAGGTCCTTCCGCTGGCTCCCGAGGAGCGCGGCGCGTCTCGGGGTAGAATCATAGAATCAACCAGGTTGGAAAAGACCTCTAAGATCATCATATCCAACCTTTACCCCAGGACTGGCAAGGCCACCACTAAGCCATGTCACTGAGGGCCTCATCTACATGGTTTGTGAACACTTCAAGGGATGGTGATGCCACCACTTCCCTGGGCAGCCAACACCAATGCCTGAGCACCCTCTCTGTGAAGAATTTTTTCCTAATATCCAATCTAACCTTTCTTTGGCACAGCTTGAGGCCATTTCCTCTTGTCCTGGTGCTTGTTACTTTGGAGAAGAGATCAATCCTGACCTCCCTACACTCTCCTTTCTGTTAGATGTAGAGAGTGATAAGGTCCCTCCTGAGCCGTCTCCAGACTAAACAGCCCCAGTTCTCAAAGCTGTTAGTCATCAGACCTATTCTCCAGACCTTTCACCAGCTTCATTGCCCTTCTCTGGACCCGTTCCAGCAACTCAACATCTCACTTGTAGGGAGGGCCGTAGAACTGTGGCAGAGCAGGCTCCCACATGGGTTATCACACCGCTGCCCTCCCATTCACCTCTGGCTGGGAAGGCACAGCCCCCAGTGCCAGTGGTGTCCAGCAACAGCAGATGTTTCTCTGCCCTGATTTCCAGTTCAAGCCCATCTTCCTAGGCACGGTGCACCCCCGGAGTGAGCTGGCGCAGCACCGGCGGGTGGTGAACAGCCAGAAGTGTGTGCGAGCGGGAGGGAAGCACAATGACTTGGAGGACGTGGGCCGCGACACTTACCATCACACGTTCTTTGAGATGCTGGGGAACTGGTCCTTTGGGGATTACTTCAAGGTGAGGAAATAGGAGCGAGCCTTCTGGGGGGGAGGAAAGACAGCCTTTCTTTCAGAGCTGTGCTGTAGTGACGTAAGACTGTGCAGAAAGCATTTTGGTAAGCTCCAGATTATGTCTTGGTGGCTCTGTGGCCTGGAGTACAGGTAGTCAGCTGGGGTTCTGAACCACTAAATGTGCCCTGCAGGCTCTGGAAGAACTCAGCCTGTCAAAGCTGTGAACAGCACATACAAACCACAGTTCTCTATGTGAATGCCAATGTTGACCATTCAGTATGTTGCAAAAAGATTACCAGTTCATTTGGTGCTTCTTACTACAAAGTTTGAAAAGGGGAGAATGATAAAAGGTGCTATTTTTTTTGGGGGGGAGTAACTCTGCTAGTAAGTACATGGTTGTAGATAGTGCTGTGATCCTGAAGGTCTCCCAACTATGTAGTGATGTCAGTTTCACACAGGCAGCAGTGAGCTGTCTCACTTGCCTGACCCTCATTCTGCTCTTTGCAATATGCCTTAAAATTGAGAAGGGAGAGAGCAGCAGAAATTTAACTTCTTTGGTCCTTGACTCTCATTCTAAAGAGCCTTTCTGCATCGTTCTGCGTCCTGGATTACTGTGCTTCATTTGTGTTCCCTGCCTGCTCAGGAGGAGGCATGTAGCATGGCCTGGGAGCTCTTGACAGAGGTCTACGGGATCCCCAGAGATCGTCTCTACGTCACCTATTTTGGTGGAGACTCCTCGCTGGGGCTGAGTGCAGATGATGAGTGCAGGGACATATGGCTTCGCCTGGGGTAAGCTTGTTAGAGAAGAGGTTCTGAGCAGTAGGTCTGACACTTTGGTCTCTCTAGTCCCCCATTTGCTCTTTAGTTGACGTGAATAAGATGTAGGGGGCAAAAGTTGTGTTTTAAACTCGTTTTGTTTCTGTTTTGTTTGAGCTGTTAAAAGTCAGCTGGGCTCTGGGTGCTCTGGGGCACTTGACCTTTAAGCTGGTTTACAGATGTCATCAGTCTGGGGAGATGTGTACCCGAGTGTGGCTGGCCTGGATGAAGTGTGTGAAGGATCTCTGATCCTTTGATTCTTCTCTGTCATGAGCTGCAGGAAGCGTATTCTCTGAAAGGTAGCAATGGCTGCTTCAGTGTGAAGCCATTGCAGAGAGTGCTGCTCTGCTTTGGGATCTTGTCCCGGGCTGTATGTGGGTTTTGAGCCCAAGACAGCTAGCTCTGTGCTGCTGGTGGTGTTCACCTTGTCCGCTGTGATCAGGCTTTAGCTGTGCTGGTATTCACTCCAAGGAGGAAGGCAGCTCATTAGTGGAGAACCTGTCTCTGTCAGCAGGAGCCAGACTATGTTTGCCATCCATTCTGAGCAGTGAATATGATCCTGTCTGGTTTGGTCCAGCTTCTTCCTGCTAAGGAGAATAATTCTGTGTGAACAGAAGCAAAGGAATCCTAATGTGTTTGGTCATTGAGTTTGTAGTAGTCACGAAGGATTTCTCCCTTCCAACTTTCTTTATGATCTAGGCTACTGTGTGCTTTGTGTGCGTGCCCCACATGTTGTTTGCCTTTCCAGGGTGCCTGCCAGCCGTGTGCTTCCTTTTCCATTGAAGGACAACTTCTGGGAGATGGGGGACGCAGGTCCCTGTGGTCCCTGCACAGAGATCCACTATGACCACGTGGGTGGTGGCAGAAATGCTGCAGCACTGGTGAACCAGGGCAACCCTGATGTAGTGGAGATCTGGAACCTGGTCTTCATGCAGTACAACAGGTACCAGGCATCTAGTCTGAACTCCAGAGTCTTTCCCCCTTGTCTGACTCCAAAATTGTATGTCTGTATTCTCAGACATCTTGCTGCTTTCTAGGAGGTTACAGTACAGGAGCAAGAAGGGAAGCTCTGGATATGTGTCCAGTGTGGTTTTTGATCCCCTTTGTTTTATTTGTCCTGTCTGTCTTCAACCTCAGTTGCTTATTTTCCTTCATTGCTGCATCCCAGAGGTCTCTTGAGGTCTCCAGCAGCCTGGAGACACCTGCAAATGCAGAAGCAGCCTTTGGCTGCTGTCTAGAAGGCCTTTTTCCCTATGTTGCTGTCTGTCGTGACTATCTGATGTTCAGATCCTGGCTGTCTGACAGTGCCTGACAAGGCAGGCTGCTGTTAAGTCTTGCTCCTGAACTTCCTTTTGCTGGGTCACCTGCTGTTTCTGTCCCCCATCACTCTCCCATTTTCTGTGATTCACCTGCTCCTTTTCTTCGCTCCTGAATTGACCCTTGCTTTTCTTTTGCATTTTTTTTTCCCCGGCTGGCTGACAGAGAGGTGGAGGGGAATCTGCTTCCCTTGCCTCAGCATCACGTGGATACAGGAATGGGCCTGGAAAGGCTGGTGACAGTTCTGCAGAACAAACGCTCCAACTACGATACAGATCTCTTCACTCCCATCTTGGATGCCATTCACAAGGTAACAGTGCTTCTGATTAGAGTCAAAGCTAAGCAGGAGCTGCTTGAATGCAGACTTCTTGCCTGGTGCCATGGCACAGCCTTCTCTACATATGTCACTGTGTAGTAGTTTGAGAAAGGAAGTACGTCCAGCCGGGTCCAGAGCAGCATTCTGGGGAAACTGGGGAGAATTCCAGGCTGGAAATGTGCTAGCTTATTAGCAGTGCTGATGCATTTTTCCTGCAGTTTCTTAAATTCCTCAGTGCCACGGCATTGGCTGACCTGGAAGTCTTGGTCTGTAATGCTCTGAAAGAATTTAATGAGAGCACCTTAAATGCACATGGTTCAGAGGTAGTTGAGGAGCATGATGTCAAATGTAGCTGTCTGCCTCATGTATTGAAACTTTTATTTCTGCTGCCATTAATTTCTGCTGATCTGTCTCCTTACTGGGTTTTTTTTAGGGCTGTAGGGGACCTAGATACCAAGGTCTGGTTGGGGATGCTGATGTTGGCCGTGTGAATATGGCTTACCGTGTGGTGGCAGATCACGTGCGCACCTTGTGCGTGTGCATCACTGATGGCATCTACCCCGGCTTCTCTGGAGCAGAGTAAGAACATAAGGAAATGGCACTGGGTCTAGTGAGTTAGCTCTAGAAAGGAATATGGACAGCCAGGGGAAAGGTTGTGATGTGGACCCAATATAGGGAGTGCATGAGCTCTGGGGAGGCAGGAAGGTGAGACCCTGGGAGAGGTTTTGATATGCAGGCTCATTCTTGGGTGGGTGTAGAGTGCCTGGAGCAGCTGGCCTGTGGCAGTAGATGAGGCCAGAGGAGCTATAGCATGCTGGATGTGGGAGCTGGGCAGGGATGCTTACATGGCTGTCCAGCAAATCCTGCCCCGTTTTCAGACTGGTGCTGCGTCGGATCCTGCGTAGGGCTGTCCGCTTTTGCTCTGAAGTCCTTCATGCTCCACCTGGGCTCCTGGCCTCCCTGGTGCCTACTGTAGTGGAAGTTCTCGTGAGTAAAAACTGCTGCTGGGGAGAAGAGTATCCTACATGGCCTGTTCCGCCCCATGTCCCTTTACTGTATGTTGTCAGGAGACAATCTTAGGTGTGAACCTTGAAGCTCCAAGAGGGTATATCTGGTGCTGTGCATCACAGCAGTAAAAATCTCGTCTCTTGATCATTTGTGATGGGAGGGGCCCTTGTTTGACTGTCAGCACAAGTAGGTGTGTAAGTGTATGCAAGCACACACTGTTCCTTAAATGCAGTGGCTTCCAAGCTGTTACATCTTGTTTAAACCATCTGAAATTGGTCCCTGTGAGTACTAACAGTATCCTAAAAGATGATGCTTTCTTCTTATGGTGAATGGATGTGTTTGCCAAGAGATGCTGTGCAGAGGCTAGCAGAGGCAGGTCATAGGGAGAGAGCCAAGAGACAGCAGCTGAAAGTCCTAAGTGTGATTCTTCCCATGTGCTGCTGGCCCTGGAGCTGTGTGCTAGGACTCCCTTCACACTCACATCCTTGAGAAGCCTCTGTAATGCTTTTAGCACACTGCTAGATCCCCTGAGGAAGATGCTGAGGATGTTATCACTAACTGAAGCTCACTCCACAGGGAGATGCTTATCCAGAGCTGACAAAGAATACAGACCAGGTAAGTGATATGGAATCTCCTGGAGAGAAACCCCATCTCTCATTATCTTTGTGAGGCACTGCTGTCGGGCAAAGCCAGCCCTTCCTTGGGACTTAGGTGAAAGAGTTTGTATAGACTCCTCTGTAACCATGTTCTCATGGTGGGTTGAGACATGCTGAGAACACATGGGTATGAGAGGTATCTGTGGCAGATTTTGCTGCGGGAGCTCTACTAGATCCTTACCAGGGACTGCTTGTCCTGGTATGATGCAGCTGTTGCTCTAAAAAAGCTACTTTTGTTGAGTGCACGTACAGCCTGTCCTAGCCTGGGTACTCTTTGTCCAAAGTGGATTGGTGATTTCAGACTATTCCTGGCTTGCTTCTGCTGACAGCAACTGTGATGAGCAATTTTGCTGGCTGTTCCAGCCATGCAGTTTTAATTGGGTCACAGACATGAATGTCTGACAGGGAGCATTTGTCAGCCTAAAACCTTCCCCAGGCAGATGCTCAGTATTTCCTTGACAGGAGCAGTGATAGGAGCCCCAATGACTTTGGCACTGTTCAGTAATGCATCAAAGCGATGTTGTGATGGACACTAGAGAACAAAAAGGCTAGTTCAAGCAGACACTGTGTTAGACACCTGCTTGATTTGCTTTGAACTGACTGTAGCAGGGCTGAGCTGAGCTGGGAAGCTCCCCAGGGTGTTGTGGCTAACCCTTCTTATGATCCTTGAGCAGATCATGGATATCATCAATGAGAACGAGGCTGCTTTTCTGTCCTCCCTTGAGCGTGGGAGGCGCATCATTGAGCGGACAGTGCAACAGATGGAGCCCTCCACAAACTTCCCAGGTGAGTCTCTTTGCTGTGACAAGCTGAACTTAAAGATGGTTTGATCCAAGCCCTCGCAAAGCATTGCAGTCAAAACTGGTGGACATCTGCGTCTCCCACTTGTTTTCAGTAGCCCTGGCAGAGGAGCAGATGTTGCTCCTTTCTCCAGACTGCAGTTGTTTCCTGGCACTTTGTTCTCACAACAAACTAGGCACCAGGCAAATTAGAAACATTCCCTTGCTGCTTTACTGACCAATTAACTAGGTCCTTACAAGTCACAGCTGAAAGAAGGAACTGGGGACCCAACCAGCACAGCTGCCTGTCTAGATGTGCTGCACTGAATTTTAGCAGGAATAGGGCTGTGGGGCATCGTGAATACTCAGTCTCATGCAAGAACAACTGCATGGCTTTTCTTCCCCCTTACTGGTTGAACACAACACATATGAATACAGTTCTTATATGAATACAGTTACCAAGGCACACATTAGACTGGTCCCATCAAAGCAAATCTTGAGATACCTTTGCTTTCTGTGTTTACACAGAATTCATGTCCTTCTTTTGTCTTACAGCTGAAGTAGCCTGGTCTCTTTATGGGAATCTGGGATTTCCTCTGGATCTGATTGACTTGATGCTTGAAGAAAAGGGAATCAGTTTGGATTCAGCTGCTTTTAATGAACTTGCTCTGGAAGATGCAAAGGTAAGAGGGAGACTCACTCTGTCAAAATAATTCAGAGCCTTCCCTCTCCCCAGTGAGCACAGATGCAGAATTCCTGTCATTGCTGAGGCTCTTTGAAGGCACCACAGGGCCATGTGCCTTTTCCCTGAAGGGGAAGTAGGTCTGAGACCTCAGTGGGGCCGCAATGCCTTTGCTTTTGGTGTTGGCTGGTGATTCTCTTAAGATCAGTAGAAGCGGTTTCTGATGCTGACTGTTGCTGGAGTGAAGGTTATCATAGCATTATATAGTTCAGGAGTGTCCTGTCAGTCATTTAGTCCAACTCCTCACCCAGAGCAGAGCCAGCTTAGACAGCCCAAACAATAAATGATTTATGAAGTGTTTACAAAATGTCCTTGGTCTCTAGTGCTGGAAGACTTGCACTGCCCACCACGCACACACACACACCCCCATGTAGTTATTGGTTCAAGGTCTTGCTCTTCTGAGCTTTAATGGTCTAGATGTTGCACAACTACACAGCAAGCTGTGGCAGGAGGATTGTGTTAGCTGTTGCTTGTGGCCTGCCTCAAGACTAGCACAGGGTGGTATTGAGTGCTTGTGGGATTTGAAGGAATGGGGTTGGTTTAGCAGTAGGCTCCATCAGCTTCGATCTAAACAAGCCTTTTCCAGGAAGGTAAAGAAGTTGTTCCTAGCCTTATAGCTCCAGTTATCAGTTTGAGTGCTCCCAGGTATCTCCCATCATTTGCTCATACCCCTCAGTGTTACGCTTTATTTCTGGTCTTGGCAGTCCTGGGGTAATGGTTGGATTTGATGACTTTAGAGGTCTTTTCCAAGTTAGTTGATTCTATGGTTCTCTGCCATAGCGGAAGGCTCGTGGCCCACAGGCAGGACAGGTGGAAGACAACACACACCTTGACGTGCACTCACTGGCTCAGCTGCAGAGCAACAACGTGCCTGCTACTGATGACTCTCCAAAGTACTCCTACACACTTGGGCTGCACGGGCAGTATGGTAAGTGGCCAGGTCCTGTCTGTAAGGCAAGTTCTGCCTGAGGGCACTAGAATCACTCGCAAGACTACTTTTACTGCCTAACCTCATGCGTGCAGAGCATGCACTTTGTGATTCAAACCTGTCCACCTTGCTGGCACATCTTTTCCCTGCCCCTGTACCTCATCCCAAAGTAGGTGCTTTGCTTATTGCTGCTGGTGTGTCCCCAGTGACAAGAGCTAGTGACAAGGCTGTGAGCTGTGGTCTGGTATTACTGTGCAGTGATGAAAAAGAGACTGTTGATTTCTTCTAGCCATGGCTCTGTCCCCAGCAATTAGGCTTCTGGGTGTGAGTGCTAGGAAGAATGAAGAATTATGCAAAGGGTTTAGGTAGCAGTTTAAAGCCTCGCACTTACGGTTTCTTTGGCAGACCACTAGATGCCAGTGCAGGCTTTTTATCATTGAGGTAGCTGAGGTAGCTAGTGCTCTAGGGAAAGCATAAAGCTAAACCACAGAGAGCAAGCGGTGGTGTGGCTGTCACAAACAATTAGAGATAGCTGAGTACAGCCAGCTCCTTCACACCCAGGGTGCCGGTGGCAACCACACTAAGCAGAAAGTGAGGCAAATCAAACTATATATCCATGCAAGAGCATAATGGAGGAAAAAAGCCCGGCAGTGACATTGGCTGAAATCTCCAAGCTAGAGCTGTCTCACCTCCTCAGTCTCTGAATTGTGGAATAATTCAGGTTGGAGGGGATCTCTGGATATCTTGATCTAAGGAACGTCAGCTACACAGTCAGCTCAAGTTGCTCAGAGCCTTTTCTATTTATGTTTTCAGTGTCTTTAATGACAGAGATCTCTGTTCCCTGTTCTTTATCACTCAGTGTGAAAAAGTCTGTTTCTTTACAACCGGAATTTCCTGCACTCTAGATGTAGTCTCACAAATGCTAAAGAGGGGTGAATAACCACTTTCTTTGACCTGCTGGCTGTGTTTGCATTCGTACAGCCCAGCAGGCAGGCAGTATTCCTTGCTGCAGGGGCACCCTGCTGACTTACATTCAGCTTGCTCCTGAGGCCCCCAAGGTTTCTGTCAGTGCATTTCTTTGGCCTGCTGTGGTGAAAGCATCCCTGCTCTTCAGTGTGTCAACCAGTCCCCAGCAGTTCATTGCCGTACAGAAGCAGGATATGGGTACATCCCATCTTGTAGTGTGTAGTCATTAGAGAACAGTCTCAAATGGTATATGCCCAAATACCAGCCACCAAGTAGCTTTACTAGTAAAGGAATATTGAACTACTAAGCAATTCTGTGTGGGGTCATCCGCCCAGCCAGTACCCACCTTATGGTCTACCCACCCAGCCCATATTGCCTAAATTTGGCTTCAAGGAGCCTTCAGAAGAGCATGTTAGAAGTTTGCTGCATCAAGGAAGGCAACATCGCTGTTATCTCTTGTCCACCAAGTCTGTCATCCCTTCGTAGAAGGCAGGCAGGTGTAACAAGCTTGCAGTGTAGAGAGCTGCAGATGTGTGTGTGCCACCTCTTGTTCTATCAGGCTCATGTAGCGCTAGATTGGGTGTCCCTGCCAGCTCACCTGCTACTTAGCAGGTCTGTCACTAAGTGGAGGCTGATGTAGTTTCAAACAACAGCTCCTTTGTGCTTTCTGCCAACAGCTGTTCCACTTCTACCAAGGCAAAGGAAAGTGCCAGCTTTCAGAATAGATTGGGTATTGACAGGGTTGGCACAGGGAAGTGGTCCCTCCTTTCCTGCTGCAATCTGACAGGGTGTATGCACTAATTGCTGTCATCTTCTTTCTCCTGACAGAGTTCAGCCCATGCCAGGCCACTGTCCTGATGCTGTACAGAGATCAGTCTCTCCAGAAGGAGATTGAGGCAGGGCAACACTGTGGTGTCATCTTGGACAGGACTAACTTCTATGCAGAGCAGGGCGGGCAGGACTGTGACAAAGGCTACATGATACGGTTAGGGCAGCAGGTAAGACCCTTTGCTTCCTGAACCCAAGGCCGCAGTGAGTACTGAGGCCAGGCAGAATACCCCAAATGATAGGCTGGTTTGCTGTGTTAATCTGCTAGCTGCTGACTTGTGACAGTTCCCTTGGCTTTGCATCAGGGTTGGTAGGGTGAATGAGAACCAGCAGTATCTTCACAGGGGTGCACCTGCTGCTCTGGTTGTCTCTGTCAGCCCTTTGAAATTCTGTCTTGCAGAGGAAGACTGTAAAGTCTTCTTGGGTCTCCCTTCAGTCTACTGTGTTCTTGTCAGCTGAGGTTGCAATGCAGAGAGAAGGCAATCAATGATCAGAGAGTCTGTGAGCTGAGTAACATCTCTGGCCAGTCCTGGACAACTGCAAGCAGTGCCCCACCTGAGACCCTGTGCAAAAACTCTTATCCCTCCAAAAAGCATCAGGGGGGACCTCTACTTCTGCAGCATATTCCTTCAGCCTTGCCAGAAGGAAAACTTTGACCCTCTCCTGGGAAGTTACGTGGGGTGCAGCTTTTTTTCCTTCCACATTCCAGCTCTTGAGAATCACCCCTGGGCACTGATGCCACCTTTTTAGCCTTGCAGAATGTGATAGTGCCTTGCTCAGCACTTCTCAAGCTGAAGTGGGGATCAAGTTTCTGTTGCCAGCCCAGTGAGGCAGAAATGGCACCTTGGCTGCCTGAGACAAGTGCCTTGGCAGCTGCTGTCCATTTTCTCATGGACAAGCATTCTTGTTAGGATTCATCAGCATTGGTGATGTTTCTGCCCGTCCACTGCAAGCTGACAACCTCAGCATGTTCTGCAGTGAATAGCTGGATGCAGGGAAGGTCTGAGACTCTCTGGTTGCACTCACAGTAAGTTTCTCCCTGCTTTTGCCACCATGTCACTGTCTTTTAGGGATCAGTGGGGCTTGTGTTTCCCAGTCAGATCAAGCAGACACCTATTTGGATTTTCCCTGTGTCCTAAAGCTCATCTTTCTGTCTTTTTGCTTAGGACATACTCTTCCCTGTAGAGTCAGTTCGTCTCTGTGGTGGTTACGTGGTCCATGAGGTCATTGCTGTGGAAACTCTGCGTGCTGGTGATCAAGTGCAGCTCTTTGTGGATGAGGTGATAACTCACTGCTTTTAACCTTTTCCCAGCCTTACTTTGAGAATCCTGAGTAACCTGGGCACATCAGAGCCTTGTCCCATGTATTCCTGAGACTGCTCTTCATCATGTTATGCAGTGGGAAGGAGATCTCACAAGTGACTCTAACCTTCTGTCAGCCACTGGTCTGTCCAGAGGTATCCAGCCTACCCTTTGCTGTTTTACAGAGGTGATCCCTTGGCAAAATAAGTTAGATCTGCCCTGTGACATAAATTAATCTGACAGCTGGACTACCCAATGTTTTTCTTCCCATTCCCTCATGTGCAGCCTTTCCCCTGTCTTCCTGCCACCACTGCTCCCCTGAGCTGTGGAGAACCAGCACTCCCTGCCAACCTGTCTGTGCTCTCAGGCCCGGCGGCTGGCGTGCATGACAAACCACACTGCGACCCACGTGCTGAACTTCGCACTCCGCCACGTCCTGGGTGAGCACACAGAGCAGCGAGGGTCCCATGTGACAGCAGAGCAGCTGCGCTTCGACTTTGACACCAAGGTGACTCTGGACTTGTGTTTGCTTGTTCTTAGCACTACCAACATCCTAGTACTGGCCCTCTCCCCAGGGGTGTCTCTCCTCTTGCCATAATCACTCTTTCAGAGACAGGTCATGGTTTATCTGAGCAAGGAAACTTGGTTCTCTGGACATGACTGGTCTGCTTTGCATTGACCTGACTCTGAGCAGGACTTGCTGAGCAGATTAATGAGGGTCAGAAGGGAAAGGACTTAGCAAAACCAGTCACGAAACCTACTTGAGTAGGTGTAGGAGGTGTCTGAAAGATTCACCATCTTGGCTGTGGCACATTCCTGATGTCATCCAGGTGAGAGCAGTCAGGAACTGAAAGCTGTTGGATCAGACTGAGCACTAGCCCTGGTAACCTGTCACTCACTGCAGCATCTCTCTTGAAGAGTTTGGTTGATTCTCTTGTATCAAAAATCCTTATCCCTCATGGGAGGAGTTGGTGGGAGGGTCATGATGCTCTCAATTCCCTTTTACAAGTAGGGAAGATAAGATGCAGGGGGAAATGGTGTCCCCAAACTGTTCCTTGGAGGGCACTGTCCCAGTTCTCCCTCCTTTGTTCTGTACTTCGCAGGAGGCTTCCCTTGAAAGTGTCTGCTTTACTTCCTCAGGGCCCTGTGACTGTGGAGCAGCTGCAGCAAGTAGAGCAAGTGGTCCAGGATGTGATCAAACAAAATGAGGTGGTGCATATGGCTGAGGTCCCCCTCACACTGGCAAGAAGAGTTCGGGGACTCCGTGCAGTGAATGAGGTATGACAGGATGGCAGCATGCATCTTCATGAGCATTCTCCTTCAGCAGCAATCATCTGGGTCACAAGAGATGTTGATGCAATGGGTTTCTGCAAGGGAAATGACTACCAAAACTCAGGAAGGAAAATAGGACAGAGATGAGATCTTGGGACACTGTGTTGTAAACTGTGGAGGCTGGTGATGCACAGGCTTTCTGCTCATTGTGTGTCACCCAGTTGTTCTTTCTCCCTGTACTGATAGGTAGTGGGGAAAAAGCAATGCTCCCCTGACTCTGGGCCTACTCTAAAACAGGGGAAAAATGAGGCAGACACCTGAAGCAAGTAGTTAACTGTTTAAGTGCTCCTGAAGGACCATGTTGTTAGCTGCTGATCCCTGTCTCCTCTGTCAGGGGTATCCAGATCCAGTGAGGATAGTGTCCCTGGGGGTCCCTGTGGAGAGTGTGCTGACCCGTGACTCTGAGGCTGCATTGCAGACCTCTGTGGAGCTCTGCTGTGGGACGTAAGTGACTTTTGCTTGCAGTCAGAAGTTATGTTTGTGGGCACTGGTGGCTGAGGTGGAGACATTCTTGCAAGCTCCCGTCTGTTCCTGTGCAGCTAAGCTTCCTCGCCAGAAAGATCTTGTGAGGACAGGATGCACTAGTTATGAAGCTTGGAAGTCCCAGGGTGAGAAAATTCCAGTGAAAATGCAAAGCATTTTTCCTTGCTTCATAGTCTGAAACCAATCTGGAAGCAACAAGGCACCAGCAAAGTGTGAAAAAGGAGTGTGTGGCCAGTTACACCAGCATTACAAAGCTTGGGGTTGCAGGAGGGATGGGAACCCAGCAGAAGATCTGGGAGGGTTGTCAGACCTTGAGACCACTCTGATTATTTTCATTAATCATCTTTGCCCTCTTCTGCTTTTAGCAGTAATGAGAGTCAAAGGAGAATTAATTAATCTCAATACAATGCTGACACACACACAAAAAAACCCAAACAGGAGCAAATTGGCCTTTGAGTAGATACAGCTGAAGATGAACAATTTTCTAGTCATGAGATCATTCTTGTGGGAGTAGTGGGACAAGAAAGTGCATGGGAGCAGAGATGATCAATTGTTGTGAAGCTGAAATGATTACTTGTGGTAACAGAATCTAAGACACTGTACTTGTTTTCATACCCAGTGTTGAAGAGCCAAGAAAGAAAGGAGAGGGTGTCAGTGCTCTGTGTCTGCACAAATATGTTATGACTGAAGTCTACTGGCCACTCTGTGAGCTGGCCTGACAAGAGATGGTGGAGTTGGAGGAAAAAAGTACTTTTTACAAGATTTAGTAGTAGCCAAGTAGAAGAGAAAAATCCCAATCCATCCTACTGCTGAAGGAAAGAAAAGTAAAGCAGAACTTGGCTGTTATGCTCCATTTGACAGCAGCCTGCTGAGTGGGTAGCACATAGGTTCCTCTAGAGTAGCCTCAACTTTCTGTCTGTTGCATGACAGGATACCATCAGGATTTTAGGGGTGGGAAGAGATAGAAGCTATTTGGGTTGGTGAGGGGCTGCTGGACTTGAGCCTTGTCTAAAAGAAAAGCTGGCTTCCTGATTTCTGTTCACAGGGAGCAGCTTGTTTTCTTTTCTGTTCTCTGCTGACTTTGCAGGCACCTTCTACGAACAGGAGCTGTGGAAGATCTGTCTATCATCAATGAGCGTCAGCTTGTTAAAGGGATTAGCCGTATCATTGCAGTGACAGGGAGACAAGCCAAACAGGTAAGAAAGGGGGAACTGAGCTTTCTGACATGTTGAGATAATGCCAAAAGGAATCAATTTTGTAGGTTCCTGCATTGACAGTTATCTTCCCTATGCTTTGGCTGGAGCGTCCCTGCTGCACCTGATGTGGCTTCCTTCTTCACCCCTGAACTCAGCTGTGCTGCCATACCTCACTCTTCACCTCCATCCACCCCATACTAGTCTCCTGTCTCCTTGGCCTTCATTCTGTGTCTCAGACCCCTTTTTCAAGATAAGCACTTGGCACAAAAATACCAGGAAGCTGTTTGATATATATATATATATATCACCTAGCCATATCTCCTCTGGACTACAAATTTCAGTCCCTGGGTAGGTGCACAAAGGTGTGATCCTTTGTGCTTTGGTTTCACCTCCTGCCTATCACAGCTGGATTTGCACTTCATGATTACAGGGCTCTGGCCTCATTCATACAGCGCTTTTGCTTCTTTTCTTCAGTCTTTTTTTCTTCCAAAATGTGGTTCTGGTCTCTATAAAAAGTGAGAAACCTGCTGTTGTGTCTCTGAGATCACACTGTCCTTTAAATATCTGGAAGTGTCAGGGGGCCCCACGAGTTTGCCTGCTTCCTTTAAGGCTACAATCAGAGGAGAGTGACTCACTGTCGGTGGAACTGGGAAGACTAAAGGCAAAGCCCACCCCTGCAAATCTGTTGCTTTTTGACTGACTGTCCCCTCTGCATCTGTGTCCCTTGGAAGGCTTTTCTTAGTGCAGAGGAATTAAAAGCTGCAGGGCACATCTGCATGCTTTGCTGGATGTGCTGACCTGGAGAGACCCCAAGACAAGCTGAGTGCATGTGTTAGACAGGGGAGGGTAATCAGAGAGAGTGAGTGATTGGAAACAAGGGACATGTGTCCAAACTAGACACAGCAATTCTCACTGTCCACAGCTTGTCTTACATACTCTCTGCTGTCCTGGTCTAAAGTCTCACAGGACCATCATGGGCACAGAAATCTGGAAGGGAGGAAATGCTCCAAAGCATAAGGATTGTCACTGGTGAAAAAAGCTTGTATTAAGTTTTTGAGGGGCTTTTTGTGTGTGAGGAGGAGCGTTATTACTAATTGTAGCACTGGTATTGGGGAAGGCAATAAGAAACACCAAGATCAGCTGAACTCAGGAAATACGCTTGAACAACTGATGACACTTAAAACACTTTAGTTTTAGTGTTTCTTTTGTTTCTTTAGTCAGTAGTTTCAAGATTGCTCTTGATAATGAAATATGATAATTTTGATAATGAAAAATGAGCTCTGAGAAGTAAACAGGGCTGCCAAGTTTTTCTCATTGAAATCCTGATGAGTTGGTGTGAGATACTGAGGAAGCATGAATGCACAACAGCTTGTTCCCCAGGGTTTGACTGTCTAGTGTCAGTTGCAAGTCTAGAGGGAAACTTTTGAATAGAGTCTTTTTAGGACATTTGTTCCTAAAGCTTCTGTAGGTGTCTTCCCACTAGATCCTGAGAGCACTGCAGTGCTTATGACCCTGCTGCCTCCTCACTTTCTCCATCCTGCTCATTCTTTCTGTTGCTGCATTTCACGCATTCTTTCTTTCCGTTTCTCAGGCTCGGGAAGTAGGCCAGTGCTTGGCTATGGAAGTGGACTCTGTCTCTGTCCGAATGAAGCAGGGGAGCACCTCTATTCCTGAGATGCAGAACCTCTCCAAAGAAGTGGGCCAGTTGACCAAAGTAAGGATACACTTCTTTACAGAAAGATGCCAGCACAGGCTTGAGGCACATGACTTCTTTCCTGCCAGGTTCAGATCTTACATGGTCAATAAGCAAGGGCAAGTTGCTATCTGCTATTGCCTCTTTGATCACAAAAATTTCTGCCATTGTCTAGGTGTCTCTGTTGCAGGTGACACGCTGCCAGAGGGCATGTGAGATAAGACAATAGTGGGGAGGGTAAAGCAGAGAAAGAGGGTTCCGAGGCTTTAGGTGCCCAGCTGAAAAGAAAGCTACACACAACAGTGACTGCTGGGCCTGATCACGTAGGGGTGTAGGAGTGTCTGTGAAGAGGCCAGGCTCCAGCCTGACTTCCCAGAGAACTAGCAAATAGTGTCTAGGTACAGTTTAGTGTCCTTACACAGCAAATTGTCTTGCAGGTGGTGACTGAGACTGCAATGCCCCAGTGGCAAAGAAAAGAACTAGAGACCATCCTTAAAGTGCTGCAGCGAACAGCTAACACAGCTGTCAAGAAACTGGAGATGAAGCAGGTACTGTGGCAGCAGCACACTAACCTGCAGCCTGCTGATAGCAGAGCTGGTGTCTGTCACACTTTACAACCACTTGGTCACTAGGGTCCCATTAGAAAGCAGGCACAATAGCACACAGTGCAACACGAGCCCTGTGTTAGGTTGATTTCACTGGCATTAACCAGGATCATAATTTAAAATGCAGTGAGTGACTGACTGGGCTTTTGACACTGCAGAATCCCTGTGTGTGTCTGCCTGTAAGGATGGAGAGCCCCATACCAGCACTTTTAGCAAACACCAACGGGCAGATAGGCATTGCCTCCTTGTTTATACATGGAGAAGATGAGATGGCCCTGACAGTGGGCTCTGTGAAGTTATACAGTAAGGTGGGGGTGGGACAAAGCATTTCTCCCAGCCATATGGATATTGCATTATTAAAAGCCCTTTGGAAGTGCTTATTGGTCACTTAGTGTTCTCAGCAAAAAACATCTTAAATAAGGAGCATCTTGCCACAGAAGCCCTCCTGAGGTACATGGCAAGGTGTGTGTCCAGGAGAGAGGCTGGGGAGCGAACGGGTCACTGTCTGTTCCACTTTTGACAGGGGTTCATATCTGCTTGATTTTGAGGAAGGAGGGTTGTGCAGGTCTCCATGTGGAGATTTCAGTCTGCCAGTCCTACTTTGGTGTTGACATACATGTGCCCTCTATCCCACAGAGCAGCACTTCCATTCCCTTTATATATATGTTGCATGCATAGATCCCCATCCAGCCTACTCTGTCACCTGTAGCCCCTCAAGTGCTGTTTGTTTCCTCTTCTAGGCTGAAGAGAAGGCACAAAGCCTGCTAGCAAAACATTGCAGCCAACCTGTCATCGTTGATACTGTCCCAGCTGATTCCCTCTCTGTGAGTAATCCACTTGTAATTCTTACAAGGGTAATTCTTGTTGGCCTCAGGTGCTGCATGCAGTAAGAGGGACCTGCTGGGCACAGTTTCTGCTGCATGCCAGTTACCTTTGGTGTAGCCTGACCCCTCTGTTCGCTGCCTTTCCTAGATCCTCATGAAGGTAGTGAACCAGCTGTGTGACAAGTCTCCTGGCTCATCAGTCCTGCTGCTCAGCCCTCAGGCTTCTGGTGAGGTGCTCTGTGCCTGTCAGGTGTCCAAGGTAAGCATAACCCTGCCCACAAAGGGGGATTGGACCTGCTACTCAGCAGGTCCCCATTGAGGCTTTTCCTGGGATTCTGCAGAGTGTTGGAGGGTAATCACACAGTGGGAGGACGTGAGATGACTGTACTGGGACCAGATAAGCTTTCAGTCTCTGCTGGGCACAGATATCTCTGGATGTTCCAGGCCATGTTTGCCCAGGGGTAAACATGTATTCCCCAGGGGCAAACAGTATTAACATATAAGTTCAGCCTTTTCTGTCCTCACAGTCATGACTGCCTGAGGTTAGGGAGGGCCCAGGCTGGGTGAGGAGAGGATGTTGTTACCTTGCTTTATCCAGATTGCAGAGTGCTCTCCAGTCTAAATGACTTTGTTCTGTGTCTTTTCTCCAGAATTGCCTCCCTGTGTTCTCTGCTGCTGACTGGGCTGTGGCTGTCTGTGCACAGATGGAAGGGAAGGCAGGAGGCTCTCCCATCGTTGCTAAGGGCAGTGGAAATGCCAAGGGCATGCAGGGAGCCCTCACTACTGCACTGAAGTTTGCTCAGAGTAAACTGTGATGCTTTGGTGGCAGGACAGCTGTATGCACCCCAGCTGCAAGCTACGTGGACACTTGATGCAGAACACATGTCCTGCTGATCTGAAAGGTTTAACAGCTCCTACGCTGAGCATTGCTGCAACCAGTGCATTGGAGAACTTGATTTCTGACCATCCAGGATCAGCAGAGACCCCACTCCTGATCCCACTGACAGAACAATGCTGCCTGTTGTCAGCATCAGCATATGGGGATTGAGCCTGAGAAAGCATGAGTTGCAACAGCAGATCCTGCTTCTCCTGGAAGAGTGTGGTTCTTGCCACAAGACTAACACAAATGTTCTGTGAGAGCACAGGGAGATGCACAGTGTTATCCTAAAGCCATTAAAGGCTAGAGAGTGTCCAGTCCCCTGATGATTCTTGTTAGCTGCACCTTCTAATCGTCCCTGCCTCCACCTCTTTGCTTTGGATGAATGTTCTTACCCTTGTTTCTTCTTGACACTCCCCTGTAACTCCTTCTCACACTGCCTTCTGGCTTCTTCCTTACCAGCACCTACCTAAAAACCACCATGAATGTGGTGAGCTATGTGAATGGGATTGCTGTGTTGCAGCATGGAACTCCCTGCAGCAGTTAGCTCCTTAGTCTTGAGGTAAGCAGGTCTCCTAAACGGTTGTCACAAGCATCAGCAGATCCAGCAAACTCAGCTCGTTGTTAGTGATATGTTGAGCTCCTGGCCAAAGCACCATTATTTTACATGCAGTACTGACCTAAATGAAGAGGGTTCACAAACTGCAGCTGAGGCAAAAGTGCAACAGGATAGTGATACAAGCAGGTTTCACCCTGTGAGCAGCAGCAGCAGCCTCAGAGGGATAGGTTTCACCAGCAGGTAGGGTTGCCTGGCACTGTGGAGGGAGGTGGAGGCAGCAGTAGCTGCAAGCTTTTGGGGGGAGGGGGAGGAGAGGTGGGAACACAGTGATGCTGATGGATGGGGAGCAGGAAATGGCTGTCACATAAATACGGATTAGTGAGGATGTAGTGGAGAATGGCTCAGTCTCCTAATGAGAGACTTACACATTTCAGCTGTCTCCTTGAGGGGGAGAGGGTGGATAGCTGCTGTGAGTAGAGCCTCCTCTCCCTTTCCTCTTCAGTTAACAGCTCACCTGGGGAAAAAGAGGTGGACTTATGGTATCATTAGAGAACAAGGGGATTTCTTCCCTATGTCAGTGGCTGTCCATCCCACAGTCTCGTATGTTGTCCCTAAGGCTTCAAGTGGCTCCTACTCATCTTTGCAAAGTGCCAGGAGCTGATTTTGCACTTGGATAAGTGTCAGGCATAAATGTGAGGACTTGGAGGCAGAAGGAACGGGGAGGCTTTAAGGGCCAGTGGTGCTCCCCACTGTCCTCCTCTGCTCCCCCAAAGCACTGACAGCTGCAGCAAGAGCATAGGCCTTCAGCCTTTCATTCTGTAAATGCTGCTTCCAGCTAGGGAGGTTAAAGCAGGGCTTGCTGCAAAGGGGGCTATGAGCCAAGGTTCTGCTGCCAAGAATTCAGCCATCCCCCTGCTCACCCCAGACTCTGCCTCTCTTCCTGTATGCTGTAGCAGAGACAGCTGAGTGCTTTTTCCAGTTTCTGTTTCTGGATGCAAAGGTCCTCATAACATGTCTGCAAGGCACCCGAACACAGGAGAGAGTTGGAACATCCAACTCAGTGCTTCGGGGCCTTAGAACAAGGCTTGCGTAGGGTTTGTGGAGTCCCAGGGGATGGTTCATGCTGTCAGCTGAAAGCAACATTAATGCCTGGTGTTGCACAGCTCCTGTGTTTCACTTAGGCCACAGTGGTGCCAGATGTGGGGAGGTGAAGGGATGTTCTAGCTTACTGGGAAAACACCTTCCCAGGGTGCTTTTTGTGTTGCTATATTAATAGCTGCTACAGGAGATGATGTCTCATTTCGGTATTGGATAGTAGGCGTGAGGAGGAGGAGAGGAATACTGGGTTAAGCAGCTCGTGCACTGTGCTACAAAAGCAGAGCCTGAGCTCTCCAGCAGCAGCCTCACAAAATTAACCCCATTTGGCCTGATTTTTAGTTGAAAAACTACTGACCCCTTTTAGACTTCTGCCCAGCCCCTTAAGGGCCTGCAGCCTGCTGTGATGGTGCTGTTCATCTCCTGCCTCAGCCAGGGCACTCTTGGAGGGACCCTCCAGCTTGGAGCTCATTTTCTTCTCATTTGCTGCTCTTGACCTTTCTGGGCACGGAATTCAGAATTTCCCTTCCTCTTTCTGAGCCTGCAAGGATTTACGAGGTCACTGCATAACTAAATCATGATCTGACTAGATCTCATGAGCTCAGCAGCACTAAACCTGCTCTGTAATTGGAGGTGGAAAAGGATGCTGTCCTACAAAAGAGTAGTTCTGTAGAGGCACCTGTGGTGCCCATATTGCCCCAGGCTGGTAAATGGGTCATCGCAGTAGCAGTTCTGGGTTTTGGGCCGTGGCCATACCAAGCTATCACTGGTCCTGGAAGAGAGCATTTCCTCCTGGTCTTCTGATGAACCCCCCATTGCACAGACTTACATCCTGTCCACCCCTTTCCCTGCCACACAAGGACAGTGCATTAGCACCCTATGCTATAGCACAGTAGCTGCCACATTTCTGCCCAGGATGCTCTGTATTTAGAGGCAGGTCAAGCAGTGCTCAGCTGGGAGAGCTCTGAGGAATGAAGCACAGGGTTTAAATATAGTTCTCTGGCCAGAATAGTAGCCTACATTCTCTTACAGTCATCAAGGACCTAAGGGGTGAGCAGTACCCTGGGCACACATTGGCAACTCCAAACACGTGCCCGCAGAAGGGACGGCAGGAAGTGGGAAACTCATTAAGAGACAATGGTATTTTTGCTGTGAGCAGGTGCTGTCAGGTTGGCAACACCTCCATAAGTCCAGATGGATCCCGAGGTCCCTTGAGGGCACGTGCAATGCAAGGGCTTGCCAGCCCCAATCACAAACAGCTACCTGACTTCAGCAAAAGAAGAGCAGCAAGTACTTGCTTGCCTTTCTTCACCCCACTTTGCTACAGGAGCATCACTCTCCATAGCCTGGGCTGCAGATTGAGAGGGTGCCACACAGAGAAGCCCAGCACCCCTGCCACCCAGACCTGGGGCAGGCTGCTGCATCCTGGGACTCGTTCCAGGGAGGTGCTGGGATCTTAGCGACAGTAGCAGAGCTGAGCCACACACTGCTCTCTTCTCCCACAGCAGCCAGGCACTCAGGCCATGCAGCACCCATGCATGGCACACGCAAGGCTGCAGCAGTGAACCGCAGACCCAGAGCACCCCTGGTGAGATGGGACATCCCATCCCGCAGGGCCAGCTCAGGGCCACCTGGAGCTGGTGCTGCCTCACCTTCTGCACCGCTGCTGTCTGGGAAAGGAGGGGATGGCTCTGCACTAGAGGTGTTCAGCTGAGGGACAGGAGGAGTGTTATAGGGCATGTGGGCAGGGCAGGGGCTGCCCATGGCTAAAATCCTGCCTCTCCCTGGGTTCCCGGCTCCCTGGGAGCGTTTCTGGAGCTGGACCACTTTTCCAACGCAGCAGAACTCTGTCCGCAGCGGAGAGCCGACAGCCCCAGGAGGCGGCAGAGGCAATTCAGGACGGATCCCGCAGCTCGCTCTCCTCTGCTGCGTGCCCTTCAGACCCAGTCGGCTCCTGCGCGGCAGCGCCGGCTCCCTGCAGTCAGCCCGGATTGCGGCTGTGTTTTCTGCCGCTTGCCGGGAGGCGCGATTTGCTCAGCTGCAGCACAAGCACCTCTGCTCCAGAGAGCGCCAGCACAGGAAGCAGCGCTGGGAGAAGGGGACTGCCTCTCCATCCTCCCCACCACCAGCCCTACAGCTGTCAGGAGCACCCCGCTGCTCAGCCCACCCTCCTGAGCTGCACACAGCCCACTGCAGGGAAATCAAGGGATGAATTTTGATTGATTTATGTCATTCTGGGGCTTAGTCTGCTGGAGGAGGCCCAGGACACCAGCACATCACCCGGTTTGCATCCAGATCCACCATCCAGACAGCCGCGCACTGCAGCGTTCACTACACACTGCCCTCATGCAACCAGATCAGGCTCCCAGTGGAAGATGAGCAAAGCTACACCCATGTCCAGCTCCAGACTTTGGGGTGCTGCTGCCCACCACGTGAAATGGCTCCCTTAAGACTGGAGAGGGGATGGAAGGAGACCATGTCCTGCAGAGTGTGCTCTTGGGGAGGCTGAAAGGAGCTCCATCTTTCCTGAGCCCATATTGCACCCAACGCCTGTGTGTCACTTCTGCAAGCTTGGGAGCTTCAGACTAAGTTGTGAAGCCCCATCATCCACAGTCACTTAAGACTCCCATGGAGGCTGTCAACCTCTAAGTCCTTCTGTGATTCCAGTCCAAAGTCCTTCCTGTGTTTTCAGCTGGCTGTGGAAGCCCTGTCCCAGAGCTATTACCACCAGATAGTCAAGTCTTCCTGGGATGCTCCACCCCAAGTGCCTGAGGCTACAGACACTGAGTTACTATTCCAGTCCCCAGTCAAGACAGCTATGTCTCCTACTCCTTGTCCAGCCTCATTTCATGTGCTTCCTGGGCTTGAGCCCCAGGAAGGGGAAGATGAATCTGAGCCTACATAGACCTTCTTTTCACATGGTGAAGAATTATTTACACTCGGGTTGGGATTTGCTGCTCTACTAATTTTGTTGTCTCCTCGTTTGTCTGTTTGTCCCACATTTCTGACGGCATTTCCTTCCCTCTCCTTTCTTTCCCTCACTGCCCCCTCTTGCGGATGTCTTTCCTCCCTCTTCCTCCTCGTCCTCTCATCTGGCCGGGTTAGGCAGAAGCAAGAAGAAGACACACAAGGAAGATAATCCATTGACTCCAATATCACTGAGTTTTACAGAGAAAGGGGCAAGAGATGCCAAACTGAATGACCTTTAAAGCAAGTGAGCTCTCAGGTTCCCTCCCCCTCACAGCAGCTGCTCCTCTGTAACCTTCCTATCCCTGCCCCAGCATTTATTTATAAGTACCATCAATAATTAAGGACCTGCCTGCCTGCTTGCCTCAGCAACGGTGTTGACAGAGGCAGCTCTGATGTGTCCTGCCTCAGCCTGGCTGTTTTGCTCACTTGGACTTTCAATTTTCTTCCCCTGCCTCGTTAGAAACACAGGAATCACCCACCTGGAACAGACCACAGGCCCAGAGAGCCAGGATTGCTCTCTGCAGAGGGCTGGTCTGCCTGAGAGCAACCCGAGAGCTGCTGACACTCACAGCCTCAGAGCAGCAGCACAGGATGGGATGGCTGCAGTGTCCCTGCTATGGGCACCACTGTTCCCTGCCAGAGTCAGGCTCCAAGAGAAGAGACCCCTTGTCCACCTCCATCTGAGCACTGGGGAGCTACTAATGCTGGCAGTTTCTTGCTGAGAAAACAGCAAGCGAGGGCTCTGTGGCTGGTGTTCCCAGTTCACCTGGGTGAGCACCGCCCTGGGCACCCAGCCCCGGGTACCCAGCCAGAGAAGTAGAAGTCCCACCAAGCTGCACCACTACTGAGAAGAGCCTGTAGGCCCCAGAGGCCTTGTAACAGAGGGGCACAGCTGGACTTAGAAATCAGGGATGGAAGGCTTCATACTGGCCTGGCAGAAGCACCACAGGGCATAACCTGGGGACAGGCCAGGTACAAAGGCAGCATCTGGACTTGGCACATCGCCATCCTTGGGAACACTCCAGATCATTCCTTGTGTATTCAAGGGCCCTTGAACAAACCCCCAGGCTGCAGTTTGCAGGTAGCCCAGCTCAGCAAGCAGAGCCTGCAGCGTGCTGGGACTGAGCCCAGGGCCCTTTGTCAGTGCAATCCCGAAGCGGTGACAGGGCACAAGGGGGAAGCCCGGTGGCTCTCCCGGAGCTGGCTGCGGTGCTGGCACACACGGCAGAGACGTTCAGCCAAAGCGGTGGCAGAGAGCTGCAGCAGGAGGCGTTCGGCAGCGCTCACCCAGCCCTCCCAGCACGAGTGCAATGCCTCGGGCTGCACTGCTCCACCAGCCAAGCCCTAATGGGAGCACGGAGGGAGCCGGGGCTGTGCCATGGCCCCAGCTCCTCGCTGCGGGGCTGGGGAGCGCCCAGGAGCCGGGCGCAGCAGCAGCGGGCAGCGGAGCTGTCAGGGAGCGTGGCTCTGGAGGACGGTGATGGCAGCTGGCAGCTCCCAGCCCTGCCGGTGCCGGGCTCTGCTGGGGTGGGAAAAGGGCACCAAAGGACAGCAGCAACTCAGCAGCCCCTGGCGTGCGAGCGCCCGGGCTGTCCTATTCCATCAGCGTCAGCCCCGACATTGCCCTTGCTGCGGCACGGCGGATGGGGCTCCCCGTCTGACCACCCATTGCACGCTCTGGAAATGCTGATGCAGGATGTATGGAGCTGCTGCTGGGGAACACTGAGAGATGGAAATAGCACCTTCTTCCCCAGGTACCCCCACCTCCATGCAGCCCCAGGGGTGCTGGAAGAGCTCACTCCCCTACACACAGGTCTTTCTCTTCCCTGGAACAGGCTCTGAGGAGCATTCCCAGCCTTCAAGGGAAGGGGTGGCCCCTGCAAGGAGTACCAGGTGTGCCTCTGCAACAGGTATCACAGCCAAGCTGGGCTTGAGAGTAAAAAAGGCAAGAAGGGACGATGCCCTCATTTCAAATCTAACAAAGCTGCTGAACCTCTGAGCTGCTTTCTGGTGGCCACAAGGAGGGAAAGATGCTGCACTGCCTGCCCCAGCCTTTCTGAAAAATCTCCCTGTGCACAGCCTGTGCTGTAGGACCTGATCCCCCACCGCATCCCTCAAGACCTCTTACCCCTGACTGCAAGCACCGAGCACCTTGGGTTTATCAAAACAGCACAACAGGGAGAGGTGGAAACTGGGGCAGGGAACGGAATGACACAGAGTCACAAGCTAAAACTCAAAGCGTGGATCACCGTGGGGAAAAAAGACACCATGCGAAACCAACAGACTATCTCCATGAAAGTGCTGGAAAACAACCTCCCACTAGCTCCCATCCCCAGCCTGGGAAGGGAAAAGCTTCACACCTGCTCTGAATGTCGTGAAGGCTGCAACAAGCCCAGCCAGGAATAGAAGTCACTGACTAGATGCTTTCCCTCCTCCGAGGGAGAACGCAGCCAGCTCTGCTCTCCCACATGGTGCCCCAGCCTGGCTCAGGCACCCACTGCCAGGTTTGTGGAGCGAGGGGATGCCATCCATGCCAGAGAGCCCTGCAGCCAGCAGCCACGTGCCAGGGCAGGGAGGCACATGGCCAGCACATCTGAGGGGAGCTGGGCACAGCTGGCACCCCATTTCACAGGAATAAAGGAGCAGAGGAGAAGGGCAAGGAAAATCATCCAGTGGCCAGCGTTTCTATACTGCTTACATCCTCAGTGGTGCGACCTGCTGCAGGAAGCACTGTTTCTGTGCATGTCTCTTGGACTCTGCTAAGGGAGGTGTCTTCCCCCTGCCCTCCAAGGAGCTGAGTGGCAGCAGCCTGGCAGAGAGGGGACACATGCTCCAGGGATAGGATCTGGGGGGGTTACTGTAACACAGTAGTGAGAGTGGAGAGCCTAGAGCTCAGGCAGTGTTGATGAACATGCCCATCTCAGGGTATCACGAAGAGCCAGCAGAAAGTGTTCGAGTCCCTACCAAAAAGGGGCTCTAGGGGCCACCCAGTTCTGAGCCAAAAGCAGCAGATATTCTGCTAACACAGCCATCTGAAGCAGAAAGGCTGGGAAAATCTGAGCAAATCCTCCCTGAGCCTGTTTTGCTGCCCGAAGACTGAAAATAGGATGTTTCTGCTGCCCACAGCTTCCAAATCACGCTTTCGGGCAGGACAGTTGCTTTGCTTTTCCTCTCCTCCTCTTCATTCCATTAAGGGGGGGTTAGGGGCTGAGAGAAGCTTGCTGAACCTTCAGAACTTTGCAGGCAGTTACCCAGGGGTGGTGAGCAACCCTGGCCAAACAAGGAAGGAAAGGCACAGGGGTGAGGGAGCACAGAGGAAGCAGCGGCTGTGGTCCAGTCCTGGGCATGGCTTGTTAATCTTAGCACAGGGAGCTGGGCACAGGGGACAGCCTCGGAGCAGGTCCTCTCCTCCCTGGCACGCTGGGGCTCTACCAGCACCTCCCATGACAATCCCACAGTGAATGGGGCTGAAGACCAGGGAAGTTGTAGCAAACATGGCAGTCTGGAACCTAGCTGTGCTGGTTCTCCATCTCTTTTCTGTGGACCCACGGGTGGAGAGAAAGGGAGGAGAGCCTGGCACCGCTCCTGCCTGAGCCTAGTGTGCCATCTGGCATTTGGATGCAACACGCTGGGCTGAGTGGGAGTCAGCAGAGGGACCTGAATCTTCTGGCCTGACGTTGGAGGGATCTCAGAGAGAGGGAAGGAGAGAGGGCTCCAGCAGCAAGGAGGGAGGTGTTTGCCAACAGGAGCCAGTAGGTCCCTAGGCATGGATCCCGCCTGCAGGAGGGTTTTCGTGATTCAGTCAAGAGCAAACATACAATGTGGGAAAAGCAATTAAAACCTAAGAAGAGGTAAATGAAACTGCCTTGTCTGGGGAGCTCCAGCTTGGCAGGAGGAGGCAGTGTGCCTGCCCTTTCCCTCTCTCCCTGCCACAAGCAGCAAGGGTCAGTGAAGGAAGGGGGTTCCCACAGTGGAAAGTGTGACCAGCTGCTGAGCTGAACCAGGCAGGGACAAATCCAAGTTTTGGAGGAGCAGTAAGGGTTTGTTGAGACACTGTGGCTGTTCAGAAGGGCATGACGGCACAGACGTGGGGTTAGTGAAGTTCAGCCTTTCCCATCATCTCAGGTAGACACCAAGGCAGAGGGTGCTCTGCTCCAGAGCCAGGGTCTGAGATGTACAGAAAAGATCTAACAGCATCCAGTTCTGCCTCCATCTTCTTGGGATGTGATTCCTGGGAGGTGCAGCCTCAGTGGATGAAGAAAACCTCCTGCACTATTCCTGCATCTGCACTAAGATAACCTGGATGAAAGAGCTCAGGCCAGACGTGTAGTGGCATAAGAAGGGAAAAAACACCCCCTTGGGCAGGTTGCATCCTGACTAACCCCACTGCAGCTAGGCTGTGCCCTGTGGGAAATGGGGGGCAAGTCCCGCTGTATCCTGCACTGGCAGCGGAGGAAGGATGCCCTTTTTCACAGAACTCAGTGTGATGCATGGTGGTGGGGATGCCAACCATAATGACAGGTCAGAGCCCCTCATTATTTCTTCTCCTGTCTTGTTTCTTTAATTAAACTCAAAGAGAGAGCATCCAACCCATCTGCACCATCAGGCTTTGGTGGGATTCTTTATCTCACTCCCTGCAGGGCTCCTGTGTGCCATTGGAAAGACCAGGGTGAGCCAAGTGCCTGCAGCCTGCCAGCTGCCAGCTCTGCTCCTCCCCATGCCCACGATCCACGGCAAGGCCTGCAGGATGTCCTGGGGGGACGGGACTCTGTTCCCAGTGCTGATCCCTGCTCCCCACAGAGCCGCACAGGCAGCAGATGGGCTGGTCTCCCCCTGCCAGCGCAGGCAAGGGGGCTGGAAGGTAGGTGGTGGAACCAAATCCAGTCTAATTAAGGGTAATTACCATTCATCCCAGGAAGTGGTAGAAGACAGAGCCCACGTTCTCCCTACCTATTAATAGCTGTCAGCAGCTGCACAGCTCCTGCTGGGACCCAGGGAGAGCTGAAAGCTTTGGAAGGAGCGGCAGCACAGAGAGCATCCTGCTCCCCACCCTTCAGTGCCAGCCGTGCAGGGGGCTTTTTCCTCCTTCCAGGATGCTGTTTCTTTTGCTGTGCCCCCCATGATTCCAGCAGACACTAGCTGCTTTTAAGCAGTTTTCCAGCAAGAGCTGCAGAGGGCCAGCCAGAGGAGAGCCTGGACACAGGGCTTTGGAGCCAGTTCCTGCTCCTCAGCATCCTCAGTCTGCTGACCACCTCCAGTTTGGGCAACTTCCTGTGCTCCTCACTGAAAGGGTAGAAGCCGCCCACGCAAGAGGACTCCCCCAGTGCCAAGGACAGACCTTGCTGGCTCCTGCCCCAGTGAATCCCTTTGGTGTCAGGCAGACATCAAACACCAACTGCCTTCTCTCAAACCTGACCTTCAGCTGTACCCGCAGCTCTTCCCCCCAAAGAGATGAACTGCATCTGACAGATGGGGGCTGCCTCGCTGAAGGCATCAGCTAAAGAAGCTGCCTCACATGGTGTAAAGGACTCAAACAGAATGATATCCTGAACGGGTACGGTGACTTCTGGCTGTCACAGCATGATCTGAGGACAAAGTGGGCTGCGGGGGGGACATGTGCAAAGAGGGTGGTTTTCCATCCCCTTCCCTTCCTGCTACCTCCAGCTGCCGCTGAGAGCAAACAGGCTGCTGCCTGCCATGGGCAAAAACCTCACCAGATGTGTCTGTGCAGCCCCTGAGGAGACAGCCGGTGCTGGTGCCACCCCACCAGGGAGGAACCAGAAAGCAGATTAGAGGAGAGCTGCGTGGCTGCGGGCTGTCTTGGTGGCTGGGCAAAGCAGGCCAGAGGAGAAAAAGGCACCTTTCTGTGCCCAGGCACTGTCCTCTCCTACTCTGGCACTAGGCAATGCCTGGCAATAGTCCCTGTCCCAGAAACAACCAGCACAGTCACTGCTGGTGCTGCACTCCTTGCCCTCAGAGCTGCTGGGGTGAGGGTTCCCCTTGAATCCCCTTCTCTCAGCTGCTCACCCTGAAGTGGAAGATTCCTAGATTGAGAGGGGCCACATCCAGCATCTTCTTTGAGAGAAGCCAAGCTCTGCTCCTTGCTGGAGCCTGTTACTGAAAGAAACCAGGGCAACAGCTGAGAAGGGAAATGTAAGAGTGGATATTTGGGTCAAACGAGGGAGCTCCCCAGGCCAGCCATGGATGGGCAACTTGGTCCTTAATTTCTGCAGGTCCCTGAAGCACACAGACTGCATACAGGCCAACAGTCTCTCTCCATGGACATGCTATGAAAGACCATTTGTGGGTGGAGCGGTTTGGAGCTTTCTGACAAAGCCTGAGCTTCTGGTGCCACAGCTCCAGAAATCACACCCAGCTGAGTGAGCTTTAACACAGCCAAAAAACACAAGGATTTTCCCTTCTTCCCTTCCCTTCCCAGGATGTCATGGTGCTGCCTTCACCCCCACATGGCTGTTCTCCCAGCAAGTCTTTACAAACACCCTCAAAGAGACTAAGAAATCAAAGTGGGAGAAGCCAGGTAGGATAACACGTTTCTAGTCCTTCATGCCTAGGACATTAAAAGGGGTTGTCACCCTACAGCCGTAGCTCTGTCTGCAGAACAGCTCTTGAACCCTCACCTTAACCACAGAAGATGCCATGTGGGATATGTTCCTCCCACAGAAGACACTGAAGGACCTGGATCCTCTCCTGTTTATTTGTTGTGATACCAGGTTCAACTACTGTTACATTGTCCTCAAACTCCAGGCAAAGACAGAAGAGCTGATAATGCACACCACCACCAAGCGCTGTCTGGGGGAAATCTGAGACCTGGCAGCTAGGGGGATATAGAGGGCAGCTGGAATTTGCTGGTAGGATGATGCTCTAGTCACTAAGGGCAGGAAGCTGTGCCTTCTGCCATCTCCTCCCTCAGACGTGAAGAGGGGGAATGGGAATGGGATTGGATACAGGTGTTTTACCCTCCATGCAGTCAGCTACTCCATGGTATCTGAGGAGCAACTGCAACTGCACACCCCATGGAAACACATGCTAATGTCTACACTCATGGAAATAAATGCTAAGGTCGATAAAGAGTTAATACAGCTATTTTAATCAGCCGACATTACTTGTTTTTCAGTGTATGATTGCATCCGGTTCAACAATTGACTGCAATACTTGGGCAACGTTGTCTCTGGGAATCAATGACTCTGGGCAGACACCGCTGGACTCCACTGGACTGTGAAGTCTTCAAAACATGACATTTGTATCACATTAGGTGTGAGGTAGGCTGAAGACCTCAGTGATGATGGCTCGTTGAAGGACCAGCTCAAAATTGTGGAGGCAACTCAGCAGGGCTGTTTCTGTGGGTGCAGTTTAGCTCTCTCAAGTCGAACTGAATACGTGCATGGAAATCGGTGCAAGAGAAAGTATTCCTAGCCTTATATTGCTCTCACTTCTGCTTTTCAAGATCTCAAAAGCCCTGAAGATATGTTCCCCGGAATAATACGGTCAGTGTGAGGCCAGTCTTTGTGACAGGCTTTGCAAGGCTGCTGACACCCCCGCTGTGTTAAAGACCGGCTTGGCTCACTGGCGGTGTCACTGTCCTCTCCGGAGCTCAGTGACAGAATCAGGCCACACCTAGAGAAGAGGCACATTGCTGCCAAACCCTGACTCCCGATCTCTGACACACAACGGAGCCCTCAAACACCTCATCCTTCTGTTTAACCTATGCCTCTTTGCATGTATTATTTTGTTGCTCAGCCTTCCGGGTACTCTTGGACCACATTTGTAACCTCTTCCTCACGACCACCAGGTCTGGTTTGTACGGGAGCCAGCCCAGCTTCCCACATTTCCCAGCTCCTGCGGGCCTCGCGGGCCCGCCGCAAGAGCTGGCAGCAGTGTGATGGGATGGGATGGGATGTGATGTGATGGGATGTGTGCTCCCACAGGGCACAGCCTGGGGACGCTCCAAACACACCCGATACCGAGCGCAGAGCACGGCCCAGCGCCACCGCCCCGCCCCGGCAACGGCCGCGTCCGCAGCGACCGGCGGCAGCAGCGGAGGGTGAGAACAAGGGGGGACCGAGGGGGCCGGGCTGTTCGTACCCCGCGGCCATGGGCGGCCGAAACCCCGACGGGAGAGGAGGGGCCCCGTGTTTCACACCCGGCATCGCTGTGTCCCCCCCGTGAGTTGGGGTCGCCTCGGGGGACACCCGTTCCACACCCCCACCCCCGGCCGTTTGCAGCCCTGGTTGTTAACCGGCTGGCCGAGCTCATGAGCGTTCTGCCCCCTCGGGCACTCTAGAGGGGAGCCTGGCTGCGGGCTGCAGTGGGCAGCAGGTCTCGGAGGGCTTTTGTGTATCTGACCCCGCTGTGGGGCAGTGACCCTCACCTGGACATGGTGATCCGGAACCGCAGCGCTGGCCCCTCGCACCGCCTGCATTATGGTGAGGGCATTAACCATATTCCCAAAGGGCTGGCTGGCCTTATTCTGCCCATCTTCCCATTGCAGACAGATTCCGTTATACCTGAAACTAAATGGATACCTCCTTTGGCACCCTTTTGTTTAAACTTCCTTAAAAGCCCATTGCAGAGACTCAGCCCCTCGATAAGCCTGGGATACGCTGCCATAACGCACACTTAGCATCAGCTTTTCTGAGTGTAAGGAGGTGTGGGGAGGCCCTGCATGTGGCACCGGGATCAGGGGTGTGTGAGCCAGTCAGCTGCTTGTCAATGTGCCCTGCTAGCCTGTCTGGTGTAGAGGTAACAGCACAAAGGCCAGGGTGCTGCTGCACTGAGGAGAGGGCTCCCTCTGTTTCTGGGTAGGCTGAGCTTCAGTGCAGATGTGACCTCGGCTGGGGCGTAACCAAGCTCCAAAGGAATTCCTCCTGCACTTGCAAACTCTTCAGCAAACGCGACATTTACAGTTGCTCTGATTCTTGGATCACTGTACTGCTGGTAGGAGGTATCAGCCAAAGGTCACTAGTTTCTATGCAACTCCTCTTTAGGTCTGTCTGGGCTTTGGTGTGAATCAAGAGAGCAGAAATCTTCCATTCCCAGGTCAGAACAGGTTCAGCTGAAGAAGGTTTGATAGGCATGCCAGGTAGCAGCATAAGTTAGCTGTGTAAGTGGCTTTCTTCCCAGAAAGGGAAGTGGGATCTCTGATTTTTTTATGTATATGGAAGTTTTAGTATAATTTACCTTTCAGCTTAATCTGAGGGTTAAATGACATAAACTGGGAATTTACTACCTGACCACATTCATTGTATATAATTTCATAAAGCCTTTTAACATAGGTGGCTGATGTGTATATAGTGGGTGGGAAGGAGCATACATTAATTCTCTTGACTTGGCTTATTGATAATGAATTACAACGCTTCTCTGGTGTTTGCATACACGTTTAGCAAGCCCCGCTGTAGAAACTGACTTGGCGTGTGTGCTCTGGCTGGGTGAGACTCCTGCAGCCAGGGTGGAGGGGATGCAGCGCTGAAAGAAGCCCATTCCCTGGTGGTAAGCAGGGAGCTTACTGTGCTGGGGCGGTGGGATGGGAACGGGCACTGTAAGAGCACTGACTCAGCATCAGACTCAGCCCCCCTTCCCTGGCACCACAGGCGTGGGGTTCATTCAGACACTTTGCGGGCTGGCTGTCGCAACAACAGCCTTGCTCTTGCTTCACACCAATGATGAGTAGGGTGGCAGAGCCAGCTGAGCTGACCCATGGAGCTCAGGTCGAGGGGGGCTCCCCAGCAGCCAGGACACAGACACCTGAAGATGCCTGTGTCTCCTTTGAGGCCAGCATAAGGAGGGGCTGGACCGCCCCTGGGTATCGCACACAGGCTGACCTCCTGCTGCAAGAGAGCTTTGCTCAGTAAGCCTCATACAATGCAGGGAGGGGCTGCACTGTTTCCACGGCAGGGTTTTGGCTCTGCCTGAGGGCACCTCTTTCTCCTGGCTGGTGCTCAGGAGTCCTTCCCATCATCCTGTATGTGCCATAGGTTACGTACCCTCTAAAAATCAATCTGCCATAGGTAAACTGGCAATCAGATCATCTGCTGGAATGCAGCCATGCATTCCAGCCATGAATCCTAGGCCACCGACGCTGCACTGGCTTTCCACAAGAAGCTTTTAACAATTGCTTCCAAAAGGTCAGGAAAGCCATCAGGAAGTCCAATTAGCTGTGACTGGCCTGGGGGACAGGGTGACACAGATGCTTTTTGAATAGGATGAAGGACTGAGCAAGGAGAAAACGTTTTTCCCAGTCATTTCTACTCTATTAATGCCAACTCAGTGCCACCCAGCTGTGCCCTTCTGCTGAAGTCCATCAAGCACCAAAAGCTGGGTTTCAGCTGGGTCAGCGTGCTGGGGAGAATCGGGTCTCTTCCCCTCAGTGGTGGCACAGCACCTGCCTTTGGGAGCAGGGAGGTTTGCAAAGAAAGGATTCATGGTCCCCACATCTGCCTTGTCCTTCCACACCCACCCTTCTTCAGACCAACAAGGCTCCCTTTTCCTTCAGCCTTTGCTTTGTCATCTGTACCCCAGTGCTTTGCAGGAAACAGAGCTTCCCTCTGTGCCCTTCATCCAACTGCTTTGTGCCGGGGGATGCCCTACCACTGCCATCTCCACCCTTTCCTGACTCTCATTCTGAAGCGCTTACTGTCTTCTGGGACCTGCTTCAAGTGCATCTGAAGAAGCCTTTGCTGGCATATTTGCTGCGGTACAGCATGAATCATTTTGCCTCTCTCCTCTAGTCCCTTCCTGCTTCTGCAGGTTGTCTGCAGGCCGTTCCACAAATGTCTTTTGGAGGGGAAGAAGCAGAGGGAGTAGCTCTAGAAAGGCCAGTTACAAAGCTTTCAGAGGGACCTGTGCTGACTGAGGCAACACAGAGTGGGAGGGCAGAGGAGAAGGAAGCAGCCTTGTGCGGGGGAAGGACCTGAGATGTTTCATCTGGGGAGTGCTGCCTGGCTCATGCCCTTCACGAAAGAGGAGCTGTTTGGGATCAAAGTGATGTTCAGCTGAGGGTTGCTGTGGCACAAGATGCTATGGCAGTTACCTTCTGTGCAGGATGTCACTGCAGGGTCCTTTTGACTCTATTGGGGTGCAAGGCCACCTTTGCCCTGAGGCCTTCTCTTGGTCTTGCAGGATGCTGTCCTCTCCTCTGACATTGCCATCCAACCATCTGCCTCATGCTTCTTTTAAGTGCCCTGCAGTCTCTAACCCCCCAGCCATGCACTGCAGCCCTGCTATGTCCAGTTAGCCCCAGTAAGGATCTGCATGGGTCTGTATGCCTTGGGAGATGCACACCAAGCCTGGGTACTTTTGTTGAACCCAGAACTCAAGGGCAGATTCCTCCCTAGTGTCTCCTCTGCCTTTTTCAGACTGGTAGGGCTGGTAAGGGAACCATAGGCAATACCTATACATGTGGGAACCTGGGAGCTGAGACCATAGGTCCTCAGGTTGGGGTAGGAAACAGGAAATGGGAAACTTTGGTCTGGGAAAGCTCTGCAGAGATAGTAGGACTGGGCATCCTTCCTTCTGCTCCAGGCTGGTTCTTTTAGCTTGTATCTGCTCAGGCTCAGTGTGGTTTGAACAGGTCTCACTCATCTCATCAGTTAATGGATCTTTGGAAAGATTTCAGCTGGAGAGTGCATTGGGAAATGCAGAAAAAATAATACAGTTATAGTGTATTCATCTGTAAAGTATCTGTCTTTAAAGAATCATAAGAACAGGCATACTGGATCAAACCAGGGAGGAGTCTGGTCCGGTATTCCATCTCTGACAGTGGCCAGAAACAGAAGCACTCTTTCTCCCTCCATCCATGTTCAACCCATACTGAGCCAGATGTTGTTTCTGTGCATTGAGTTGGTCTCAAGGAGTTTCTCTTCCATGGACTCATCCTGGAACCTGCACAGACTCTCAGCATCCACAACTTCCCATGGCAAGGAATTCCCCAGTTCAACTGCAGGCTGTGTGAAGAACCATCATTTTCCTTTTCTTAAAACCCAGCTCTTGCTCTCTTCACCTATTTCTTTTACTGGAAAAGACAGTAAACAATCAATCCCTGCCCATCATCTTCAACAGCACTCTGAATTAACACCACATTATTATCTGCTTATTACATATGGTACCTAGAGACCTCTCTATGCAGGGCATTGTGTAAAGATATGGCTGAAAAATCATTTTGCTGCAGTGCTTCCAGTGCAAGCAGTGGGGGCAAGTAAAGGGCAGGAGCCAAGTGTATTACAGGGGAGCAGTGTGAGCAGCCCGTTCTCATCACTGGCCTCTTTCTAAAGTTGCCTTTTCCTGTTGCAGCTGGAAAATGCGGCAGTGCCTCTCAAGCAATTTTCCTTTTGCTTCTCCTGACGGAGAAGTGGGTCCTGAGCAGGATGCAGCAGCCAGTGGCTGGTGACAGGAGCACAGCGGTTCCCTCGCAGCACTCACTGAAGCCCAGCCTCGCTGCTGACTCGGCCTGTGCACACCGTCTCCTCGAGGATCCCGAGTGGTCCCTCGCCACTGTCCCCTGCCTCACCGAGCTCTGCCTCCAGCACATCGTTCACAATTTTGAAAGTAAGTGGGAGCGTGTTTCATGTGGGACACACAGAGTGAGAGCATCAGTCCTGGGGAGCAGAGAGTCAACAAGGCAGGCAGATGCATCTGAAGGGAAGAGTGTGGTACCCAGCCCTGCCAAAGGAACAGATGGGGAGAAATATCCCCTCGGGCAGCTAGTTAAACAAACTGTTTAGTTGCTAAGTATATACTTGTACACCCCAGGGATGGCTGTAGTCCTCTGGGCTGCCATCCAGGATGTGACTCTGACCTAACCTTGTCCTACCATTTCTTCTTCATTCTGTGCTCTGTTGGACTCACTTACCTCAGCCATGGCCAGGGCTGTGGAGCCACTGTTTCCTTCTCTCGATTCATGCCCGTGTTACATTAGTACTTGAGGATGGAGCCCCATTGTGCTGAGTGATGTACAAAGAGGTAAAGAATTGCTCCTTGCTGCCATCAAGTAGCAAGCTTGGTAGATGGGAGCTACCATCTCAGAATACATATTGTACGCAGTCTCAGGCCTTCTCCATGGCTTTTGGTGGTGATGTGACAAGTTATATCCTCAGGCAGAGAATGTGCTTGTGAAGCAGGTGGACTGATGAAACGTGGCAAACCAGAAAAAGAATGTCTTATTTGGGAATTAACTGGGAGGGGAGAAGGAGGGGTCTATATGTCTTTTTGGCTGACGGTGACATGGCAGCAAAGACCAAAGATAGGTCTAAGGCTGTGTCCACATTGGGACAATGACAGTACAGAGGAGCTCAGTGCTGCCTTACACCAGGAGCTGATGATACCTGGGGGTGTGAGCTGGGACACCCTTGTAGTCCTCAGTCTGGTCAGTCAGTCTGATGCCACATGGATTGGACTTCACTGCACATGAAAGCAGTGTGCTTGGTGTCTCTCACACCATTACGTGACCTGTGCAGCTGCATCTTGCCAACTGCTGTGGCCTGAGTGAGCCCAAGTGAAGCCAGCCCAGTTCTGCCCATAAGACTCCCACCTCTGCTTCTGTCATGGGACTTTGCAGAGAAGGTCATTGCAGTGCCAGCGGTAGCATACTGGAGAATGGGCTCCAGGAAGAGGCTGAGGTAGAACTATGGGTTTTTCTTCTGGAGGGAATGCCAGAGAGACAAAGGAAATACAAAGCTGCCCCCACTTTGTGTCTCAAAATCTGATTTCCCATGTGCAAATAGAAATCATCCCCTGATGACCTCTGTTACTCAGCACTGTCGTGTACATGTCACCAAGCACTCACGGTGTGAGTATGTGCAGCTTTTCTGGGGCATTTCTTACCACAAAAAACTTCCCCCAGACAGAAGCCAGCTGAGGCTTAGGGTGAGCATTTGGAAAGAGGCTGAGGGAGGAAGCTCCTGGGAAAAGAGAACTTTCAGTTAAACAAGATGAGCCTAAAGGCTGAGTGTATATCAGTAGAAAGAAACAGGAATCAATCTGGGGTAAGACAGACACCTGAGTTGAGATGAAAAGGCACAAGGACTTCCATGAGGAGCACACAGTTGTTCTCAAATATCGTCCTTCAGTATGCTTAGAAACCAAAGGGAGCAAGTTCAGCAAACGGCAAGCCAAACGCTCCCATTGCTGTAAGGCTGAACTAGCTCTCTTGGGAGCAGAAGTCCTGCTCTGAGTATAAACTGCATTCAAACTGAATTTAATCTGGGAGATCAGTTTCTGATGCAGTTCCCAAATATTACAGAGCAAACCCAGTTGAGCTCGTGTTTCATTGCAAAAGTTAGAAATCCTGCACAGAACTGTAGGAGGTGAATCCTGTATGTTCCTGCCAGCTTTGCTCCTCGCACCAGTCGCTGGCAACTGAGCAGAGAGCCAGTATCAGCAGAGGGGAGGGCATGGGCATGCAGGTGGGGAGAGGGCAGAACCACAGTGCCAGCCATTGTTCCTACAGCCCAGATCAACCTCTCCTATTCATCCCCTACAGAGAACCCTATTTTGGACCGTCTTTTGCCTGAACACCAAAGGAAAGTACTAGACAGGCTCCCCACTGGCCTTCCACTCGCTATCACTGCCAACCTAATAAGTGATGAGGACTACTGGAAGAGGTGCTGCACCACGCGCTGGCAAGTGTGTGACATCTCCAGCTACGGAGGCAGCTGGAAAAGGATGTTCCTCGAACGTCACCTGGAGAACATCCTGAAATGTTTCATCCCCAACACCACGGACCCCAACCAGGTCCTAGAGCTCATCCCGCTCTGCAAAAACTACGTGCGGAAACTGGAGGTTGACCAGTTCCTGCCACCGTTGGAAGTGGATCAAAATGAGGAGAGGGATGGCCTCTCTAAGTCAGAGAGTGATATGGAATTCAGAGAGGCCTCTGTGCACCACTACGACCTGAGAGTCCTCGTTACTGCTCTCCCTCACCTTGAAGAGCTTCATCTCACTTACAGTGTGAAGGACTGTGGCATGAACTTCGAGTGGAACCTCTTTAACTTCACCTACCAGGACTGCTGCAGCCTGGCTGTCGCCGTGAAGATGTGCCAGAACTTGAAAGTAATGCACCCCAAACCAAACCTTCCTCCCTCAGCTCGATCTTCAAATTGCTTGGGGATAGAAACCCAGGGACCATTTTTACTTGCTGGCAGCACCCTTCCTTTTGAAGTTGCAGTCTGGCAGAGTGCAGAGATGTTAACTTGCTGGCCTCGTGCCGAGTACCTTGTTCTGCATATGTCCTTGTTAGAACAGGTTGTCAGAGGGTCGGTGAGAAAAATACTCCCACAAAACATGTTCCCTATAGCACAAGAGAAAGCAACACTCCTGCTTTGAGTCCTCACATAGTTCTGTGAAGGAGGAGAGAAAAAGCCCAGAGAGTTTTTCATAGGGAGTTTTTGGTAGTTATGCTCAGTAAATACGTGTCAACATGCCCCAGAGGAGCAGGGACGCCTAAGAACAGCATGGGGTAATACTCACAGTTGCCTCAGGGTGATGAGGGGTTTTCCTTCTGGGCAGTAATACCATCTTCAGTTCTGTGGCAACTGCAGCGCAGATACTCAGCCCCTCCAGGCCTCCAGCAGCCAGTGCTGGCCGGAGTGCAGCCAGGGCGAGCTGGCTGGGTGCTCTCCCCATGGATTGGCATGCTTTGGAAAATACTTGTCTGCTGGGCTTCCAGAAAAGAAATTACCTCTCCTGTGGTGAGGTGCCCTGGCCATGCAGGCCATTGCCCTTCACAGAGAGTGATGTGGTTACCACGGGCGCATGTGCTCATTCAGAGACTGTTCAACTCTTGAGTTTTGCTGTTATTCTCTGCAGGCATTTTGGTGGCTTTATCCTGTTTTAATTTTGCCCCTTGTTAGAGATTGCACAGAGCCAGAAGAAAGGAACAGGCACTACTAAGAGACGAATCATTTCTCCCTAGAATAAGTATGGGACATCCGTGGCATACCCTGTCTGCTGGAAGTATCTGGCCACTCTAAAAGCAACTACTTGAGCCTACTGGCTAAAGGTTTCTGTCATGAAGGGAGATGAATCCTGTCTGGTGGACCATAGGCTTAATTCCTTTGAGGTCTTGTACAAAGCTCAGCCCAAAGCACTGAATGTTTTAGTGTCGCTGTCTTTTATCCCCACAGGTTTTCGAGCTGACGCGAAGCAAAGTGGATGATGACAAGACCAGGCTGCTGGTCCACAGCTTGCTGGATCACCCCTGCCTGGTGGAGCTGAACTTGTCCCACAATCTCATCAGGGACAACGGGGCACAAGCTATTGCCAAGTTGATCAAACACAGCAAATTAGAAACCCTCGACCTGTGTAACAACCAGATCCATGATCTGGGGGCTCAGGCTCTTGCTCAAGCCCTGGCAGAGAGCTCCACCCTGACCTCCCTGAATCTGCGCCTCAACTGTGTGGAGGACAAAGGCGGGGAGGCCATTGGCCATGCCCTGCTGACCAACGCCACCCTGCAGTCTCTCCACCTGGGAAGCAATAAGCTGTCAGAGCCAACCGCCGCACTTTTCTCCCAGGTGCTGGCTCAGAACACCACCCTGACGAGCATCAACTTGTCATGCAACCAGCTGGGGATGGTAAGAGAACTCCCTTCTCCCCGCAATTTCTGAGCCTGTGCGGTGGCCTTGCAAAGCAGAGGCTCAGCCTGCCCTGCCTTGAAGCCACAGGGGCAAATGCATCCCTCACTTTGCAGTCTTGCTGTGATAAATATTCCTTTAGAGCAGATAAGAGACTCCAGCAGATGGCAGGAAGAAGGGTATCTTCCATGCACACACATCCATTTATCTCAGTCAGCTCCTTCACAGGGCTAAATCTGGCTTCCAGGCTTTGGGCTTTTGGGCAGAGAAGGATTTTCCCCCAGGAAACTGAAAACCAGGGAGTATGCCTGCAAAAAATCACAGCCGCTTCACACACGTGGGAGTAGATAATAATGATAGGTGGTATGAGACGAGGGCCTAATGCATAGCCTCTGTGCTTTGGATCTGCTGTGCCATCTGTCACTCAGTAGCACATAGATAGTATCACCCTTCCCAGAATCTCTCCTGTCCATCATGCACTCAGAGGAGACTGTTAGAAAATTGGCTCGGTTGTCGAGCTCCTTTAACTCACCCTGCAGCTCTGGAATGCTGTGGTAGGTCAAAAGTGCCACATCTGGGTGCTTGTAAGTGACTCCTAAAACACAGGCCTACATTTTCAAGACAGAAGAACATCCACAAATCTTACTACACCCTTAAAATCTGCAGTATGCAACATGCCCACAAACCAGACTGCTTCTCTTCTGCTGATTAAAAAGAGCTTTAGAAATCTGAAACTAGACAGCCAAATGCAATCATGCTGGCTTTTAAACTTTCTGCACTGCCTCAATTTTTCTCGCTGTCACAATAAAGAGACAGCAAGACCAGCTGTCCCTGCTAGCAGGAATATTGGCATCAATGTGTTTGACAACGGTTTTAAAAGGATTTGATGGCAGAAAGCTTTTGTGAGTTCTGAGTTTTATGATCCTGGATGTGGAAAACCATTTGAGTTTAATGATATAAGGGGGCAAAGGTTGGAAAGGATAGAAGGATTTTTGCTTAGTAAATAGTAATGTCTATACTTAGCATCTTCCTTCTGGTGAGCTCTCCTGTTACCCATTTGTGAAGCTCCACAACAGCCCAACAAGAGGGTTGGTGGTATTATCTTTGGGGAAATGGGTGGTTTTGCTAGAGACGCATCGAACTCTGACCTCTGTACCCCATTAAAGAGAGACTCCTTCCCTTTTTGTTCCAACTTACTTGGCAAAGGTGTAAGAGGCAGGATGCTGGGATGAAGGGACCACCTGCATGAAGGAGATGGGGACAGGAGGTGTATTTGTCAGCTGAAAAAGAATAGCTGTGGGGGAAAAAAGTCAAATTGTCATATCCCTAAAGACAGCACTTTAGGTAAGGGAGAGCAATCCCCCAAAGCAACTGGCCTCCCTAAGGCTATCTACACTGCATTTTCTGTCCCATGCAGGCTGGATTTCAGTTGCGTGCAATGTTCCCTTCATCTCACCAAATGGAAAATGGCATCCAGATAGGAAACTGCCAGCACTGCGGCTCTTGGCACTGCCAAGATGAGGAGCAGCACTCTAATCACATTGCCATTTATCCCCAGCCAGCAGTGTGCGGGGAGCTGGGGGACAGGGGAGAGCAGAGACTCCTCCCATGGTTATCATCACCAGCCATGCTATTAACCAGCCTGAGCTTGAGGACTCCTGACATTGTACCCAGAGGGAGTCATTAGCATATGTCATATCACTGAGAGCTGCATAAGGTTATACTCTTTCCCTGTACTTCTCTTGTGAGCAACATTTCGGGCTTGGGTGAAGGCCTTCATCCCTTTTGGCACCACCTTCCCACTGACTTCCCACTGCCTGCAGCTGATATTGCCCTGGGGAGGAGGGCAGGGAAGCAATACATGTCACTGTTTGATCTGCTTTAACCCTCCCTTCTCACCCCCTTGCAGGATGGTGGGAAGCAGATGCTGGAAGGGCTGGCAGGTAACAAGGTTCTGACCGAGTTCGACCTCCGCATGGCAGGGGTGGGCCAGGAGACCGAGTACCTTGTTCAGCAGGTCCTGTGGGCCAACCGGGAAGCAGCACGGCTGGAGTCCCTGCAGCAGTCCAGAGAGCAGTGAGCGTTGCAGGTGCACTCTTGGAGACACTTCACCTCAGAGGCTTGTTTTCATTTGTATTTGTGAGAAACATTCAACCTGTGGCTGCTGCCGCAGCCTTACCCAGATCCCCACCATCCAACCACTGACATATTCTAATGCAAGACAGACATTACATGTCGTGGGACTGCAGTGGCATTACAGAAGCAATCTGCCTCTGGAGTCCTCTCTCCCACTGCACCCAAGACTAAATCCCACCTCCTGTGGCATTTCTTACATGCTCCAGCAGCAACTGGATGTTGTTCCACCTGCAAAGCAGGTAAGGTGAAGTCTCCACGACCTAAATGGTCTAATCCAGAGCTAACCTTCCCAGCAGGCTGCTCTTTTAGGCTTTTTGCTGAGGAGGATGTGAGATGAACAGAGGATGTAAGAACATTGTTACTTGTCCCTCAGCAACCTTTTTCTGACCATTGGTTTTATCTGTATTTTATTTCAAAATCTGTCTGCAGTCTCAGATATGGGTGGTGAAAAGTAAAAAAGAAATAACTCCAATAAATGATCAGTCTCTCCACCATGGTTTCCTGCTTCAGATTGCTATGCCTTTGATCAGAGCCAGCCTGCTTTGCAAACAGGTGAATTCCTTACAACTAGATGTTTATCCTAACTAGGAGTGCTCTTCTGTGCAAGCCTGTCACAAGAATCAGTGTTTTAAGTAACTTCAAGCTGGAGGGGTCCCTGCAGGACTGCTAACCCACACAGCCCACAGGGTTGAAAACAGAGCAGCTTCTTCTGCCTTGGAGGAAAACCAAGCAGCTTCCTTCTGCTCCATGCATGGCTGCAGCCACCTGGGGACAGGACAGGACACATACGTGACTGCCTTGGTCCTTTGGCCACCCCAGTCAGGAGAGGTCAGCAGGGAATTAAGGCTGATCTCCATCCCCTCCCATGCTCTGAGCAACTCGGGCTTCACACATCTCCCAGCAGCAGCCCTGACAGACCCACCGCTGGCAGCCACCTCAGTGAATCATCCGAAACTTTTATTACACCGATTTGGTTTACAATCTTTGTACTTTGATATTTCCAACAAAAAAGGCAACATTGTGATATACTGTTCGTACATATATAGAGAGACAGACAGAGCTAGATCATATTGACAGAGCTGAAAAGTAAAAACTGTTTCCCAGTATTCACAAAAGAATTTGTTCGCCACGTACCCGCTTCTGCCTTGCTCTGCCTGATGGATACAGATGCCTGTGGTGCCGCTGGCCCCCCGCCGACAGGACCTTTACCTGTGTCATGTCATGCCCTTACAGATCAGAAAGGATGGAGTGCGAGGCTGTCCCCAACAGTCGTGGCCATGCCAGGGCCACCATGCTGACGGGGCTCAGTCCCAAGCCCTCACAGGTCATGGATGCTCCAGGGGCTCGGTCCACAAGAAACCCTAACCAGCAGCAGCAGCTGAGAAACCTCCCTACCTGGGTGTCTCCCACAACTCGTGTCCCATCCTCGAGACCGAGGTATTGAATAGATTTGTTTCTTTTTATTTGCACTTACAAAGTATTTCCATTGAATGACACACCTGAATGAGATGAGAACTCGTGTTCAGAAACAGCAGAAAAGACCCAGGTCAGCATAAGGCTGATGAAGGAACAGCTCCAGCAGCGAGGGTGGGGACTTAATGGAGGTGGCCTGGTCCTAGGCAAGCCTGCCTGTAGCTCCAAGTACAGGGCTGTGTCTGGTCAGCCAGCTGTGCAATGAAAGCTCGTGCTGGGAGGGCAGCGATGAGATCCCTCAGCCATGCTAGCAGACACAGGAAGAGGAACTGGCTGCCAGAGCCAGTGAGGAACAGGGATGGAAAGAAAAGGGCTTGGGAAAACGTTATCATCACCACAACAACTGTTGACTTGCTTTCCACGGATACTCACATCTCCTTTTCCAGCAAATGGCCAAGGATGTTAAGGCCACCTGAGCACATTCCTTGGCTGCCACATGTAGGAATGCTTGGACAACCCTTTGCCTTCCCTCCCATCTATGTCCTAGCCAAAGAGAAAAGCCCAAACCAAGCAGGCTGCACCACTTGCCCACACCAAGACCAACAGCCTGCTATTTGGCAGCCTGCAAGGGTTGAAATGACTTCAAATGCCATACATGTTGGTAAAAAAATGAAAGCCCTGACAGCAACAGCAGCTTGCGTGAGTGTGAACACTCCTGTCATTGCTGGGTCACTTGTCAGCTCCAGGTCTGGTTACCGTGCTGTGGGACCACCATGCAGAGCGGTAACCAGTAGGTCGCCCTGTGCTGGGAAGGGCCAGTATGAACCCTTTAGCTCTTCCATGAGATCCATCCCCAAGGAGTGCTGCAGGGCTTTGAGGAGGGGGTCAGCCGCGGGCCTCCATCTGAGGAAAGAACAACCTCTGGCACTTTGCCTGGAAGCTGGTCTTCTCTCCCTTGCACCGATGCATTGTGAGCAGCATTTGGCAGCAGAGGAACCCAGCCAAGCTGGGAGCATCCCCTCGTCCATGTGCCACAGACATGGGGAGAGACAGAGGGTGGCTGGGAAGTAAAGCAGGAGGAAAGACACAAGGGCTTGCACTTGGACTATGCCAGTGGGTGCCCACTGGGCCGGAGCAGGCGTGTCTGGCTGGCTCCTTCCCACAGCAGATGGCAAGCCCTGCTTTTGCTCCGAGCACAGCTCACGCAGCAGCAGGAGCCAGTGGCTGGCTTCCCAAGCCTGGCGGCTTCTGCTCACAGCGACCCTGGCATCGATTTGCAAGGTGTCACACTGGCATATGCTGTAAAGAGGATGGCAGGTTGACTTCAAGCACCAACTGGGGGTGGAGGAGCAGGCTGCCGTGGGGATGGGCAGAGGCTGTGCATGGAAATGGTTGCTCTGTTCAGCCTCCCTTTGTTCCCACAGAGCTGCATTTGTCCACACTGAGCTTCTGTCCCTGCCTGCCCTATACCTGCTGGCCCTCTGCACAGCCAGGTGAGGTGCTGGGGGCTGGAGCCCAACAGCAGGGAGGAAAAGACAACTGACACAAGCTCTCCTGCTCACTGAGGACACACCGCTTTATCCCATCGTCACCTACAGCATGTGCCCTATGTGCAGCAGCCTCCCTCTCCAGCTAGCCCCAGCTGGGGCTCACACACTTCCCTGCAGACAGAGCACTCCTGGCTAAGCGAGACCCTCCTCCTGCTTTTCCCTTCCAATGCAGTGAAGACGGATGAAGCTGAGCAGCACAGAGCCAAGCCCTGCATCGGCTTCCCTAGGTGGAGGGGATGGCTCAGAAATGAATTGTTCCTCCTCCCTACAGGCTATGCCTGAAATAGCCATGCCTGTCAGATCCCTGTCCCCAGCTGTGATGGATTGGCCTCTCCAAGGCACAAGGCAATTTATTCATTAGTGACATTTACACCTTGTGGCTGCATTAGCCATTGCTGTTTGGTGACACATGCTCGAGCTGTCAGTGCTGGGCTCGGCGGCAGCATCGGTGCTCTGACAATACAGCAAGGCTTGGTCTGGGCACCTCAGCTTCGAAATGCCTCCTGCCTGCCTTCCCGGTCTGGAGCATGCTCAGCCTGCAAGGAAAGCCTGCTTTATTCCTGGGCTTCTCCAGCAAATGCCCTGGTCTCTCTGTTTCCCACACCCTCCGTGCCTCGCAGCAGCACTGCTCCAGCACAGCAGCCCTCAGCCCTGTCTTGTCTCATGTCTTGGTAAAAAACATCACATCCGCAAAGCCTTTTACAGCTGTTCTTCAACATCCCCTCCTCTGCACATGTCTTGCTGTGCATTCACACACTGTTCTGTCCTCCTCATCAAGCTCCTCCATCACCTGTCTCTTGTTCAGCCCACAGCAAAGCTGCCCTTGGTCCCAGCAAAGAAGCACAGAGCCTCTGTTTGGAAACTCACCCAGAAGACACCCTGTCCCCTGGTCCCACACTGCCACAACAGCTGATGTGCCTCTTCTGCCAAGAGACAGCACTAGGAACCCAGAGACCACCAAAATGTCAAGGCCTTCTGTCTTCTACCTTTGGTCTGTTGGATTTACCCTGTCTACAGAGGCTCAGAGAAGTGCTGTGGAACTCTCTGAGAGAACATAAAGTGATGCACAAGTGAGGCCAGGCTGTGCTGCCTCTCCACCAAGCAAGCTCAAGGCACGCCAGGACAGGAGCATCGTTGGGAGGCTGTATGCAGGCAAACCAGCAGGTTATGGCAGGCTCTGGCCACGCACACCTGAGGTCATCATACATCCACTGGCATTTCATGGCTGCCCACGGTGCTAGCATGGAGAGGACCAAAATGACGCAAATGCACAGCCTTGGAGGAGTTAAGGAAACAAAGTCCTTTGGCTACCTCAGAGGAATAACAGTTTGCACATCAGGTTTGGGAGGGTGAGAAGGGCTGGACAGTGTTGGCCAGGGAGCAGATCTAGCAGCTCTCCCATTTCAGGCAGCAAGGGATTAGCTCGTTCTCAAACACAGCTTGCACCATGCTTTTATCCCTGCTCCCTGCCACTCACTGCAGCAAATGTGACACTTCACACCATTTCCTCACAAAAACCAGGCCAGGAGTTTCCCCCCACGAGGAACAAGCAATGCTCTGTTACCCTGCAAAGCCCCTGCTGCAAGGACAGACGGGTGACACCAGACCACAGCCACAAACACACCAACCCTCTGCGGGGCTGGGGGTCCCAGGTGTGCACACTGGCATGCAGAAGCCCACCCTCCACACATGTATGCTTGGGTGGACAGCCAGGTCACAGCTCCAGGGGCAGAGGAAGCCCTGAAACTCCAGCCTTTGTTTCTGATCACCCTACCATAGTGTGGAGCAACAGGGCCACCATCCCAGTCTTCCTTGAGCAGTTCTTCTCCACAAGCACTGCACACATCTAACAGAGCTGGCTGGAGTGTTTTAAACCCACCTCATCATCAAAGATCTGTTTTTTCCAGCAAGAAAGAACAGCAACCTGGAACACTTCTCACCACTGTTAAGGCCTTTTGGTCTCACCTAAGTTTGAAAGAGCCGTTGGCATTTCAAATATGAAACCCTGTCATTTTGGGCTCCAGCTGTCACCACTTTTCCCTCAGCCTGCTGAATGGTGCTTGCATGCTGCCTGGTCAGACATACAATCACTGTCCTTCTCCTCTGCTCAGCCCCTGGGGACAGGCTCATCCTGGGAGGGAAGGTGCAACACAGACAGAGCCCAACAGCCTCTAGTGTGGCTGAGCAGGAGGTGATGCCTGCTTTCAGCTGATCCTCTCTCTGCTGCTGCCTCTGGAGACAGGCACAGACTCAGGCTTGGGCTTTTCCAAATGTTTCCACCCTGACTGGTTCATGGACTGCCATTCAAAGCCTGAATTCATGGCACAGCTGCTGACAGTGCTGCTAATGGACATTGGGACCATGGGACTGATACAAAATACTAAGTCATCTCACCACATTCTAGCTAGGCTTTTTCTTTCACTAATGTGAGTAGCTAAGACCACAGAAGCAACTTGTGCTGATGGAGAGTGAAAGAACCTCATGTGTCTGTGTGTGAAGTTACTTTGCTCTACAAAATCCGCTAGATTATAATCACAGTAGGGGATCCATCCATTCCCAAAGTTCAAAGGACCAGGGAGAGTTCAGGATGGGCACCAATTTCTCACAAGCTTAGTTTTCCCAAATGAAGTTATCAAAACCGAAACAAACGAAGAAAAAGGCCCAACAAAAACAGTCTTCCTTGGTGGGGGGAGGAATAAAACCCACTTAGCTTTCCAGCAGCCACTGTGCTTATTCTCAGTGCTGGATGGCCATGCTGCACATTGCAATGGGCTCCTGAAAACTTGGCAGCTTCTGGAAGTGTTGCATAGGTGGATGATGTACCTCTTAGTAGAGCCCGTTTATGAGCTGCAGGAAGAGGAGCTTGCTGACCTCCACAAGAAACGGTCCCTCCCCCAGGACAGACAGAGGTGAGGAGGGAAGGAGGAAGGGGAGGCCACGGATCTTGCAGGTTCAGTTCTGTCCCTGGGACCTCTTCCCTCCTATGCGGAAAGGCTGTAGTCCTGTGGGACAAGGCTCCTCTCCCAGTGTGGTGGAGGTCAGTCTTCTTGTTGTCTTGCTTTTGAGGGAGTCGACGAGATCACATCCATGGGCATAACATTTCCCTTGGCAGAGCAGCTGTGATGGAGGCAGTAGAGCAGAACAATTCAACCTACTGCTTGCAGATACAGTATATATTCAACATTCATCCACGTTGGCCAAGTCCCAACATGAACTCAGTGCATTAAAGCAACACTGACAGATCAATTTGCCTAGATTCAAGGACAGACAACAATGAGGAGTTGCTAAGCCAAGCTCACACTGGTATAGTACCACCAGCTTCAATAAAACTACACTGGTAATGAACGTAACCCATCAATTTCTACCTGAAATGTGACTAAGCACCTTTTCCCTTTTTCCAGAATGCCCACAGGGAGAAGATCCTAAAGCAGGTGCCATACCAAGTCCCCACTGGGCTACGAACCAGCCTTTGGTCCCCACACATACCTGGCTCAGTGGAGACTCTAGGCCAATGTGCATCAGAGGAGGCAGCATTACCAAACAGAGCTAACACTTAAACCATGTTTTGTTTCAGAGATGATCTGAATCCAGATCATGTTCACACAGACCTTATTCTAACCAGCAAATATGAATGAAACATGATTAGAAGCACGTATCACAAATCGAGACTTACAGCTCTTTGGCAACACAGCTTCTTAGTGGTGGTGTAGTATTTTAGACCCATGCCCTACAGCTACTGCAGCAGAGTAGAAGCACCTTGCAGCAAGGCTGTACCCTGCTGAAAGTAAGGCAGCACTCTGGTGATACCAGACAGTAGTACTGAAGCCATGGTTGGAAAGTCTGGAAGGAGAGCTTAAAAGGTATTACTTCCCTCAGGCTAATCAGCAGGCACTGACTTAACGACAGTGGATGCTACCTAATTTTCTTAAACTTCCATTAATAAACCCCTTCCTGCAGTCCCCTCCCACGGGCGCCCATCAGAGGTACTGAACAGCTTTGCGGCCTCTTGAGTGGAGACACAACAAAAGCGCCAGGGTTGGGCTGGATCTCTAATGTGTGCATTTTATAGGGAGCAGAAAGGAAGGGGGGATGTGCTTGTCTGAGATCAGAAAAACAGCAGCCTTACTAATCCTGAGTTTTTGCCGAGCGTATGACTCTGAAATGCCTGGCCTTGGTCATAAGCTGATTCCCCCTCCCTGTCCTAACAAATGCCCCTACAGTTGGCTGAGCCCGAAAGCCCTCTCCGAAATCTCTCTCTTCGGTGTGGTTTGCATGACGCACAGAGAGGGATCAAGAGGTACCACCAGCCTGGTTGATGTCACCACCTGCTCTTCACAGGCAAAGCGCTAGGCACTATCTGGGCAGCTTCCATGGTGTGCTGAAAGATGGATAAATGGGTGGTGATGTGTCTTGAACATCAGCTAACCCAGAGCTTCTCACACACTCCTTCTATCTCTTTCTCCTGTTCAGAAAAGCCAGAGAGTGCCTGACAAATACACTGGGAGCAATGGGCAACAGCAAATAGCACGAATTTTCTGTCCAGTCGTGCAGCAGTAGGGACTATCTCCCTTTTAGCACCAAGAAGAGAGAGGCCAAGAAGACAAGCCGCCTCTGGAAAAGTATGTGAGGAAAGCCTGCTGACAAGTGCAACACTGAGCCTGACTCTCGGCCCATGGAAAGCTGCAGTGGGTGAATGACCCAGCTTTCACCTTCCCAGAGGGTGATGCAGGCTGTGCTGCTTTCCTTGCAGAAGAGGTCAGCAGTTCTGTGTACTCCTCTAACTTCGAAGGGATCTTCTGCATCAGAAATGAGGACACAGCCACACTGACAGACCAAGGCATGGCGTGCACCCTTGGGCCTCTCCTCTTGCCCAGGCCAGGCTCAGAGCAGCAAGGACAGACTTGCTACACAAGGAAAACTTCAGCACCACCGTGCAAGCCAAGGTTTGCCCAGTTTGATCCTGGGGGAAAGAAGACGCTGGGATTGGTGAAGAGAAGGCTGCGGAAACCAGATAACGCCTGCTTGTGATGGGAAGGCAATGGGGAAAAGGAGCAGAGCCAATTAGACTTGCCAGTCAATGGAGGATAAGTAATGAGATTAAGATACAGCAGGGAGAATTCAGGTTAGATGTAAGGGAGCAGGCTATCATGAGAGGAGCAGACTGGGCCATCAAATGAGCTGCCAAAGGAATCATCATCACTGCACAGACACGGTGAAGAGCAGACACAAGTCTGCAAGAAGAGCAGATGCCTGAGTGCTGCTCAGCCTGGAGCTGCGGAGGGTGGAAGCCTCTGTGCTGAGGAGATGGGACCACTCCACCATGGAGAGGCTGCGCACCAGAACAGACAGACCATCTCGGGTTAACTGTGCTAATAACCTGAGCTGCAAGGAGAATTCAATCAGCTGCCCTTTGCCCAGGGCACAGTGGTCCCTCAGCAGCACTTTGGAGGAAACCTATACACGCACACTTTCTGCTGGCTCCATCAGTTGTCTGCCATGAACTTCTCTGTCTGGCTAAACATGCTGCCCTGCCATTGCAGGCAGGGAGAAGGAGAGAGAGCCTAACCCCAGTTTCAGTCTGTTCTCTCCAGCTCCACCACTTCTTTGCCAAGCCACCATACAGTTCCCATCCCTCCTTCCCAGTTCTGTTCCCAAGCATGCCATCTCCTTTCCTGAGCCTGGCAGGAATGCAGCAGGCTGGACCGGGATGGGTAGTTCCACCATGTTCCGTAGGGTAGTAGGGCCAAGAATACGAGGAAGGGGATCTCTAAGAAATCCTGGTGTGCAGTGGGGAGCACTGACTAGAGGTCCCACTTCTCAGGATGCTGTGGGTCAGGGACGGCCACAGACCATGGCACTGGGACTACGTCTGACACCTGGCTGCGGCTGGCACTGTGTGCATGGGGAAGGTGTTCAGCAACAGGAAGGTTCTGCATGGGTCCCGCTGCCCACAGCAGCTGTGCCTTAAAGATACCTGTGTCCACCTGGATAGACCACCTCCAGAATAAGATTTCCTGAGTGAAAATGGGGCCAGAGGAACAAGTTGAAGAAAACTAATGGAAAGGCCCAGAAAGAGCCAAGGACAAGGTGCCTGAAAGCAGAACTCTGCCGCAGGTGCTAAAGGACAGGGGCACAGAGACCCTACTAATCTGTTAGTATTCAGAGGACTGTCTTTGCCCCAGGGAGCTAAAAGGCCTGCCAAATCTTAGATATATCCATCTGTCCAAGGCACCTTGGAGGCTGGAGATTGAAAGATGAGCCACCATAGCCTAATTTAAGCAATGTGTAGGAGATTTCAAAGAGAACATGTTGGAAAGGGCAAGCGAACCACATTCCTCACTAATGACCCACTGCAGCTCCACTGACTGAACCTTTCCTGATTCACTGGGACATACAAGCACACACCATTATCTCCCCAGAGTCACGAGGTTCCTCGGCATTGGCCCAGGCTTACATTAAGCCCTTGGAGAGAGAAGTGCAAGTGAACAGCAAGCCCAATGTCAACACTAAACAAGAAAACCCCTAGGGCAGCCAAAGGGGCTGCAGCCACTTTCATCCAGTCTGGATCTGTGCAAATAATGAGAACAAAATGCAGAGAGGGATGTGCCCACACCAGAGACCTTGTGCTTCTCCGTTCCCAAAGGGACCCTCTTATTTAAAACAACACGATCCAAGTCTGGTAGTGAGATTAAGGGCAGATGATAAGACTGAATCATACCGGAGTGAGATTTTAAAGGACTTTCTGTTCAAACCATTGTCATTTGGAGTCTAGCACTTGAGATCCAGGAGGACAAGCTGACTTGAAAGGCAAGAGACACTGACCAGGGTACACAAGGCACAAAGAGCAGAACAGACTGCTCTGGGGGCAAAGCCAAGCAGAGCCTTACAACACCTGCAGGCACTGACTGCTCCAGGCTTCCCGGCAAGACATGATCTTCAAAAGAGGACTGTGGTGGCAGAGTGCGTTTGCAGCCTCCCCAGGATACGGGAGGTGAAGCAGTACAGCAGCATAACTAGAGAAAGAGACCCTTCATTAACAGTTAGCAAGAGGAAGACAGGCAGGACTAAATATAATGCCTCACTGTTTGCAGTTGCATCTTACCCTTCTGCAATGGCTGCAGAGACAGATACCAAGCTTGAATGCTCACGTGCTGATGGACTTGTGGTTGTCACCCACGACCTGCTGCTCTCAGCCCTTGTGTGCCCCAGCCAATGAGGCAAGCGTGGTGAGGCTGAGGATTTGGCATGCACTCCCACAAAGAGCTGACTGAAAAGGAGACAGCTTTCCTGTGAACAGGGACACAAGGGAACCGGGGATGTGTTGAAGGAGAGGGAAAAGCTGGGTGCTCGCATGCTGCCACCACTCATGCAGCTTCAGTGACATGAAGGCTCCCTCCTCAATGTCACCAAGATCCTTTCCAGCAGGATAGAAGTGGCAGCACAAAGCTCAGAGCAGGCCAGCCTGCCCTGACAAGAGAAGGGCAGAAGAACCCAGTGGATAATGGGCTACCTCACTTGTGACAGCCTAACATCTCTCTGCAAACAGCTCTATAGTGTAAACCACTTGGTTGTAAGCAGGTTCCCTTCTAATGTATCCCCAGCCTCTGTTCTGCAGAGCATCCCTCATGGCAGATGCCTCCCTGTCTCCCACCTCTGAGTCCTGCACCAACAAGTGGGGCCCACAGAAAGAGAATCTTTGCTTCTCAACTCCCCAGCCCAGGTTCCCAATGCTCCAGCATGTGTTTCCCCTTTCCAGCTCCTCATAGCTCCCTGCCAAAAAGAGGCAGCCAGGAGCCTGCAGCTCGGGGTCTGCAGCCAGAGCCTGGCCTGATCTCATGCAAAATTCACTCTCAGAGACATGCACCAACCTGCTGCTCTATTATCAATAGGTGAATTGCAGCTGAACCTACCAGAACCTTCCTCGATGCTTGTCGGAACCAATTAGGACTCACTTCAAAGCCAGGAAGGGACCTCGGCCACTTGATGTGCCACTTACTACCACGATGCCTGTTCCAGTGCCATCCTCTCCCCATTCCCCAGCTCAGCAGGGGCCTCCCATTTTCTCTTTCCAGCTGAGCTCTCCTCCAGCAAACAGATCAGAAGCGCCGCAGGTCTCCACTCCATCTGGGTTCGCACATTCATCCCTTCCCCGGTGCTGCCTGCCTGCTGTAATCCCAAAGAGAAAGCCCTTTACCTCGGGGATGCTGACTCTCAGCACTGGCGTGCTGAAGATTCCTAAGGAGCTGAGCCTGGGATCCGCTGGAGGTGGTGCCATTCCCAGCAGTGAGCACAGAGTAACAGTCGGAGCATGGTCTAAAAACAGTGGGGAGGGTGGGAACAGGGGGAAGGGGAAGAGCTGGATTTGTGGCTTTCAGACTTTGTTCTAACCTTGTCACTCAGCTCCACATGCCTGGATGCCCCAGACCAGTAGGCACAGGCAGTGACATGCCGCTCCCAAGGGACCTGTTCCCTTGCACCCTGTGAGGGGTGTCACTCCAGCATGGGCAGCGGGGTGGGCAGAGGTGCAGCAGGGCGCTTCCCGGTGGCTGCTGGTTCCTCGGAGCACGAGCGAGCCTGGAGCCAGGGCTGGGAGCCGAAGCACCCTCCTCCTTGCATCAGGCCTGTCTTTTTATTCCCCCCTTTGGATCTTGATGCCATGAATTACAGTGTTGGGGTTGGTTTGGGTTCTTTTGTTTTTTGCATGTGATGGTCGGTCTAGAGTTCTGTGCCATGTCAGGGGGAGCATCAGCACTCTCCCCTCCGGGAGGTCAGGGCTATGGTGTGAGGAGCTTTTGCTGGCTGCAGGAGCGAGAAGCTCCATCCGCTCCATCCTGATGTCCTCCTAGGCCATCTGCCTCCCCTGCGCTCCCCTCCCCAAATCCTGCACTGGCTCCAGCCAGGCAGTGACAATGAGATCTCACCGGCCTCGGCTTTCACAGTGAGGTCTCCACGCAGGACCCGTTGCGGTGGAGGTGACGGTGGTCGTGGTTCAGGCAGCCTTCATTGCGGTGCACGATGAGGATGGGGAAGTAGAGGGCGTCCTGGTAAGGAGGGGGGTCTTCCTCCTCCACAGTCACCTGGCTGGAGAGGCGGGTCTGCTCCGTGGGGCAGCTCTGCTCATTGAGGCTCCCGCTCCGGCTCTGCCAGAGGCAGCTGCGCCGGGAGCCGTACAGGCGGCCCAGGGAGAAGCGGCTGCTGCTGAAGGGGATCCTGGGGCTGCCGTTGCAGATGCTCAGGGCACTGCGGGAGAAGATGGAGGAGCTGCTTATAGTCCTGTGGCACCGCTCACAGTTCTGCCGGTAGCCCCCGTACCGGCAAGCAGAGTAGCTGGTGCAGCCAGAGAGCCCCACCAAGTCCATCAGGACCGCTTCTGAGTAGCTGGGCACCAGCTGCTGGTTGGATCGGATGTGCCACTCCAGCTCAGTGCTGTCCACCGTGTTGACGCGGGGCATCCTCCGGCAGAAGGAGCGCTCCTCGGCCGGTGTCACCGCCACGTAGTCGAACCCAAAGAGTTTCTCTACATGGTAATGGACATAGGAGGTGCGGTACTCATTTAGCACCCGCAGGGGCCAGGATAGGGTCAGCAGAGCCGCCACCCAGAAGACATAGTGGGATACATACCAAGGCAGGTTGTCTGGGTCGGAAAAGGCCACCATGTATTCCTTGAAGTCCACGTTTTTGAGGTGCATGCCCTCCCTGGCCTCCATGTAGTCATCCAAGCCCTCGTTCTCCGTGAAGAAGCGGGCCCGCTGGGTCAGGTAGGAGTTCTCTGACTCCACGTTGGCAAAGCTGAAACACTTGGTGAAGCGGAGCCGCGTGGCCGGGTAGCTCTCCAAGTCAATGAGGTCCTTGGAGATGTCCTTAACTCCACAGTTGGAATAATCGAATTCGGCCTCTGCCACATGGGTGTTGACCCTCTCGTGATACACCTGCGTGGTGGTGTAGGCATCCCCGTTGCGGTAGCGGGTAACCTGCCGGGTCCTGCGAACATAGTGGTAGCTGATGGCCTTCCACCAGATGCAGGGGGTCGCCTGCTGCATGCGCTGCACGCGCTCGTGCACGCTCTCCACGTCCACTTTGTACTGCAGCTCATTGCGGGTGTAGCAGTGCCAACACTCCACCAGGTACACCACGTAGAGCATCACCAGGAAGGCCAAAGGGATGTAGACGTAGCCGTTAGAACAGGGGCTGTCGTGGTACATCATGGACTTGCCCTTGTAGGCGCTGTCAAACGTAAGACGGGTCACCTTGGTGACGTGGCACCAGGTCATGGCTCCCATGCAGCCGTACATGAGGAGGGACAGCAGCAGGCATTTCCAGTGGGACTCTCGGCACAGGGACTTGCTGAGAGACTGCTTCACCGGCCGCTGCTGCTCCAGGGGGGCAGGGAGAAGGGAAGAGAAAACAAGAGAGGAGTCAGTCGTCTGCAGCAGCAGCAGGAGGAAGGGGAGCAGGCAGCAGGGTGCCATGGTGGCGCCTGTAGCCCCTCAAACAGGGACAGCACAGATGCTGTGGGGCTCCTACACTTAACGGGCAGGCCAGAGGCTGGGACTGATCCCAGGATGACAGTCCCACAGGGCAGGCAACTGTGACCCCCTTCCCTTTGTGGTGCTCTGCCCCTCTACAGGAGGCAGCCAGAGCCCACCTGGACATGGAGAAGAGCAACAGAGGGCAACTCTGCCAGCCTGCACATGAGCATCACTCTTCTTCAATGGGGAGTGATCCCAGCACTGACATGTCCCCTTGATGCACAGCGAGATGGAGGCAGGGGATCTCCCCAACATACCTTGGCTTGTGCAGCCATCCCACCCATGCTCTACCTAATGGGCTGTCCCACCTCACACAGCTCATCCCATCGCACCTCTCCCTGCTCACACACAGGTCTCTCCCCCTTTCCCAGTAATGACCCACAGCAGCATGCAGGTTTCTCCTACCAGGGCAGCACAAGCAGCCTGGGGTGCCTGTGAGATGGAGAAACAGACCTTCTGCAGCTGGGACAGTCTCCGTTTGGTGATGGCAATTCCCACCACAACACTTGGCAGCACAAGGGGCTCTAAGTGCTTCCCAAGTGCTTTACAACCATGAGAATGGGAAAGCTGTTTTCCACGAGTGAAATGCAGCCACCTCTGGTGGGAGAGAAAGCAATATGGAATAACATCCTAAAAGGTGTGCAAGCTGGCAGAAAAGAGCACCCTGCCAATGTACGGCAGCAGGGAGGGCGAGCGGCCAGTCACAGCTCCCAGCAAATGTTGCTGCTTGCACTGGGATTCAGCTGTGAAAGCCCACACCTCTGGAGAAACTGCCCACAGGTCGCACAGTGAGGAAAGGACAGAACTTCAGCAATATGGGTTTAAAGGGATTAAACTGGTGCCTTCACCACAGGAACCATGCAGGGCTTCACAAAGACCTGGGAAAAAACCCTACTTAAGGAAACCTCTGTCACTCTGCAACACCCTGCAGTCTCAAGTATTGATCCAGCTTGGCTGGTGAGACCTGACATTACCACACCCAAAGGGAGAACATGCAAAGAGACCATTTCCCTTCTTATACAAAAGATTTCATCCAGCAATCTCCAATGAAGTGCCCTAAGAGAGGGGCGCAAGAACCCCAGCGTTGTGCAGATGCTGCTAAACTCACTTTCAGGTCTGTTCTGCCTCCCTAACTGCATGCAGCACCGCTCCTGAGCTCACCTCTGCTGCTGCAGGGGCTAATGCCAGCTGTAATGACACCACTCACGGCAATGAAGTCCAAGCCTGGCCCCACCTCTTCATTCCTGGACACGCTGGGCTGGAGAGGTCTCTCATCCAGCGATCCCAAAGAGCTGAGTGGGCTGCTGCTGCTAGAAAGCAGGGAGGGGGCACTTTCACTTTTGCATTAAAAGGGAAATTAAAGCAAGAACCAGAGTTCACAAGGCCACTGGCAGGTCTAGGGACAGTTCTGGGCCTCTTCTTTAAGAAATCCTCCTGCTCTCTCCTCACCCATCTGGAGTCCCACACACCAGCCATTCCTCCCCACATCGTGCCAAGGCTGCTCTGAGACTTCTGCCACTGCGACACAGCATGAATCTCCCACAGAGATGTCTCTCCCGGAGGCAGGGAGCTCTCCTTCCCAGCAGCCAGCCTGCGATGAGCGGAACAGGCAGCATATCCAGAGGGACCACCGGTGGCAGCGGGAATGGTGGCACATCCCACTGTGGGTCCCAAGCATTAGCAGCGCTGAGCCCCCCTCTTTGGAGCCACATCTGAGAGCGACAGCAGGTGGCAGAGACGCAGAGCCCAGGGAAGGCAGGTTGGGTTAACACTGGTCTGCAGGCAACAGGCAGAGGTGTGGGGTGGCTCTGCTCATCACCTCCAGCACAAACTCATGTGTGCCCCTGTCTTCCCAGTGTGACCCATCACTTCAGCAGCCTCTCAGTCATGGGATGAGAAGGGAACCCCGGATAAAGCAAAAGGGAGCAAGGAGAGGAAATGAGGATACCCACAGGCAGAGATGCCTGAGCTGTGCTCTCGCTGCTCAGGTCCGCGTTGCGGTTACAAGAGCCTGCCCAGATCTCTCTGGCTTTGCTTGGCTGCAGCACAACTCTCTGCACTTGAGAGCTATTACCCAGGCAGCTGAAGGTTTCCTCTTCCCCAGCTGCTTTCTGCATTGCAAATCTTCCCCCTCAGTGGCAATCCTGGCTAGGAGGCTCTAAGGGGGCTGCTTGGCCAAAGAAGGAGCAGGGGGAGGGTGTGAAGGGGGGCCTCGAGGAGATGCAAGGTACATGCTAACTCTGGGGTGTCTGTGGGGTGAGAGAGCTGGCTCAGAAACAGTGCTTTGTTTGGGGTGGGGGATAACAGGGAACTGCAAATGGAGCACAAGGAATGTAGCAAAGATTCAGCTCGCTCATTTGCCACACTGGGGATGGGGGATCAGGAAGACAGATCTTTGGCCAGGTTGGTCCCAGAAAGCAAACTCCACCTCCCAGTTGCTCCAGCCCCTCACACTCCACATGCTCCTGCTCAGAAGAGAGATGCTGGCTGTCCCCCTGAAGAGATGCAGGCAAGCCCTGCTGTGGTTACCCACCCAGGGCAGGGAGCTTGATGCAGCCCAGGCTGGGTTCCAGGAACTGTGTTAGCAGGGCTCTAGTCCATGCATTAGTCTCCTCCTAGGACTACGCAGTATTGAGACACTGCAGCGCTTTTACAGGGTCAGGCTAACCCCTGCTGTAAACTGTTTACAACCCAGTTTTGTTCTAGGCTTTTGAGGCAAAAAACATACACATTGGCCACGCTGGTGGGGCTTCTGAGAGCTGATCAAGTGGCAATGACGGGATACAACCACAGCAGAGATGGAGGAGGAGCCAGCTGCAGCGTCTCATCCCGGTAGGAACTGCAGCATCTCTGCTCTCCTGGGCTGCAAAGGGCTCACAGGAGCAAATAACCGGCTCCACAGCTTCCCCCTGCAGAAGCAGCTGAATAAGGTCGCCTGCTCGAGCTCTTAACCAGCCCCGAAGTCCAGCACAGCAAACACGTAGATGAAATAGCCAGGGAAAGGGAAATCCTTTCTGTCCCAAAACAGTGTCACTGGAAGGAGAGCAGGCTCTGACATAAATGCCATCATCATGTGCCTACTGCAGTCTGATGGAACAAGGCAAAATGCTTGCCCTACTTCACTGCAAACAGGGTTTCCCTCCATCACTGGGAGCCTCCCCCATCGCTCAGGCTTGAGCACTGGAGAGGGGTAAGCAAACCCACTATTGCAGGTGCACCTAAACATCTCTGCAGTGCTAGAGGGCAGAACTGGTCCAGCCAGGGCCCGGCCAACCCCTTTGTGGGACCTCTGTGCTTCAGCTCGCCATGTAGAACCCATGGGACAACCCTTACCAGGTGCTTGGGTGCTGGAAAGGCAAGAGCTAGACTCCTGCTACAGCCTTCCCTCCCTCATACATTGCATTTGCCTCTGATAGTGCCCCTGAGGGGAAAGGAAATGGAGTTCCACTCCTGAAGCTGTGGCTCTGGCCTGCACAGGAAGGGATGGGAAGGACAACTTATGAGCAGCCACAAAGGGAATGGAGATGCCCATAATGCACTAAACTCCTTTTTGATCTGGGGAATCCTCTTCTCAGAAAAGCCTCGAGGGTTCAAACCTGCCCTGACCCCAGTGGCCAAGCACAGGGGCAAAATACCTTCATGGCCCCCACAGCCTTTACCGTGTCACTTTGAACACTCAACAACTCCAGAAATCCTTTAAGCTTTTCAAGCTTCTTCTGAAGCAGCCTGTCCTTGGCTCCCTCTACCACCCCCATTTAATACGTGTTCTGTGTCCTCGCCTCCTGTGCCTTGCAGAGACCTGCCTGATATCTCCAGTTCACCCCCAGAATGCTCAGCCTTCACTCTATGAGACACCCTGGATTCACAGGGTTGCGTATCCTAGAGACAGCCCTCCGTGGGGCTGAAGAAACAGTTCAAAACAGCCCCAGAGCAGCAGCATGGAAGCCCAAGTAGCTCCTGAGTGCCAGGCTGTGGCAGCAGCTTGCAGGGGACTCCAGTGGGACTCCTCAGCATCAGTTTCCATGGCTCTGCCCTGCCCATTTGCTTACATCACACAACAGATGAATAAGCCCTGCTCCCTTTGACCTCAAATCCCTCCAACAAGGCAGGTGGAGAGCATCCAGTCACTACTAAAAATTGCCACCATCTTCCTAGGCGCGGGACAGACACTGGCAACTCCTAGTCAGGTATGGTCCCAGCAACCCCCCCCCCCCAGTGACAACCCACATGCCCACAGCCCAGATTCAGGAGCTACCTGTCTAGGAGAAAGAGGTGGCTCAGCTCGGGCTGGCAGCATCACCAACTGCAGAGGAAACGGAAAGGCTGAGCATCTCAGAGCCAGGGAATCCTGCCAGCAGTCATCTCCTGCACTAGAACCAAGGGCTCCATTTTACACAGCATCTTGGAGGACGATTGGTTCCTTCCATCAGATCTTACCCAAGCAGTAGGACAAGGACTTTTTTTGCTTGCTCCCAGGCTGAAAAGCTCAGCATTTCCTACCCTCCAAGGTGGAAATGCATTGCTGAGTGACATTCAGCTCACCACCATTAAGTGTAGGTGTATGCATGTGATGCCAACAGGGAACAAGGGGTCAGCCCACTCTGGTCAGTAGCTCTTGCTACTTGTCTTGCTAGAACAACCTGAAGCCTGACTGGCCCCTAAACACAAGGACCTGAAAGATGTCAGCATGAGGCACCTTCAAACAGCACAGCGCACGTTTCCCGTTTTCCAGTCCCCACACATCTCACCTGGCTCCCTGGACAAAGGACCCCTATAGCTGGGGTTCAGCCACATTCACGGGATGCTCAGCAGTGCTGGCACCAGCAGTTGGCTCTGATCGAAATGAGGACCACACTGCTAGCACAGCCTTACACAGGCCCTGCAGGGGAGCAGGAACACTCTCCCTTCCCAATATTTCTGATGACAAGAGGACTGCCCTAGGTCAGTGCACGAATCCAGGCTCCCTGCTAAGATACCTCCTCATTGCACCAGCTGAGACACCAGCAAGCATGGCACTGTCAGTCAGGAGAGGCTGCAGCTTCCATCCATTCCACCAGCTGCTTCATGCAAGTCTGTGATAGCTTCTGGCTGCGGGAAGTGTGCCCTTAGCCTAAAGATGTCATGGACTGCAGCCCTCTGCCTGCTCCCACAGGGTACAATTACACTGGCACCCTGGTTGGCAGCCACCACGGAGCAATCAAAGCGCAGACAATCTTCTCGGAATCCCTCAAGACAGGGGACACTGCAGGCAAGGGAAACTCACCCGAGCACTGCCCTGCTACACTTCTTTCATTCAAACCAGCCCTGGCAACTCTCAAGAGCCACTGTGCTCTCTTGTACATAGCAGCAGTGCTGCCAGGGCACTGGGGGCAACAGACCACGTCCCAGCATGGCACAAGCTTCTCCTCACAGTATAGCTACCCTGGTCAGGACCCATTTGGAGAGCCTGGGCTCAGGACACCAGGGTTTGTTGAATGGAAGCAGGGAGAGAGGAGCAGCCACAGAGCACAGTAATACAGTATTTGTACAGCTTCACAGTCCTTGAACTTCATCATTCCTCTCCCGCAATTATTTATAGCTAAATATAAGTCTGTGTATATGGAATAACCGTGCACGAGCATGCAGGTTCTTCCTAAGCCAAAGAAGCAGAGAATACCAGGATTATGCAGCACCTGCTAACTGCAGCTCCTCAACAGCAGAGGACCACTGATGCACCAGCTTTTGAGCACCCCCCCCCCCAAAGCTGCTGCCCTTTTGAGCTGTGGTCTCACTGATGAGGACAAGCCACTGCACCAGGAGAACACTGCATCCCCTACACTGCTTAGCTGCCCTCCATGGGTCCCCCACCCCGTGGCATAAGATGGGTCTTCCTAGTCAGTGCGGCTGCTTCCTCTCCTCTTGGGAAGCCCAAGCTGCGAGCATGATGTGTGGAGGCAGACAAAGGGGTTCCCACACCTGCGTCCCCATGCTGCTCCCCATACACACAGCACCCTGCTCCTCACCCTTTTGGGCATCTTCTGCCTGGATGCCACAGAAGCCATCAGGAGGGGAAGGTCTGCAGCATACCTAGAGGCAAGGCTGTGCCGGTACCTGGCCTGCCCGAGTCTGCACCTCCTTCTTTCCCCAGCCATCTTCCAGCTGGGAGCAACCACCAGCGACAACCCCAGGCTTCTTCACGTCCCCCCTGCTGCTCACTGCATCTTCCCCTGCAGTGACCCGGGCAGCTGTGCTACCTCCCGGCACCCCAAAGCCAGAGCGCAGCAAGGGGGGCTCCCCATTTCTCCCAGCCATAAAACCCTCTCCCAACCGCAGGAAGCCCCAGCAGCGCCACGCGCTCCTTTTGCGATTTCTCCCTACACCCCGGCCACCTCCGACCCCACCTCCACCAGCACGGCGCTGCTGATGCGCCCCTTCCAGCCCCGCGGACAGCAGGGCTCCGGGCAGCCTGCCGCGGCGGGACCGACGGGAGGGTTTTCTCGCCCCCCTCCCGGCCCCGCACCGCAGCCCCGGGGCCGGACAGGGGCTCCCAGCGAGGGGCTCCGTACCTGTGCGGGCAAAGCCCGGCCCGCGGCGGGGCAGTCAATGAACGCGCCATGCAAAGCGGGCGGAGAGGGAAGGAGGGAGGGTGGCGGGGAGCAGCCCTGGGAGGGGGGCGGCCGCTCTCCTTCCTCACCTCCTCTCGGGCCCCGTCCGCCTCCTCCTCCGGAGGCACCGGCGTGCTGCTGCCTCCCTCGCTGGTGGCGGCGGCCGAGGCCGGGGGGGACATGGCGGCGGGGGTGCCCCGCTGGCGGTGCCTGCGGGCTGGGCAGCCGCATTATCCCGCCCGCCGCCGGGCGCTGCCTCGCCGGTCTCCGGGCGGGCGGCGGGGCGGCGTGGCGGGCGGGCGGCGCGGCGGCATGGCCTCCAGCCGCGGCACGGTGGCAGCGCTCGCCGCCCGCCGGACCCCGGTCCCCGGTCCCCGGCCCCGCCGCAGCGCAGCGCCGCTCCCGCGCCCGCGCCCGGCGCGGCGGAGGGCGGGCAGAGCCGCGGTGGGAGGGCCGCGGCGGAGGGGGGGGACGGGATGGGGATGGGGATGGGGATGGGGATGAGGATGGGGAGGGGATGGGGATGAGGATGGGGAGGGGATGGGGAGGGGATGGGGTGGGGTGGGAGCGCGGCGGGATCGCGCCCGCCCGAGCGAGACGGCGGATGACCTTGAGGCGCCGGCGGCAGGCGGGGAAGCAGGCAAGGAGCCCGACGAGGCCGCCCCTCGGGAGACCCACCGGGAGCAGAGCCGGGCACTACAGGGGAGGGCTCCCGCTCCAAGGCCCGCCGACGGTGCGTCAGGCTGGCCGGACTGATGATGGGGAGAGGTGAGGGGTCCCGTGGGTTTCCTCCCCTCGGGATGAAGTGAGGGAGCTCGGAGGACCGGGAGCAATTTGCTTGAGCTCCAGAGGTTTTCCTAATCCGTGGGCAGCCGCAGCTCGTCAAGAGGAGTGTTGGGGTAAAGGCTGACCGTCAGCAGTAATGCTGGCACTCACGGGGAAACCTTCGGTTGAGCAGTGTCTTCACTGCTGTGATCTCCCCTGGGCCCAAGGATGCTTAGCTAGCTATCACAGAGCTGACTGCAGCATGTTTCACCCACAGACCTAACCTGCCTGGTTGCAGAGACAAGTGATAAAATCTCTTCAGACCCTCAATCTGAACTCACAGGGGAGAACAGGGAAAACACACAGAGCTCAAGAAGTTCAGATATTGCCGGTAGAGCCCAGCTTCCTTGACAGTCTTGGGAAATCAGGTGTCTCTGCAGGTACTTCCTCAGATCCAAACTGGGGAAAAGCATAAGCTGCAGAATTTGCTGGAAATTGCTTCACTTTTCCTGAGCTCTGAGGCTCAGCCTTGGTGTTGGGATGAGTGGCTTGCTATTGCTCACTCTTCCCTGGGATGGGCAAGGAACAGTCCATAGGTCTTACGGTCTCACTAAAGGAGATGCATCCCAGGAGAATTGCCATCTACTGCTTCTTACGGGAATAGGTGTGACAGCCAGGGTGCTGCTAAAGGAGCTCATCTTCAAAACAGGCTGGGAATGCATTTCCTCTTGCCTTTTTTTTTCCCGAGTTACCATGGGAACAGCAACAAGCAGGAGCAGCCTGCTCTGAATTTTGTTGCCTACCGCTCAGGCACCCCTGCCCAATCCTCTAGGCAGACTTTGGCTCTTGAGGGTTTCAGACCCACTCTCACATGATGGATCCCATGGCTCCAAGGAGAGCTCACCACTCTGTGTGTGTATGTATACCATGGCAGAGCAGAGCAAAGCAAAGAGGCACAAGCCCAGCGCTGCCAGGATTTCTGTAGCAGCACTCTGTGCTGTTGCATGCACACGAATAGCTGCAAAGGATTTGCATGCGTACACGCAATGTCTGCTTTTTATAGTTCTAGGGACTCCTGGAGAAAGTGACTTCAGCTAGACCAAAAGGCGCTGATGGGATGGTCACCCTTCAGGAACAGCTCTGGTTTTCACTCACAGATGGGAATGTCACCCAAAAAGAGCAAAGCAGAAGGTGGAAGGGAGAAAGGTGATATGAGTTTGTCTTTGCATTAGTAGCCCAAGGTGGCTCTTGCTCCAGGGAATTTGTTCATTCACTTTTGAATGCATGTTAACTTTGGACTTTTAGATGCTGCAAGTATTCTGTGGCAAGGAGTTCCACAGCACACCCACAGGCCCCAGGAGCACCTTCCTTCAGTGTGCCCATTTTGGGCTTGTTATCCGCTAGGACTAACCCTTGGGAAGCAGGCTGCTGCCACCCCTATGGAGCCATTCCCACAGAGCCCTGCAGTTTACCCTCCACCAGTGGATTCAGTAGCTGGAAACTACTACTGGAAACAGTAGTAGGGTTTCTGTATTAGGCATCTGTGATACTGGTCCTGGCAGCATGTTTTCTATGTCTCGGAGATGACACTGCCAAGCACATCACCAGCTGTGCTGTTTCTGAGCTGAGGTGTCACAAAGAAGTCCTGTGCCCTGATGTGTCCAAACTGACGTCGTACAAGTTCTCAGCCTGCTGGAAACAGGCATGTGGCAGGTTTCAACCCCCCAGATAGGAACCTGAGGGCATGGCAGATTACATGCTACAAAAAGCACAGGAGAATGGGAGAGATAATGCTGTATGAGGCATAGGCCTTTTGGAAACTGAAGCAAGATGGCCAACATCCAAGATTGTGTTGTGTCACCCCCCTTTTCTTGAGGGCAAGAGATGAAAATATCTTTGCTCTAATATGTGAGAATATCCTCCCCACCCACTCCCTACCCACCCTACCCCGTTATTCCTGTAGGTTTCAGGATGTCCTACTGGAAGATTGCATTGGACAGCAGCACATTTCTGGTATGGGGGGGGGGGTTCTGATATGACCAAATGGCTGAAAGAGACAGGGAGGCTTTTAAGAAGATGTGGTGACTGAAGTAGAGGTGGTACCCTTACTGGAATATCAGTAGGTTTGTTCTCCCTATACCCTGTGTCTGCCACCCTGCAGAGACATTCGTATCTCCAAGCTTATGTTCCAAGCAGACAAAAAGCACAAGGTCATATTAGCAGTATTCTTTCACTTCCCATAAGGCATCAAACCAGAAAAATTCTCACACTTCTGCCTCTGCTAGTTACAGAAAATGACCCTTTTGCTCCTGGTTAAATATGGTTTTAGTTACCCATGCAGTAAATTTGCATTTAATTCTGGACAATTTTGACAGAGGCTTCATTTTAAACCAGATAACCATAGATACGTACTCTTGTCCTGATATTTGTAGCCTAACTATAAAGCTGGGTTTTGCAGCATCATATATTGGGTTTAGCTTTATTTTATCCAATAAGCCAAGTGTGATCAAAACTTAGTCTTTTGTTCTGAAGTAATCAATGATTCCTTGCTATCTGCTGCTTTTTGTCTCTCAAGAAGCTGTGTAGCAGAGAATCCCCTTGTGGTAGGATGCAGGATTTTCTAATTCAGAAACTGATGCCTGTTTAATTTAAGGATTTCAAGGGTATTTTGTGCTGAGCCTTCCAGAGTGTGTCACTCCAATTAAATTACTCCTTATTAATGCAACGAGGGAGTGTGGGTGAAGGAATGCGCCTCCTGACCCGGTTAAACAAGATCCCTTTGCCACTGCTGGTCGATGGGGGTGATAGCCGGGTGCCATCTACCTCTGCAATCATTCTCCTCAAGGAAATCTATGCTATTAGTTACAGTTTGCTTTGCTACACTCGGAGTCTGTGTCTGCTGGGAGGAGATCCATGTGTGCTCTTTGCTGCTGTGGGAAGGAAACACATAGGGGTCATTAATTTGTGATTGGGGAACTAGTTTCTGTTCATCATCACTAGACAGGGGCCTGCATCTTCATGGGCAAGATGCCAGCAGTTCACAAACATGCAAAGCCTTTAACTTCATGAAGCCAGTGGCTCCTGTTCTGGGATGCTTTCACAGATGAGAATTGCTGTCATTGGGAATTCTTTGGTCGCTACTCTGATCCTTCCCTTTCCAACAGGCCGCCTGTTTGTTTTCCATCCAGCCCCACAGGAGTCCATTTCTTTATCACCACCATTATTTGTGAAGCTCCACAGAGGTTTCTGGCTCAGGTTAAGTTAGTTTCCTCTCAGCAGCAGCCCAGCAGGATACCCAGGGTCCTCTCTCAGACACCACCAACCCCCCCCCCCCCCCCCAGAGATGGAAAGCAGATTCAGAGCTGCCCAGACGCTGTTTGACAGTCCTCAGAACATTTCATCTGATGTAACCCTGGAGCAGAAGCTACCACCCCAAGTGCCTGGAAAATGAGCCAAATCATCCTTTGGCAAATGCCTTGTTCTGCCTCAGCTTTTTCGCCCATCATCCCCGAAAATAAACAAGCCATGGAAACTAGTGCCTCAGAGAATTTAGCCTATCCCTAGTTATGGTCCTGGGAGTCACCTCCCTAAAAGCAGAAAATAGGATTGCTGCAATTTGCCTACCCTGCACTGAAGAGTTGGAGCTGATGCATCCTGGTCTGGGGAGGCATCCCTTCTCCACCCGACTCTCCCCATGGACCTGAGCAGGCGCAGGAGATGAGGCCCTTCCAAGAAGGGTGCTAAAAGCCCACTGTGTGACTGGCTGCATTACTTAGAGACTATCACACAGGCTGGGGCTGGCAGTGAGGCCAGTGTCCTGGGGTACGGCTGTGATCCTACCTTGGGGAATGGCTGCAATCCCACCTTCGGTGTGCCAGGAGCACCCATTATCTGGACAACATGGACTTGTTCATCACTTATTCACGGTGCTGGGGCTCCTCCATCCCAGGGGATAGCCACCTGCCCTCTGCGTGCCCTGTGCTCCTGCTCAGCACCTTAATATTTCAGCTTGCTCACGCCACCTCCCCACTGCCCCGAGCTAGCCATCCTGCTCACTCTTCCCTCCTAACCCCTGCCTGGGCTCCTTGATTGCTTACAGTAGAGTGGCTCCATCAGACCTGTTCCCAAATCACTCTGATGCAAGTATGGAGAGTCACAAGCTCTAATTCAGTCTGGCAGCTGGGTGGTTTAACCCTACTGAGAGCAGAGCTGAGCTTGCATGAGTAATACCTCTGTCAGCACAGCATAGCTTATTAGGGACTGGCAGAGCGAATAGCCACTTGGAGCACTGTTAGGAGGCAAGGACTGGGCTAGTGGGGGGCTGCAGGCTGCGGTGAGGTGCTGAGACGAAGCAGGAAGCAACTCAAGCAGAATGAACTCAAAAATGAAAGTTAACCCATCCTCCTTTCTAACAACCATCAGCTCCAGTGTAGTGATGCTGAAGCCTGGGACATAACATCCATCTGTGCTCTCAGGCAAGGTTTGCTGAGGGATGGTTAGGGGAGTTGAGATTTTTGTTCTGTCTTTGGCAGTCCCTGCTGGATAAACTGTGCTTAGAGGATCATGAATAAGTGATATCCTGGTGATGGAGCACTGCCTTCCACAGCTATTCTACAGGGAGGGAGGAGCTCTCCTCATTAAAGCAGTGTGGCCTGACAGAGGTTATCAGAGCTACCCTCTGGAAGTGAGTCTGTCTCTCCACTAGCTATAAAGGGAGCCCCAGGTGCCGAGATTTCTCACCTAGGGCACAGTTTCACCATCTATTTAAGCACGGTTTTATTATCAGTTCTCCAAGACCATCTGCCATCCCTTCCCCATTTGTAACCACATCTGCCATCTCCTTTGGGAGAGCTCTGAGCACATACAGCTGCACACACACACACATAAATAAATGCATACGGAGACCTTATCAGCCATGCATTCGCTCAGATGTGAGCAGAGTGCTGCTGCTGCAGCCACTGAGCTGACAGCAGTTACACAAGGAGGATCTAATTTAGAATGAAATTTGGTTAAACTATCTGCAGGTTTTGTTCATTTGCTTTGTAAGCTCAAGGATTTTTAGTGCATCTTTTACAGATCACATTCTGCTTGTGGAAGTGAGTGCCGTGGCTGAGGATGGGGTGAGTTAGGTGTGATTCCCATTCGAAGTATTAACTAATGCTCCTTGTCCGACTTCCTAATCATCACACACATATATACACGTAGTGAACAACAGAAGGAACTAGAAACTGCCCTGTCCACTGTGGGACCGTGGGCAACAATAGGAATCATGTCTCCTTCTCAGGGAAGAACTACCTGGTCAACATGCTGACCATCTACCATACGTAGACAAACCTAATCTGCTTCAGATTATGTCATCATATTGGTGTGATGGATCCCATAACATTATGGGAGTGCACAGCAGAAGGACTAGAGTCAACCAGTATGAACCCCAAGGAGGAGAACTCTGACTAGAAATAATCCCTTACTGCAAAAGCAAGCAGGTACCTGGAGCAGCATCCTTGGAGACGTTCAAAGTGACCCCGTGGTTTCAGCCAGACTTGCCACAAAAGAGCAGCCAGTGTTTTCTAGGCTGATTAATCCAGAAAATGGGTACCTGAGGAGGACCTGCTTTGCACTGATCTGTTAGAAAGCTCAGTCTCACTTCTGGGAATTGAATCTTTAAGAGCCATGTTCCTGCTTTACTCTGTTAGGCCAGGAAGCAGACTGACCCAGTTTGGTGCATTACAGAGCTGTTTGCTGTCAGATATACGGAACAGCAGTCAGAGAGAGCCTGTTGCCTTTCCTGCAGCTTTCCTCACTCTCCCAGGGCATCTGCTCCCAGTCAAGAGCCCAATGCACATGGCTTCTGGGCTGAGATCCCATAGCTGGAGTCCCAGGCAGAGGACTGCTTTGGTGCTTAGGGTGCCCAGAGACATCTCTGGTGTGAAAAAATGCGGTGGGAGCTTCCTCAGGTAGGGATCTAGCACATTTCTGATGGGTTCAGTGTTTCTAATGCTGGGGATTGTGGAAAAGAGCTGCATTCCCAGGGAATGAGACAAACCAGTGCTCGCATGGAATGGAAGCTGTGCAGTTGGCAGTCTGTGTGGGGGAATGTAGCACCAGTCACATTGCCTGATGTGAATTACTGTGGCAACAACTACTTATAACAATTTAATGTTGCTTAACCATGGCAGAGGACCACAGGTGGGAATTACAGTGCCATTATTTTTCCTCAGACCAGCTGCATACTGAACATAAACTCATTTTCTCCATCACTTATCTCACCCAGTTAACAGCTTGAGGAAGTGTGGAGAAGATGCTGGTGCCAAGCAAGGTGCAACTGAAGTGAGCAGAACTTGGGTTTGAGAAGTCAGATGCAGAGACCTGGGTTTCACTTAGGAAATCGGAGGATGGAATTGGGGAGAGGACGTTATTACCGACAGTGCCGGGGGTCACAGGTCGCCGGGGGAGTCAGTCCCATGCCCAGGCACTGTCATGATGCTCCTGGAAGGGCAATGGGTGCAGAGACTTCCTGAGCCCGGTTTCTTGCCGGAGAGGCTGAGTAGCTTTGGGTACCTTCGAGCAGCGTGTGTTTACACTGACCTCTAGTGGGAACAGATCCCTCCCTCGGCAGTATTGCCCTGCAATTTTAGCCATTTTAAGTGACACATCTTAAGGGAGACTGGGGAGAGCTCAGAATTACAGGTTCAGTTCTAAAATCCTTAAGAGTAAATCATAACATCAAGACTGGCCTCGTATTATATTTATTTTTTATTCCTTCTACCACTACTTGCCAGTATACTGTATCTATTTTATATATATGCATGTGCATATATACATGTATGTATGTGTATGTGTACATGTATGTGCGTGTATGTATGTGTATATATCTACATCTATTTACCTATAGATCTATATCTGTTTAAAGCCTCTGAAAATAAGGAAAGTCCCAAACTCGCATGTCTAGGCAGAAAAGCTCTCTGTTAGGAAGACAGCCTGAAACAAAGCTCAAGCCTTGCTGAATGAGTGACAGAAGGCAAATAACAGGGCGGAGTGGCCAAGTGCATCTTTCAGACTTCCCGGTCAAACTGCCCAAAGGGTTAACAGAAGCACACCAAGACAGAAGAGGGGTGTCAAGGAGATGGTGCCTGAGCTGGGTATTAGCGGGTGCAGTTGTAAGGTCAGAGCAGAGAGTGGCTGGACCTGGATGCCTGGGTGGCATAGCTGATTTTAATGGGGAGTGCTTGGTCTCCAGAGCTGAGCAGCAGCAGAGCACTGCAACACAGCCCTGGGAGGGCACTAGTCAAGCACAAGCATGAGCTCAAGAAAGTTCGAGGCTCACCTTAGGGATGCTGCAAGATGGCTAGCTCCAGCTAAGCTCACATCATCAGCAGAGGAAGGACACCTCCAGGGGCTGCTGGGCAGCCACAGGTGTCAATGGCTTGCAGCACACTGTGAGTCCCAAGTGACATCTCACGAGTTGCCTCCATGCAGAGCTGGTCCAGAGCTTATTAGCTCAGCTTTGGCTGAGCCACTCCTGAGCCTGTACTACCCTGGCAGCAGGCTCCACACCTGTACCCCAACCAGAACAGGACAAGGTACTCAAGGGGTGACTGCCACTTTCTGCAAAGCAAGCAGCAATTAGTTCACAGTGAAGTTAAGTCTTTGTGCATCACCACACAGGTTTGTGCTGATTTGTCCAAACTGGGTTTCTCCCAATATTTGATTTTATCCATGCAGAAGTGTATAAGGAACCATTCCATGACGGAGCCGCACCTTTAGTAACATCTAGCATGTTACCAGAGAAAATGGCAGAGAATTTTGTAAGGTATTTGATGGGTAACCAAGTAGCAGCTGGGTACAGAAAGCTGAATGAGAAGAAATTCTGGGTGGAGGTCAGAACTTCAGATGCACATAGAGCTGGGGTGCAACCATCACCAGGGTGTGAGAGGGAGTGACAGGAGTGGCCTATATCGCTGCCCTGCGTTGGGCACAGCTGATAAGATGTGGGAGAAGCTCCTTTCTCTTAGTAATTGTAGTCTCACAGCCAAGGCAGTGCCAGGGACACAGCTGGAATACTGAAGCAGATCCTCAGCGTGGGAGGAAAGCTTGTGACTGGAAGCTACTGATGCCAACAGAAACTTCCCCTGCCTGCCTCCTGCTACTTTCGCACCCCAAAACCTTTCTTCCTGCCTGCCCAGAGTCACTTTTCATGGGTAGGTCGGCTGCAGCAAGGCTGAGGTTAAAGGGCTGTGTGGGGAGAGTGACACAAATCCGAGGTGGCAGCTGCAGCATGGGAGGGGGAAGTCACTGGCGCTTTGCATGTGATTTGTGTGAAGTGGATCCCCTTCCCACCACCAAGCTCTCCCCAGGTGAACTCCCTTGCAGGGGATCCTTCCCCTCCTGCTGGGCTGAGCTGGAAAGATGGGCACCCTGCAGAGGCAGAAAGGCATGTGAAGCAATAGAAGTGGTAAGTCAAACTGATTTTGAAGTGTCACCTGCATTCAGAGCTATTTAGGTATATTCTGAGGAAACCCCACTGCTTGCGACACTGCAAAGTAACTAGATGAAATCTATGCAGATCCATGAGGAACACAACTGAATAGTTTTGATGTTGGAAGGGGGCACTGAAAGGCAGCCTCATCAATCATTCACAGGCAGGGACTATTGTTTGAGCTTCTATTTTCAGCTTTGATCTCTGTGTTCTGGCTGTTCTTGTGTGAGCCCCAGCAGTCCACTTGGTGCTATTTGCCACACAGAAAGGCAGTGGGAAGCGGCTGGACCAACTGACTTGTTCAGCCAACTGTAGAAACTGCCTGGCTTCTCCCTTTGCCTGCACAGGCAGGACAGAGAACAAGTGTCTCCGTGGTTGAAACGGGTTAAACCATGCACGTGGGAAAAGCAGGCGCCTCCTCGCACCTATCTCTGCTGCCTGCGAGTGGCAGCCACCGCGCCGTTTCCCACAGAGCCTGCGGCTTCAGTCAGCACCCGCTCACGTAACAGCATCCCCTCCAGCTCACCGCCGGTTTGACAAACCCCTCTCCCCCGCCTAGCAGACCCGTCTGCTGCTTAAAGAGCCCCGGCAAACCGGCCAGGGGAGGAGGCAGGTCCGGGGCACACCGGTGATCCAGTGCAGCTCCATTCTCCCTCCTGCACCTGGGCGGCTTCTCTCCTTCCCGGTGCTCCAGAGCGGGATAGGAGAGAGGCGGCCCTTGTCGGGGGGACCAGGCCGGGGCGGGGCGGGGCGGCAGAGGGGGAATCCCGGGCAGGCGGGGCCGGGCGCGGCTGAGTCAGGAGGAGGAGCCGTGGGGCTGGGGCTCAGCCTCAGCGCCGGCCGCCGCTCGCTGCCTTTCCGGCCATGAGCCCCCCGCCCGTGTCGGTGTCGGGGCCGGGGCCGCGGCGGGCGGGCTGCGGGCGCTGAGCGATGTCGCGAGCGGCGGGCGGCGAGTGCCGCAAGGAGGCTGCGGGTTGGGAGGGCGAGGAGGGGCAGTGCGACTCGGGCATCGAGTCACTGCGCTCGCTGCCGGGCGGGAGGGAGACCCCCGCCGCCGCCGAGACCCCCCCCGCCGCCGCCGGGATCCCGCCCGCTGACACCTTTGCCGAGGCCGCTGCTGCTGAGGAGCGGCTCGACTCCAGCTACGGCTCCGGCGCCCTTCCCGAACCCCTGCCCGCGCTGCCGGCCGCCTGCCGCGCCGAGGAGCCGCCGCCCGAGGGGCTCAGCCGGCAGCAGCTGGAAGCTCTCACCTACCTTTCGGAGGATGGAGACACGTGAGTGACCGCGGACCCTGCCCCCCCGGCCAGCCATCCGGCCATCCATCCATCCCTCCTTCATCCATCCCTGCCGGGGCGGCTTGCCAGCCCGGACCCCCCAGCCCTGGGCTTGGCTCCTCGCAGCCAGCCGGCAGCGGGGAGCCGGTGCCTAGAGATAAGCCGGGTTTATCTGCAGTGGTCCCCAGCCCTCTCCCGAGGAGCACCCGTTCTGCCGCGCTGTGAGGTTCTCCATAAGCCCCTGTCCTAGTGCTGAGCATGGATGCTGAGCGCCCTGGCATGGGTTTGGGTGGGTGACCAGTGGGGCATCTGAGCCAGGTCCAGAGAGTGAGCAGGGAGAGGCACTACAGGTGACGTGGCACAGAATGGACCCACTTTGGAAAGTAAAATTCTACTTGCTATGGGGCTGCTAGCAACTGGAGGGGAAAATCAAACCCCCACTCTGTCTCTTCCCCAGACAATGCAGTGTTTCCTCCCCAAGGAAGAAGGCTTGGTTGTATGAGATAGCATGTAAGCAAGAGATTGGCTATGCAGGGCAAGACCTTGAGATGGCTGTGTTAGGGCCAGAGATGCTGCTCAACCGAGCAACCCAAGAACTATTTGTTCTCAGGTGGAAATTGCCTTGCCTTGCCAACCTACCCGCACAGCACAGCTTTCAGCACAGTTGTGACGCATGCCCTGCTACAGGGCTGCCCTCCTGAGCCTCTGTGACGGAGATGAGTGTTTCTTTGCACGAGGGGGGGCTTCCCACATCTGTGATGCCCTCTCGAGGGCAGAGGCATCACACCAGAGTTATTTGGCTTGGCTTCTGGTAACTGCGTGTAGCTAATCACAGCGCTTTCCTGTCATAGGTTCCCTCACCAGAAGGTTTTCAGAATGAGTGCATGGGTGCACATACAGAGCATGAGCAGAGTGTGCTCACAGCTAAGAAGGGCAAAAACTTTGCTCCAGACCCAGGTTGGACTTTAATATCAAGTAGTGGCGCAAGAGGAAGAGAAACTGAGAGGCACTGGCACAAGCAAGCAAATGTCTTCAGTAGAGGCAGCAGCAAGGAGGCTCCGTCCTTGCCTGGCAGAGCACATTGGTTCTGAGGCTGAAGATGAGCTGGGAGCCAGCTGGAGTGTTTACTTCCCGGTTAGGAAGGAGCCCGTGCATCTGCTAATTAGTTCATTAATGCGCGCTGGGGGATCTGCTCCCAGGATTGGCTGGAAGTCTCGCAGCAAGCAAGGTTATCCTAAACCAGCCTCCCACGCTCCCCAGCCAGGCGCCTGGATGGTGCTTCCTAGTCCTGTCCTGTCTGCGGGCTGGCTCCGCGGCTCCTCCGAGTGGAGGAGCTTCACTGCCTTTCCCACCTGTAATAGTAGAGCCAAGGTGCCCACAGGGAGACCCAGGAGTCGTTTAAACTGTGGAAGACAAGCTCTCCGGGCTCATCTGTCACACAGTGCCCAGGGCTCCCTGCTTGCTGTTCTTTGCTGAACTTGGTAGATCTGGCTGCGTGGAGATGCTTTGGCTGCTTGGGGCTGTTCTGTAAGGTAGCTGAGCCCTTTGCTTGTCAGACATGCTTGGAGAGACCTACCACAAGCATCTCATTAACTAGGAAAACATTAATCAGTGGTGCCTTGGTTACTGTAGGCAGGAGAGGCTCTTGGAGAGCTCTCCAAATGGTTGCAGTTGCTCTTCTGTTTTCTCTCACTCACAGTTCAGAACAGGAAATCAGCAAAGAGTGAGGGAAGGAGTGAAAAGTCAGCTGGTGGTGCAGCTCATAGAGCTCTGGGCAGGCCGGGTCTGTGTCAGAGCTGGCTTTCTCGGGATCTGCTCCCAGCGCTGTGAAAAAAAGCCCTATTCTTGTGGTTAGAGTGGCTGTGGATTTCTGCCTCTGCTATTCCTGTCTCTCATCCTGACCCCTGTGGCAGAGGTAGGCGGCTTTTATATTTAGAAATGCTGAACATCCACCACTGGGTTGATGCAAACGGGGACTGAGAACACCCAGCAACTCATTGAGCTGCCTCCGGTTTTGTATTCAAAACCAAGTTGGGGCTGCTAGTAATGCTGAAGTCTATGGAGCAGTTGCTCATCCAGTGACAGAAAGTCCCCAGAGAAAAGGGATCAGATGGCTTCAGGCTGCATCCCTGACATCCAGCCAGATGAACCCATCAAGTTCTTTTCATCTCTGTCAGTGGCGCATTTCCTTGTATGCCTTGCATTAATATCTGCCACAAAACAGCTCCAGGCTGAGAATTAAAATCATGCTATCATTGTATTTCAGGAGACTTGGGCAACAACACTTTCCTGTAATTGTAATTCTGAAAACGCAGTAAGTTCAGGGGTTTTGGCCAAGTAGTTCCTGTGTCCCCAGATGCCCTGGTTGGTACCAAGCAGAGAGGAGCCTGCACAAAGGGAGCTGGCAGGAGTCTTGGCTCTCCATCTGACAAAAATCTCTGCTGTCCATAGCTGCCCCAGGCTTGCCCACCCGTGCTGCTTTGCGGTGTGCCTGTGAGCGTGCTGTGTTTGTCAGCCCAGTGCTTGTTGGGGAAGTATGGGAGGCGGATGAGCATGTGCTCAGGCGGTTGGAGCATCAGCAGAATCCTCCTTGGAAACCTTCCTGCCTGCCTCTGTGGGAGAGGAACGTTAACCCAGGCAGGGTGAAGCAATGGGGCTAAAACGGGCTCTTCCTGTGCTCAGAATTAGAAGGGGTCCTGTTTCTGCAGGAAGGAAATTGGCTAACAAGGGAGGTGGGGGGCTGATGGCCAGTGAAATATGTGGGTGCCGTCTTCCAACAATCATCTGCCCAAGCATCAGCTCGCCTCCCGCCTGCCCACTGCTGCTGGCAGTCCCTCTGCCTCGGGGAAGTCAGAGCTACGGTAGTTGGGCACCAGCACCCCAAGAGAGAGCGGCAGAGCTGGCGTGGCAGGAGAGATCAGGGATGAGGAATGGGGTGAGAGGCAGAACATGGTGGGTGCACTTACGGAGGTGATAGATATCCTGCTTATTCTGTGGCTGGGTAGAGAACAAGGCCTGTGAGCTCAAGCACAGGCAGTTTCCTCCAAGCATCCATCTTTTCCTTGAGAAGCAAGTGGCCCTCCTCCAAGCAGCCATCTCTTCCATGTAAACCAGCTCCTTTTCTGCTGAATGGAGTCCCAGTGGAACTGCTCCACGTGGAAGTGAAGAGAGAGGCTTTCCAGCATGCAGACATGGCTAGTTCTGACCAGGCTGCAGGCAGCTATATTGCTGTGCCCCAGCCTCTGAACAAGCTCACCTCTTGCTAGGCTTCACTGAGGAAACTCTCTTTCCCAGCCTTGCCAGGCAGATGCATGAGTCCAGTGTCCTGGGAAAGGGGTAAGTATGGGATCAGCTCCTCTGAAATGAGATAGATCACCTATTGCATTCCAGCACAAGGGAAAACTTCACCTTTCACTTGGGATTATGGCAGTTCTGCCAGCTCTGGAGAGGCAGAGTCGATTCACCAGGGTGGGAAATTAGGCAGAGCTTTCCACTCTCTAGGACTACATATTCTGTCTTAAACTTCAAAACATGTTTTCCTTTCTGCCCAGGCTGGTCCTTGGGCCATGTGCTAGTTTATGCCATCGGTACCTGATGCATGGTGATGGGCCCCTTGGGCAGCTGGTAGAGCGTGTATAGTCTTGCTCTGAGCTATCTGAGTGTGCCATGCTGCAGAAGGCAGTGCCTCTGCAGAGGGGTGCCTCACAGAGGCTGTGCCTCTGCAGGAGGATGGCTGTCTTCTGCATGGGGATCCATATGCAAAGGAGCATGGTTCCTCTGTGGGGCTGAAGGTTGGGGGACCCCAGCTCAGTCATGAGAGAGAGACCTTGGCCTCTTTCAGATGGAAAATGGGACCGAGCGGTTTTGGTTGGGTGAGTGTTTTGGGGAGGGAGGGGAGCAGAGGAAGCCTGACTTCCTCCTTCCACCAGAGACAAGAGCTGGCCTGTCTGCTGTTAAGAAATCACGTGCCAGTGACTCGTGGGCTGAGATGCCTTAACAAGGGCTTAGGGGACAGTTAATCGAGTAAAACTGGGGCCCCATGGGAGCTGATGTTCTGAGCTCTCCTCCACCGTGATGGTAGGGAAGCGGTCTTCCCCACTGAGCCCTTCCCTGCGTGGGCAGGCACCTTGTGGGCCTACGAGCTGCTCCTCGGCATTCACCAGCGTGTGCCAGTCATAATCCTCCCACCTCATGAGACTCTGTGCTAGAGGTCTTCTTCGTGCAGGGGAACAGAGGTTGCCCCATCCAGGCTGCCTGCTCGAGGCTTGCCCTGCTGAACACTGGTGTTGCTGAACCCCTGGATCCCAGTGTGTGTGACAGCGAAGGAAAACCACTGTGAAAGAAGTAGAGAGCTGGAGAGACACAGTTTCAGGAATGATTAAGAAAAGATGGATGCAGAGAGCAAACCTGGTTGCTGTTTGGGCTGGGAGTCCCTTGGGCTGTTGCTGGCTGCCCAGCAGTCAGATGGCTGTGGTTAGTGGGAAGCAGGGATGCTCTTGTTTTTTCCAGAGGGCCTTTGAAAATCTCCTTTGCCCAGTTGCCAGGGAAATTCAAGTCTGTCAGGCATTGCTCCCTAGCACACTGCTGTTGTAGGGCAGAAAAGAGAATGAGTCCTAATGTGGGGCAGGCCAGAAGGACAGGGGAACCTCCTGTGTCCAGCTCCCTCTTCCTGAACTCTCAGCTCTTCCTCTGTACATGCTCAGGAGTTTGGGGAGCAGGAGAGGGCACAGGCTCCTTCAGGATGCCCCAGAAGCTGCTGGCTGCTGCAGGGATAACATACACACCCTTGGTGTAAGGTGGGTAAGTTCTGGCACAGCCTTCTGAGAGCGTGCAGGCACAGAGGTTTTTTTCCCCCCATTTTGGGTGACTTCAGCCTGGCCTGGAGGAAGTTTCTTCACACTTTCCACCTGCCTTGGTTTGCCTTGGAGCTGGGGAGAGGCACAGGGAGCTTCAGCACAGAGGAAGGGAAGGAATGACTGGAAATTTCCATGTCCTGGGATGCAGAAGCCTGCTGCCTGGCTGTAACGCATCAGTTGCGATGGGAATGGCTTCAGGTCCTTGCACTCTGCAGGCAGGCTTAGCTGCTGCTGGGAAAGGGTTGAGCTCAGCTACATTAACACAGAAAGTTTGATTTTTGTTGGCTTGTGGGGATTTTTAGTACAATGTGGATAAAAGGAGTCAGATGTGCCTGTGCAGGAAGAGAGGCCATGGGGTCTGAGCTGTGCAAGTGGTTACTGGGCACCTCTCAATGAGCTCCATGTGGTACCCTGTGCATCTGGGAGGTGGGAAGCCCCTTTGGTGGGGCAGAGGCAGGGCTTAGGGGGCCCTGAGATATCCTAGACCCACTGCTGGTCTCATTAGAAGAAAATCCTGAGGCAGTGAGGATACTTGCGAGGCTGTAGATGATTGCTGGGCTGTGTTGTACAGGCCCTGGCAAAGTCCAGGCACTGTACTCTTCCAAGAGGCTGTTCTGACCTCAAGATATCTCTGCGTGTACAGAAACTGTAGAAGAACGTATTTGCCTCCTGACGAGTGAGAATGGGAATCTGCTCCGTTTAAAAGGGCCATTAGCTGTGGCATTTTGGGATGTTTGCTGCTTTTGTTGCAATTGTTCATCTTGCTTCTCAGCCATGACCCTCTGGGGTGGGCTGGCCTGCTTTCTGGCTGGGCCCATCCCTGCAGTGATGGTAGTGTGGGACAGACCCCTGTACTGCAGGGAGCAGTCCTCATGCATCTGATGTTTAGTGCTTGTGCAATCCCGGACACGCCATCTGCTCAGAAACTGAGAAGAATGCTCACATGTGTGGGTGCAGAGGCTAGAGGATGTGAGGCCAGGGGTGCCATATGTGGGTGAACAGGGGCACCTTCATCTCCCCACCTCACTGGAAAACAAGACACCCGCAGCCCTCTTGCAGTGCCACCCCTACCAGGCAGCCTCCAGCACCCCTCATTGCCAGCAGACACGCTAGGCCCTCTGCAGAACACCACAGGAAAGTTGGAGTCTGGCTCCACTGCTCCATCAGTTCCCAGCTCTCTCTTTGGTCCCAATAGCAGCAGCCTTCCTCCCGCAGGGAAGGGGAAAGGAAACCTGCACAACGGAAGACCCAGGACTGGAGCAGAGGCTATGGGGATGAGCCTACAGCTGGCTGGGATTTGCTGCTCCCTTGGAGCTGCTGGAGGGCAGCTGGAACGGCTTTTTGGAGCAGGGCAGCATTGCATCGGTATGCAGGGAGGAAGGGAGCCAGGCTGGGCTGGCAGAGGGCTGCAGGGCAGGATGGGGCTGTGCTGGCTGAGCCTGCTGGCAGAGGCTCATGCTGATGGCTGAGGAAGTGGTTAGCAGTGCAGGTTACAGGGCTGCAACAGGAGAGCAGGGTAAGTGTGGAATTCCCCTGCTGTTTTCCTTCTCCCTGGCTCTCCATAATGTTGCTGCTGGGGCCATTTCCTCTCCTGAACAAGTTTTTCATGTGTGAGTTGTTTGCATGATTTCCCACTGCTCCACTCAGCCAAAATGAGGAGCTGGGAGTGAACTATTCCTGCTGCAGACAGGGATCTTATCTAGAAAGGGAGAAAAATGTAGAAAGAGAATACTAGAAAAAAAGCTAATTCTACTGAACGCTGGAGCCCTTGTCCTAGGTGCTTCTGGGGTTAGATACTGAAGGGAGAGACTTCTGAGGGCAAGGTGTCTTGTTCTGCACATAGCGGGGATCTGCATGATCAGATCTGCATGGTCTGCCTCTTTTCTGGAGGGAGAGGAGAGGATAGCTGGAGATCTGCTGGGACTTCCTCAGTTCTGCCTGTGTGTCCAAGCTGGTGTCACCCTTACCCATTCTCCTGCCTCCAGTCCTCAGGTGTGGAAGGTTTTCCTACCAGGCACTTGAGGTCACTCAGAGGCTTGGGAGATGGACAGCGCTATGGGAATGGATGCTTTCCTGTGCCTACGCTAGGACTGCCTTGGGCATGGCATGCTCAGACCTGGGGACATCCTCTCTGCTCCAGCAACATTATCTCTCTGATGATGGGTAGATCGCCTTGTGCCAGGGATGCCCTGTGCCTTTGCAGTTCAGAGCACTAATGAGACCGCTTGTGCCAGGATGGAGCTGGTGAGCAGGTGGCAAAGCTGAGAGCAAGCCCAGCCGTCTGTACTCTTAGGCTGAGCACATTTCCCTTGCCCACAGCTCCTCCATCCACAGCCCTTTCCAAGCTCATGTTTGTCCTTTCCAAAAGTCGCCGCTGGGCACCCACCCCACAGCTGCAGGCAGGAGCATGGGGAGCTGGCAAGCAGAGAAGGCAGAGGTGTGCAGGCAGCTGAGAGAGGGTCTGAGCATGGAGGGGTGGAGGGTTTATCCTGGCAAAGGCACGTGGCTGGGTGAGGAGTGGTGCCTGGCAGCGAGCAGGTGTCTCTCCATCACCGTGCCCTGGCTCTGAGGCTCAGCTGTGAGTGCTGTGTGCCTGCATGCAGCAGCTGGATTGCACACTGCCGTGACAGAGAGATGTGTGCATGCAGCCTTGGCCAGAAGAAAGTGGAGATTGGCACGATGCCTGCAGCTCAGGGCTCCCAGGGGCAGGAGGTTTCCCGGGTTAGCTGGAGGCAATCCCGATTCTGGGTTGACATCAGCAGCCTGTGGCACAGAGGGTACACGTGCTCTTGGTGCGCTCATCCCAGGTGTCCTCGCCGTGATTCCGAGTAGCTCACGGCTCTTGCAGCCATTTCAGGAAGTTGAGGGCTGTCAATTAAGAGAGGGGGGAACGAATGCAGAAATGAAAGCACAGGAGGAGGCTGCACCCGGGCAGAGAATGAAGAAGGAAGGGTGAAAGCAATCCTTTGAAGCAGGCACATCCTAGCTTTGGGGTGAAAGCCTGAGCTCTGGGTGGCTGGGGATGCTCAACCCCATTGCCTCCACAGCATAGATCCCAAACTTGCTCAGCCCTGAGTGTCTGCTGCCTTGTTGAGCTGCAAAGTCACCCAAGCCAGGAAGAGCTGCCTGGGGTTTCTCCGTCCCCTGGTTGACTGCCCCACTTGTCCCCATGTGATGGTGTGGTGTGCTGTGGGTAGTAGCAGAGGGGTCGGGGATTCCTGGGCAGGTTGGGGCTGGCTGTGGTGGGGAGAGACCCCCGGCTCTGCTCTTTCCCCTAGGAGCCCAGCACGGCTCTGGAAAGTGAAAGCAGCAGAGGTTTAAAGTTCAAGGGCAGTTGCCTTGGGAAGTCCCCTGCCTGAGCAGTTCTATCTCTTCCGTACCTAAAGAAGGCACATCCCGTGGCCTTCTGCATGGGGTGCCTGGGAACGAGTGTGGAGAAACAGGGACTGTCCCTGCAAGCGGGCAAAAGACACCTTGGTGCAGGTGCCACTGTGGGGACCAGAGGCCTGATACAAAGCCCACAGGGAATCTCCCTGCCTGGATCATACCCAGGCAAGAGCCTGCCAGCGGGAGGGGTGGTGTTAGAGCTGTTTCTGCAGCTCTGCCCCTTGCTCTTGCCCTGTGTACCCTGGCCTGGGCCCCTTGGCTGTGCCTCTGCCCCTGCTTACAGCCCCCTCCCCTGCCCCAGGAGCACTGACAGTGGGGATGCACCCCGTGGTGGTGCAGTGGCAAATATGAGTGGTCTCTCCTTCCATTGGGGAGTTCCCTGCTGCAGCATGACCCGGGGCTTCCCCAGGGACAAAGCCTCTCCTGCTGGCCACAGCTTTTCCCCATGATGGCAGAGCAAAGAGGAACCAGCCTTGTTTTATCACCAAAAATGGGGCTTAACTCTGGGGGACTGGCCTCTGGGTTTCTCAGCACAGTCATGTCCCCTGGCAGCTGGTGAGAAGGCAGCCCCACTTCTTCACTGCAACACTTTGGGGCCAGGTCTTCCCCTCCTGCCTGTGAGGGATGCTGTCCATCTCTCACTGCAGGTGCCATCCCAGAGCTGGGCTGTATGGTGAGCCGGGTGTCTTGCTGGGGCTGGCACAGCTCTTGCCCTCCATCCATCAGCCCCTGTTTGCCTTCACCAAGCAGCATGAGTGGAAGGAGCCTGCTTAGAGCCTGGGTTTCACTTTGGAGCTGACATCTGACAGAGATAAAAGCTACACAGCGCAGTGGCGAGTGGCTGGGATTGGTCCCCCCTTCCAGGGAGGCCTGGGAGTGCAGCAGGTCATCGGAGGGGCTGGAAATTCCCTCTTGGCTCTGCCTCTGTTATGGTCTCACTTCTGTTCTGAGTGCACAGCGGCTGGCTTCAGACCCGGCTGGAAACAAAGCCTTTCCTTGCGCTGGGGAACTCCAGGCTGCCTGGCCACCCCATGGCTGTGGGGACCATGGTGCTGAGGAGCAGGACTGCGTGCTGGCCACCCAACTCTGATGGCCCCAGTGTCCCTGTGCACTCTCTGGCTCCATGCCAGCACTGCCACAGCAGGGCTGGAAGGGAAGGATATGGGGTAGAGAAGAGGAAATCGGTGTGGGCCGGCAGCGTGGCTGGCATGGGGGCTGTACCCTGCAGGTGATCTGGGGGGGTGCCAGGCTCCTGCCCAACGTTGGCCGCCTGCCTGCACGAGGGGAAAGCGGAAGCGCAGCTCCCAGCTGGCAGCGGCTTACTAGCATTCCCCAGGCAGCAGCCAGAGCCCATATCTCCCTCTGCAGCTGCCAAACCCAGCCCTTAGGCTCTGGGAAACACATCCCAGGCTTTTCATACCTGCATCAGTTAGAGGCCTGGCTTTGGTCTGTGCATGCTGTGAGGTGTGAGGGAGGACTCAGCATGAACAAGAAGGTCTGTTCCCCATGTAGATCAGAGTGAAGGACTGCCCTGGGGAGCCTCAGGCCACATTCCTGTCTTGACCTGCTGCTGAGCTTCCCCAGGGAAAGGGCAGGATGGAGGAGCTCCAAGCTGGTGACAAGGGAAGGGGACTGGGGAAGGTGCTTAGATCACTGCTCCATGCAGCAGTGGAGGATATCTGCTTCTGAGCACAGCACTTGGGACTTATTTTTCTTTCCCCCCCCCATTCCTGTTCCCTCCATAGGTTGGTTCACCTGGCCATTATCCACTGCGTCCCAGCTGTGGCACTCTGCTGTATCGCTCATCTGCCCAGGGAGGTGCTGGAGATTCAAAATGATCTTTTCCAGGTATGAGGATGTGATAGGCAGAAGATGGGAGGAAGGTGGGCCCTCCCTCGATAGATGCCCAGTCTGCCTCCAGGCCCCCAAACCTGATTCCTCCAGAGCATGGTGAACATCCCATGTGAGCAGCCCCTTTTCAGGGAGGGGAAGAAAGGTATGGGAGATACCCTGAGAAAGACGTGTGACAGCTCCCAACAGCACAGGGTGAAGTGGTCCTTTACAAGGCCTAGGACATTTCAGACTGCCCTGGAGGGTGCAGCAAGCGTGGCTTGAACGTGGCAGGGTAGATAACCTGGGAGAGTGAGATGGTGATCCCTGAGCTGAGGCCCGGGGGGGAGCAGCAAGCTGTTTGCACTGCCCTAGTGTTAGCCACGCTTAGTGCCGGGACAGGGATGGATGGGCTCCTGCTTGGCAGCATGCCCGTGCCACCAGGCTGGCTCCTGTAGGCTGGTGTGTCTCATCCCGCCTGGTGTCCTGCAGGGCATTCCCCCCTTCCCTGACTTCTGTCCCCACCTCCTCTCTAGACCCCGCTGCACCTCGCCGTGTACCTGGAGCAGCCCTGTGTGATCCAGGCACTGATCCACAAGGGAGTGAACCCCGGGCTGCAGGACCGCAACGGCAACACGCCGCTGCACCTAGCCTGCGAGCAGCAGCACATGCAGTGCGCCCAGCAGCTGCTGCAGGGCACGGCCCCGCCGCAGGGCACCCCACAGCCCCATGGGCACCACCACAACCTGCAGCTCCAGAACTGGCAAGGTGAGACCCACAGGCAGCCCGGTGTGGAACCAGTGGCTGGGTTGGGGCACAGACCATGAGCTGTGTATGCAGGGATCTGGGAGTGCAGCAGAGTGGGCACGTGGATGGGGCTGGTATGCCTCAGGGTGGATTGGGCTGACTGTGGTTCTCTCTCCTGCCTCCCCATCCCAGGCTTGGCCTGTCTGCACATCAGCACCTTGAAGGGGAACATCCCGATGATGTCTTTGCTGCTGGAGAGCGGTGCCAACATCGATGTTCAGGTAAGGCTGGGCACGGTGCGATGTTTGGGCAAGGCTGAGCATGGTTCATGGCTCCCTTGAGCACTCCCTCCAGCTTCCGGGCAGGCACTGCTGTGAGAATGGCAGGCACTGGATTCTGGGGGAGCAGAAAGAAAAGGTCCTTGAGGGGCTGTTGGGTGCTGTGACAGCAGTCAGGGTGAGGACTCCCTCCTCTGCACCCTGTGAAGGGGGTGCTATGGGACCCATCTGATGGGACCCTGCACTCACACCCTTGTGGTTGCAGGAGGGCACAAGTGGGAAGACCCCATTGCACTTGGCCGTGGAGTGCCACAACCACAGGGCTGTGCAGTTCCTGCTGCACCATGGGGCATACGTGGACGCACAGATGTACAATGGGTGCACCCCACTCCACCTCGCTGTGGGTCGCAAGGATGCTGCCATTGCCGCCATGCTCTCGCACTGTGGGGCTGACACTCTGCTGAGGAACATGGAGGATGAGACAGCCCAGGACCTCGCTGATGGCAACGATGATGTGAGTCCATGTGTGGGGAGGCCTCTGGCTCTGCAATTGTGTTGGGGGGAAGCTCCTCAGAGGAGTTTCTAGTTGTGCCTGTCCTCCCTTATAGGGTGCAGGCATTGGCTCGGATGTGCTTGGGGTGGCTGCCTGCTGCCTCAAGCCTTGGGGGAATGCCCATAAAGGGTTTCTTGACACTTCCCCAGCGAGGTGGGAGGCTTTAGGACTTGAGGGGGGGACTTGGGTCTGGGCCCCTACCCCAGCTCTGTGGACACACCACCTTAGATCTTTATACATCCACACCTTGGCCTTTGCAGCTCCTCGCCTTGCTGCCCTTCGATGACCTGAAGATATCAGGGAAGCCTGTGGTGTGCTCTGAATGAGCGGCTGGACTCCTTTGGCCTGTTGGGCTGTCTCCTTGCCCTGTGCTGCTGCCTCCTGGGACCTTGTCTGCCTGCAGTTCAGTGGGAGCAGCACCACTGTGGGACACAGTGAGCTCTCCTCTTTGGAAAAGTTTTGTTGTCCTCAGGCTGCCTTCCCAGAGGGAAGAAGGCAGCACTATGAGCACTACACAGGGGGGGCTTTTCCTTGAGTATTTATGCCCAGCAGCAGGACTGAACAGGAGTCTCAAAGTTACACAGGGAAGGAGCAGGAGACGACTTCTTTTCATGCTACATGGTGGACAGAGCATCCTCTGGCATACCCCCAAACGCCATCAGAGTAAGCATGGGGTGAGGTGAATGAACACTCACTCTAATAAACGTTTGTTCTTGCTGTGGGCACCTGAGGTCTCATGTGATCAAACCCATGCTGCTCCCCCGCAGCATCAAGAGGCTGAGCATCACCCTGGGGGCCGGGCACAGGGTTGCAGGGGCTTCCCCAGCCCGCCGGCTCCCTCTGGGCCTTTGCACAGCACAAGGTGAGTGGGAAGACAGGGGCTTCCCCGCTTGCAAAGCCTTTCCGGTGCTCAAGGCTGAGGCTGGGGGATCCCAGCCTGGTGCTCCATTCCTGTGCTGTACTGCCGAGCTTCGGGGCTGAAGAAAGAGCATAGGAGATGCTGGAAGACCAGGTTGTGGATCCCTGCTTCTGCTGTTGTGCGTGACATCTTGCTGCCTTGTTGTGCTGTGGTTTCCTCTTGTGTGGAGGACACAAAGATCCTGCCCCATCTCCTGGCTTGGGAGGGTGTTAAAAAACTTGGGCCATGGGTCTTCCCTGGGTTTTAGCTTCCCTCAGGCTGAGAGGGGAGGAGATGGCAGGGTTATTTCCACATCCCTGTTGAAGTTCAGCTCGCTCCCCTTCCCTGCCTCCTCTCCAAGCCGGAGAAGCATATGTGAGGCATTAAGGAACCAGCAGCCAAAGGTGCTGGGGGAATGAAGACACTGAGTGTGCCTGACCCTACCTCAGCCAGTGAATTCCCCACTTGATGCCTGGGAGCAGCTGCTAGGGGTTGGGGCAATTCCTGGGTGGCGCAATCGCATAAGATGCTCTGGAGTGAGCAGTGTGCTGTTGTTGCCTTCCTCCCTTCGTGGGAAGACAAATAGTAAGGGAATGCTGTCAGGGATGCAGCACAGGCTCCCTGCAGACCTCGCTGTGGCTGGCCCAGTCTCCTCAGCACCCCTGGGCTGGATTGTTCTGTTTCTTTTGACTCTTTGCCTCTCAGCCCTGCTCTCAATGAGCCGTGTTCTGCTCATGGGCCTTAGCCAGTGCCTGCCAGGAGCTGGTGCCACCTTCACAGGGAATGTGGGGCACTCCTGGGAGTGATGGGTGCTGCTGGGCAGTGGCATGGTGAGGTTGCAGCTGGTGGGAAGGGGAGGAAAGAGGCAGAAGCCAGTGATCTGCACTGTTCTTGCCACTGTTTCCAAACAAAATGAGGGTGGGTTTTTTTGAACATGTCTTGTAAAACGTTACTGGTGTCCGCCTGAGGGCGGCAGCCGGCCCTGCGGCCTCCCCGGGCGCTGCCCGAGGCAGCGGTGTGTGCCTGGGGCAGGGCCAGGGCCAGGGCCGGCTCTCGGCACTTTCACCGTTCTGATGGCCGGCCTGGGGACAGGGCCTCCCGGGCCCTCTGGCCTCTCCGCCCCCTGTTCCGCTGTTCACGGGCCGCTCCTGCCGGCAAGACCCAGCTCGGCCGGACTCTGCAGGGGCCGCGGCGGCGATCCTCCGGAGCGGCAGGGGGCGCTGTGAGCCGACGCTGCTCACCCACAGGGCGGGTGTTCCGCCACCGCTGCTGCCGCCGCCGGGAGCGGAGCCCAGGGGAGCCGGCCGGGAGTGGGGCCGGGGCCGGGCGCAAGGTGGGTAGCGAGCTGGGGTGGGCGCGGAGGGCGGGTCGGGCTGCGGACGGCAGCAGTGCCCCGCTCGGCAAGGGGGCAAGGGTGGGAGAGGGCTGCCGGCCCGTTCGCTGAGGACGTGGCTGCCGAGCCGGGAGGTGTCCCCGAGGCGCCGCTCGTCCCGCACCCAGAGGCTGTCTCTGCACGGGCTCCCGGGGCCGGAATCCCGTACGCTTCTTACTTGGCGGACACCCTCGGGGCCCGGCCTGCCGCTGGGGAGCCCCTGGGAGCAGCCGGCGGGAAGCGGCAGCCCGACCGCCGAGGCAAGGGTACCCCTGCTGCCCGGCTCTGTGAGCGGGGGCCGTGGGCTGCCACGCTCTAGGCTTGCGTTTGGGCTGAGCCCTTGGAGGCGCTGGAGTTGAGCTGAGGAGAGGGGCTGCAGGCAGGGACTGTATTCAGACCTCTGGCCCAGGACCCGGACTGTGCACCGCAGGCAGAGGGCTGTGGCCCAGGTCGGCGCCGAAGCCGTGCGTTCCGCACTGCCCCTCCTGTGCCCAGGGGAACAGTACCCGAGTCTGTTGTCTCGGCTCCCTGGCCCCAGACTGAGGCTCCTTTCATGCCTCAGAGTGCCGCCTGCTTGCCGTGAGCGGCGCCCCCCCCCCCCTTTCTACCTGTAACACTGGCGTCCCTGTTCCTTCCCAGCCTCGGTGGGGAGGGCAGCCCTGCTGCACTGAGTCATCTCTCGGGGCCTGGGAATTGCTAGCGTAGGCATAGAGAGAGCCATTGTCCCTCATAGCCTCCTCTTCACTGTCGCTGTGGGAGAGCAGAGCTGGTTCTCCTGCCATGGCCATGCTGAGGGGGCCGGCGGGGTAACAGCAGGCACAGTCGTGCTGAGCAAAGCTGGCTGGCTTTCAGTCCCTGTCAGGTTGAAGGGAGTCGTGGCCCATGGTAGCAACCAATCCTGCCATTATGTCTGACTTCTGCAAAAGCAAACAGCGTTTCTGCACACGAAGAGGGCTGCTGCCATCAACCAGCGTTACTTAATACAGGCAAACCCAGCTGCATGTGGGCAACTTCAGCCTCAGGTGTCTGCACCCAACCCTGTTGTTGCATCCTGCAGTGATGCTCCTGCAGCAGGAGAGATGATGGGTGGAGGTGTCAATCTGCCTTTTCTGCGGGGGAGAGCAGGGGGAGGGATTGGGAACAGGCACAGAAACCCACCCACAGCTGTTTGTACTTCCCCACAGGCTGGGAATTTCTGGGTCCTTAAGCCAGAGAAGGGAGATTTCAGGGTGAAACACGAGCCTCGGCTTAGGTCAGGTTGTTGGGCTCTGGGAGCCTGGCCACAGCAACTGAGGATAAGAAAAGCCCATGAGGCCTTTCCTAAGGTGACAGGGTGTTTATGGGGAGGATTTGTGCATGAAATGATGGGGGACTTTCTTGCCTTTAAAGTTCTGAGTTTCTTCATCTGTGAGTTTCATGTGGGGGCTACCATATGTCACAGCACTATTGTACTGGGGCCAGGTACACCCCTAAACTGGGCCTAAATTCCTTTGACTTGCTTGTTTTTGGGGGAGAGGGGATTAACATCTCTGGCCCTTTTCTGTCACAGGAACTCAGTGTCTCTGATGTGTGTTTATGTAGCCAGCCCCACAGCACCCTCACCTGGCCCTCAAGGTGATCTGGAGGCTTTCTCTACTGAGAAAATTGGGGCAGGGATGGAGCATGGACCAAGGAAACCTCACACCCTGATGCAGGAAGTAGCAGATCGCTTTGCAAGGGGGAGGGATGCACATGTGGCCTTGGGTGTAGGGATTTCTTGCCTGCTTGCTCATTTTGTTGTGTACGTGGTGCTCTAGTTCTTTGTGGGGCCCCTGAATATCACAGGTTTGCCTCTGTGAGGGAGGGTACAGCAGAGGGAAGAACTCCTTCAGGGAATTTTAAAGCTGGCTAGGTCACCTGCTAGGGCTATAGCTGAAGAATATCAGCTATGCCTTATCAGATAGCCCTGGTAAAGTCCCAACCAGGCAGCTGGCAGGAAAGCTCCTTCGCAGCCTTGCTCTCTGGCTGTGTCCTGCCGCGTGGTTGACCCTGGTAGTTTCCTCTGGGCTGCGGGGAATGCCTTGGCAGCTCTCTGCCAGGGCTGTGTGGGGTGGTGGGGGAGGCTGACAGCCTGAGCCCTCCCTGCTCTCCTCCACTCACCTGCACAGCTGGAGGGGAAAGCTCTGAGGTGTTCACTGGCCACAGGCTTGAAACATGAGCTGTAAGTAGGAGTCATTTTTTCCATTCAATGACCTTTACTTTCTTCCAGCTGGGAGCTGTGCTAAAGTTTAACCTAAAACGGCGAGGTGCAAGGTGCTTCTTGCGTTTGGAGGAAGGGCGTTGTCAGAATCTGATGGTTAACAACAGTGTTCAAACAATCTCTCCAGTGCTGGAAACTGAAGTTTCCAAGTCCACGTGTTCCTAACCCAGAGCAAACACCCTTAACAGAAGCACTTATAAATGTGTGGCATATGCTCTTCAACTTCAGAGAGCTTTTCCCACTCCATGTGCTGCCTTCCTCACTGCTGTTGCTGGGGTAGTATTTGGGTGCTGGTGGGGAGCAGGCTGGGCAGCAGGGGGTGCGGGCAGGCAGAGTGGAGCTGACCAGGCACTAGCAGCCCATCGGCTGCCTCTTTCTCTGCACAGATTTTGCCTTCCCCTTGCACTGGCTTCCCTCCCTACGATGGCTACTGGTGAAGAGATCGTCCCTGCCCTGCAGGACTCCTGGGGCGACTTCTGGCTCTTCCGTTTCTTTGTTAATGCTGCTGGCTACGCAAGTATTGTGGTGCCGGGATTTCTCCTCATCCAGTACTTCAAGAGAAGGAATTACCTGGAGACAGGTAATGGCAGGAGCTTCCCTTCCACATCCTGCCTCTGAGTTCTCTGCACCCCCTTGGTCAACACTGTTCAGTGCTGACAGGTTGTTTCCCCAACCTCCTTTGTCAGACCAGGCTTGAACAGAGATGCATCCCAGAGGTGTCTCAGTAAAGAGGGAGGCTTCACCTCTCAAGCTGGTGCAGCTTGTGGTGCCCAAGGCTCTGGTTAACTCTTGTCTCTGTGTTTCCCTACCCTGTTCAGGCCGAGGCATTTGCTTCCCTGTCATCAAATCGTGTGTGTTCGGCTCTGAGGTGAAGTCTGTACACCAGGAGGATGGCTCCCTGCCACCCCGAGCAGAGCCCACAGAGTCCTCTACAGCACGACAGGTCTTCAAGCTGCTCTTCTGTGCTGCTGGTCTACAGGTAGGGGCCCCATGAGTGGCCATTCCTCTCTGGGGGGAGGGCGTGGGCAGCAGGCTTGTGGCCATCAGTTCTTTGAAAAGCAAGGATGCAAGTGCTGCCCTTGACTGGGCCAGGGTTGGACGCTGGGACACAGCCTCTCAACCAGGGTAGTCCACCAGAGGTGCTGTATCATCTCTAAGGGCTGTGGAGGTCCATTTAAACTGGTGTAATCTGGGCTGAGACTACTGGGAAAACTGG